AGCTAACCATAATTCCTAAAACAGTTTTTTTTAAAAAAAAATCCTTAAAAAAAAAATCAACATCAATGCTATGTACTGATTTTTAAACCAAATATTGCATGTATATTAACAATGGGCAATTTCCCCCCCGTCTTGGAATGATCTGGCAGCCCTGAATGAATATGGATGGACGTAAGAGCATTCATTTCTCTGTACCTTCTGGCAGGGTATTGCAATTTAGTCTTAAATAGTTGCAGATTCCTGAAAATTGCCTCTTTTAGAGCACTGACATAGAGAAAGTAGGTTCAACATGTTCTCACAAAATCCAAGACCGAAATAGCAGCTACATTTTAACTAGTGCTTGCAGTCATTAGCAGCCGTTTTTTATTACCCTCAAAGGAGCAGAGGAAAATTCCATGAACTTCCGATTATTCGCCAAAATCCTGGCTCCAGCTCAGGAGGGTGTGGGTGAAGAGAGTCATTACTAATCCCAATATCTCCAAATATTTGAGATAAGTCTGGTTTGAGCTGCATGCTTTTGCAGCGCTGCAAAAAGATGTGCTCTTAGCTCCTACTGTTTTGCAAACAATAATACAATGAGATCAAAAGCTGAACTGCAAAAGAGGCACTTTGAAAGGAAAGTGATTAGAGAAAGGACTGTATAGAGAAAGTTTGGGTGGGGGAGAGAGAATTGCAAACTAGAGAGCTAACATTGTGAAGCAAACATTTAAAAATGGCCAGAACATGATAACAGTTTAGGAGTTTAATGCTAGCAGAATATATGGAGAATTTGCAAGAGGAAGGGTTTAAAGGACCCTGAAAAGGAATCTAAAATCTGTATACTGAGTTGAGTTAAGTTTTGGTTTTTGCTTTTGTCCACACTGCAAAGCATGTCAGAATAAGAGCAACTATCTCTACTGACTTCAGGATTTGGGGGTCCCTAAGCTGAGACACGGGTGGTGCTGTGGTCTAAACCACAGAGCCTAGGGCTTGCTGATCAGAAGGTTCAAATCCCCACAACAGGATGAGCTCCCATTGTTCGGTCCCTGCTCCTGCCAACCTAGCAGTTCAAAAGCATGTCAAAGTGCAAGTAGATAAATAGGTACCGCTCCGGCGGGAAGGTAAACGCCGTTTCCATGCACTGCTCTGGTTTGCCAGAAATGGCTTAGTCATGCTGGCCACATGACCCGGAAGCTGTCTGCGGACAAATGCTGGCTCCCTCAGCCAGTAAAGCGAGATGAGCGCCGCAACCCCAGAGTCGTCCACGACTGGACCTAATGGTCAGGGGTACCTTTACTTTTACCTTTAAGGTGAAAGAAGTTGCAAACTGAGAACTCTCTGAAGCTGTATCTGATCTCCTTGAACAACCTGTGCAAAGTGGAAACAGCACTCTGAAGGCAGTGGGCTCACTGTGGGTTTTGGGGTCCTGGCACATGCCCAACCCTATCATCTTCTAGAGCCAGCCCTGGCAACTGTGGGTAATGCTGGATAAGATCTGGGTTTCAAACACTATATTCTCAAGTTGATTCTTCAAATGGCTCTGGGCAATGTATTGTTAAGCCCAAGGATAGCACTGCCCTGTTTAATTACTTTTAGATGAGAGAGATCTGGAGACTTAGGGTGTCTTTGTTATATTTAGGTTTCTTACATTCAAAGCTGGAGAAAGTTAATAAATCATATATCCTTAAATCTCCCAAAGCAGCAGGAGCTAAGGCAGCAGTTATGACTTGCCCTGCCTGTCCCCCTTCCCCAGACATGTAAGCAACCCCTTCCCCCAACCTGCTATAACTGATCAGGCATGGAAGCTGTAGAGAAAGGCTGCATGAGACTTACTGCAGTGCTTCGTTCCCTGCCCCTTTCTCTGTTCTAGGTCCATTATTTAATGTATTTTCTAACATCAATGAATTTACCAATGTGGTTACAGCAAAGTGTAGACATTCTCTCTTACTACCGAGAGCCCTAAATGTCTGTGCCAACCCCCCCTTTTTTTCCCTGCTGCCCCCAAAGGCAAAACATTTGGCAAGCTAAAGCTTGCAATTCCTAGGCATCCCAGTGCTCTATTGCTGGGAGCATTGAGCACCACCATCCAAACACATTTCCCCATGCAGAGTAAATTACTCCACACTGGCACAAATATCTCAAAAGGGTGCCAGCAAAATCCTTTGTGGTCAGTTTTTGAGGCAAATGCATATTCCCCCTCCCAGGCTTTTGCTATCGCCAGTCCCCTGAAATGTATCTTTGTTCCAGTCGATAACTTCTCGTTTGTCTCAAATGTCAGTTTATCATGATTCTAACATACCCCATTTAAATCGGGTGGGGAAGGGTTGTGTTCACCCAGTACTATTCCCTTGATGAGCTTTGGCTTCTCTTCACTTTTGTCCTTTGGCTGAATAGAATTGTTGTATGCTTGTGTGTGATTCCTGATGCTTGGCAAATGATCTCTGGCTACATTTCCATCATAATCATCTAAAAATTCCAATCACATTCTCAGTGAAGTGGTCTTTGCCAAGGTCTTCCATCATGCGTCGCAGCAGGCATCTCCATATGCCCCAAAATCACAGGACTCCTCTCACCTACTCCGAAAAGGATACCTCTTTCTTTCTCCTGCTGCTCCTGAACTGATTCCCAAGCCAATCTAACTCATACCCTAAAACCAGCTGTAGATCTAAGGCAGCCTTCTCAAAAACCGGTGTGTCCCCCAGATGTTTCAGCTACAACTCCTATCAGCTCCTACCAGCATAGTCACAAATGATGGAGGTTGCAGTCCCAAACCTCTGACATGTGCCAGGATGAGGAAGGTCAATCTAAAGCCTTGAACAATTCCTTGCCCTGGGGTATGCTGTGCCCGACTAGCAGACCAGGTCCATTCTGTCCAAGCAGCTCCAAGTAAACTCATTTTCTCTCCATTGTCCCAGTCCCTAAAGGGGCAAGGGTCTCTGCTGAGGAAGATAGGCTTTGGGTCTCATTATTCTTGCAAAATTCATGATTACACGAAGGCGAGATACCAGCTCAGTTCTGTTCAGAAATGCGCCACTGAAATCAATTGACTTAAGTTATTTAAGTCCATTCATTTCAGAGGGTTTGCTCTGAGTATGACTGACACTGGATATCACCCTAGGCACCTGCCAGTATACATGAGTTTTAGGGAACTGATCCCACCCACTAAAATACTCATAGGAAACAACTGGATTTTTTTAAAAAAAAATCTATATGGTCTCTTTCTTCAGCCAGGTCTGCAGTCTGTAGCTCAGAACTTGTGGCTCTCCAGATGTTGCTAGACTATAATCCCCATTGTCCCTGACCACTGGGCATCCTAGCCAAAGTTGTTGGGTGTGAATCCAACAACATATGGAGGGCCACAAGTCACCCATTTCTGGTCAGCTGGTCCCTTCTTCCATGCCATTCCCTTAACGAGTGGGCTGCTAATCATTTATCTCTTCCTGTACTTTGATTTCCTAGCAGCTTCCATTTCTTGGGATTCTTCCACCACCTTTGCATTCCCACCACTGTTGGCAGTCTCCTGATTAGATACTGCCTGTAATATTCCACAGTCCAAGCCTATCAGTTGCTGATCCACCTCCTGGAATTCCTCAGCCAGACACAACTGGAATCTCTTTAGCTAGATGTTCACCCTTCTCTTTAACCCCCCCCTATTCTCCTTCACTTTTATTTGGGGTTCTTCCTCAAATGCCTTACTTGCTTGGTTTCTCAAGGATGCTCAAATTTATGTTGACTGCTGTGATTCACTCCATCCTGCTGTACACACCTGCTCAGTTACTTTCCAAGGTTCCAGAGCTATGTGATCCACAATCCCCAGTGGTAAGAAGGGCTACGTTGCTTGTTTTGAATTATTTACAGATACAGTATACAAGCAGTACATATTGGAAGTGCATAAACAGACTATCCATGTGCCAGATTTTCAGGCAAAGATTCTGAAAAAGACAGCTGTGTTGATCCATAAGGGACTCCACCCCCACCCCAAAATCCATAGTTGGCCCATATCTTTATTAGGTCCAACAAAAATGTCACACAATAGTGAGCAAGTTTTTTAGTTCACCAGACTTCTTCCTCACATCTAGCCTCAGGAATAGATCTGGACAGTTCAGAAGCCTGCTTGCTGTTTTGGTTGGTTCCTTAATCCCAAGGCACTTCATCTGAAGGCAAATCACACCTCTATGCCCATCTCTCTGCCAAGAGGGTGCCACCTTCACAAACACTAGTGTGTTTTTCATTCTAGGCTGTGCAGGGACTCCCAGCTGTCAAAGAACACTGAAGCAATACTATGGCAAAATCAGAATGACAAATTGGTACAGAAGTGGATTGAACATTGCTGGTCACTGAACAATTCAGAATATATAGGCTGTCATGGGGGGTGGGGGTGGGATAGTAACCAAACAGGAGACTAGAATTTTCATTAATGATATAGCACTTTACTTGGTCTTACTATAGCTCTCTGAGAACTGTCTCTGTTTTTCCCAATTTACAGCTAGGGTAACTGAGGCTGAAAGATAGCAGCTTGACTGCAGATTTAAAACTGTATGTGACAAGGCCTGTAGAGCAATTTATGGTAACATGAATGATCCAAATAAGCAGTAGGTGTTAATCTTAAATACAAATTGCATGAGAGAATTTGCAGTCTCTGCCACTGCCACCGCCTGTATATACAGAACAGAAACATTTTTAAAGAGTGATGTAAGTGGAGGAAAAATTAGACCCACAAAGGGCAGCTTCAGCGTGGAAGTGTCTTGAAATCTGAATTTGACACACACACTTAATAGGGACCTCTGCAGTCTTGCAAAGAAGAGAGTATTATTTAGGACCGCTGTTTGGGAAGAAAGGTGGGGGTGGAGGGAGAGAGAGAGAGGGAGAGAGAAGAGGTTGTTCCCAAAACCTGCCTTCTCACTGTCAGCATTTGGTAGAAGCTGGCTGGTAGCTGGAGACACCCATTAATTATAAGCATGCAGATGTCCCTTTAAGGTTTGCTTCGCAGCCTGCCGACTTCAGCCTAAACACGAGCTGTTAAAGATCTGACTTTATTTGTACATGTCTCTGAGCTCCGGGATCCAGCCACGTGGGGGTTTCAAAGGCTCAGAGCCCACTTGGAGCAGGAGAGGGAGGGGGGCTGGGGAGAGGGGGGTGCAATTCATCTTGATGTGTAGGGGGAAAGAAACTTAAAGGGCTTGAACAACAAACAGGAAATGCCTGGCTGGGCTGCCGCTGCTGCTGCTAATGCAGAAGGGACCAGAAGCAAGAGCGGCAGCGGCAGCGGCAGCAGCAGCAACAGGACTGTGAAGTTATAAGCCGAGCAAGAGAACCCCTGTTGCTAACAAGGTTGCCTCGTTTCTTTCTTATTTTCCCCCTGCACGGGTTCCTTTTGCAATTGCAACCATGGGCTCCTGTCCCAACGGCAGCATTCCAGGTGTCGCTGTCCCCTGCTTGGTACTGACAGGTGAGAACATCTTTCTCTTCTTTCCGAAGGCTTCGCATCTGCCCAACTCTCCTTCTGCTTTTGGATTTCCCCAGAATTTAGCAATTCGTCATTTCCACTTCTTTCAGTCTGTCTGCTCTTCAGCCAATTCCACACACACCCCACCCCGAGTTTTAAGTCAACTTTACAACCAGCGATTCAGTGATTTTGGCTGACAGAAGCCTTAAAACTAAACAGAAAGGTGCAAAGAAAGAGGAAAGTGGGAAATAAGAAATCATAGAACTAGGCAAGCAAGGAAAGGGTGACCGGGTTGAAATGTACTGTTGTGCAAGCTTGGTTTTCACTTTTGCAAATCATTTTGGTCAGTGAAGCAAATTGCGCCCCCTTAACTGCACAGGAGATAAGGGAGCTGATATACTCTTACTTAGCATAACGCTGCCAAGGAAACATGTGGTGTTTCCATTTCAGGATTCCGTGTTCTCGAGGATTTCTTAGAGCACCATAGACTCAGGGGAGTTCAGCTTTTCCTGACACAAACCATTTTCTGTTTTGGGGTGGTGGAATGGGAGGAAATGGAAATGGAAGTGGGGGTGGGAGAGGAAATGAACACAATTGCAATTGCTCGATGCTTTGTGGGTCTCGGAGGGATGGTTTTGCTGAAGTATGTGGGCGAAGCAAAAAAAAAAAATAGTGGGGAGGGGAACATCACATTGACAAAGGCTGAGAGTAGCCAGGAAATCTTATAGTAATCACCCCAAGGGGAAATGAAAATATTATTTTCTGTTGCTTGTGTCTTTTGTAATGTTTGGTTCTAGTTTGTAACTCACTTTCGACAGGCTGGTTTTATTTATTTTTAATGAGACAACTCTGGGATGAGTGGTTTAAATTTTCAACTTTTTGTCTTTGCTTTGGGGGGTTGTTCTTTGGAAATGTGCACTGCAGTTGCAGCAATGCCTGATTATAGTGATCCCAGCTTACCAAGCAATGGCAGCACAAGTCATATTATTATAACATCCAGAAATTATAGCATGGTACTATTCTCCTTCCTATACACGGTGTTGGCGATGTTTAAGGATGTTTTTCATACAGATAATGAACTGTTTTGTTACTCCGTTTCTGGATTTCTTTTTCAACAAGCTCTGCAACACCTTCCAGCCACTAGTAGTTGAATAATTTACTGTTGAATTTGCTCTGAGCTCTCTGAGCTGAACATCTAAATACAAAGGTAGGCCACTTGGTTGAAAGGAAGTATTGGACCTGTACAGCAGCATATAGTCAGTGCATAGATTGTTGGTCATTAGGTACCATCCAAGCTCCTGGAAGATAGCAGAGAGTAAACACAGGGTGGAATATTCCATTATTGCTTTAGGTGGTTGGTTATTTTCCTCTTCAGTATACAGTGGTACCTCAGATTAAGTACTTAATTCGTTCTGGAGGTCTGTTCTTAACCTGAAACTGTTCTTAACCTGAAGCAACACTTTAGCTAATGGGGCCTCCTACTGCTGCCGCACCGCCGGAGCACGATTTCTGTTCTCATCCTGAAGCAAAGTTCTTAACCTGAGGTAATATTTCGGGGTTAGTGGAGTCTGTAACCTGAAGCGTATGTAACCTGAAGTGTATGTAACCCGAGGTACCACTGTAGTATCCATTTATGTCATTGTTGAAGACAGGATGGAAGTTAGAATTTCTAAGAATTGTGAACGTCTAAGAAGTGTGGGCTGCCGCATGTCACACCCTTCTCATCACTTGATTTGCCAGTTCTTGATAACTTGCAAGCTGGATGTCGAAACTGTTTACCAGATAATGTTTAACATAATGTGAATACAGAAATTTAGGCTGGTGTCGTGTCTTCAACTGATGAACAAAAGTATGAATTGACCTTCAGGTTAGTTTTTTGCTTGTTTGTTTTCTCTTCCCCCCCAACTGATGCTTTGCCTGGGTTCAGTTTTTACGTTCCTTACATGCAGAACCAAAACTGATGTAGCTTAAACATACTGAGTAAGAGATGGATATAGGGTAAAGGAAGTATAGAGCAAGATACCCTTGTTGATTATACTGAAAGACAAAATCTGATAAAAGCCAGCTCTTATCGGACCATCAGCTCAACAGCAACATCATAGCCATTGCTAACATCTAACTGAACAAGAGTTGAAGCTAAGATTACAGATCTAAGAATGCTTCATAGAAAGCCGGTCAAATATGTCTAAGGATTGAGCTATAGGCCTGATAGTGTCACTGCCTTCCAATTTTCCTTCCCCTTTTTGAAAACCAAACAGAATATAAAAGTTAAGGATTTGCAGGATAATTCTGCACACTTGCCATGGTAGTTTCTGAACTGATGCTAAGCAAAATATAAACATGAACTTTAAAGATTTTCAAATGTGACTGAACAGGAAAGGGTACACAGCAGACATAAATGAAACTTTTTTCTTAAGGCCAAATTCTGATCCCAAATACAGAAGCCCCATTGTGTCTTTTATTAGGCCAAAATTATAGTCCAGTAGAAATCAGCCATTTGGCATTTTTGAGGATTTTATTTAAAGTTCTCCAAATCTTTCTTTTTAACGTAGGCTCATCGACTTGGTATCTTTCTCAGAATATTTATTTCCCTTTTCCCTGTGCATGTGAAGAACTGAGCTACAGGTGATGAAAATCTGTGTTTTTCTGTACTGAAATAGCATATTGTTGCAGAGGTTGCATGCCAGCCCCAGACGTTACTGAGCAGTAGCGAGATTCCAGGGGGTTCCAGACATTTACCCAGGGCCATGTTTCCATTGGGAATTCAGGCCTGTCAGAAATGGTAGTGTTTTAAGATGTATGATTTATTTTACACCTATATACACCTGGGTCTAGGTGGAGGAAGAGAATTCACAGCATTATATCTCAAGAGGGGCTTGTTCCCCATAGCAGCATAGCATTGGGGTCCAAGGCATTTTGCACACCATTACTGTGCCTCCAACCCAGCCTGGTAAGATGGTTCTGCCCCACATGCCCTCTGCCTCCAGTTCTAGCACCATCTTTCTCCCTCCCAAGAACCTTTGCTAAGTGGCCCCTCCCCTTCTCCAAACCTGTTTCAAAAGGGACACATTTTTCCTGTTTGGCACCACACACACCCGGTAATGGCAAGCCCCATTTTGCACAGACTCAGACTCAGGGTTATTTCTTCAATGTGTTGATGACTCCCCATTGTTTCATCACCATCATCATTTATTACTTGTACCCCACCCATCAGAATGGGTTGTCCTAACCACTTCCAACAGAATACAAAAAACACACGATACATCAGACATTAAAAGCTTCCCGATACAGGGCTGCCTTCAGATGTCTACGGAAGGTTGCATAAATGATTATCTCTTTTGACATCTGATGGGAGGGCATTCCACAGGGCGGGCGCCACAACCGAGAAGGCCCTCTGCCTGGTTTCTTGTAACTTCGCTTCTCGCAATGAGAGAGCTGCCAGAAGGCCTTCATAACTGGATCTCTGAGCTGAACAATGGGGGTGGAGATGCTCCTTCAGGTATACAGGGCAGAAGCCTTTAAAGGTCAGCACCAACACTTTGAATTGTGCTCAGAAACATACTGGGAGCCAATGTAGGTCCTTTAGAACTGTTATTATATGGTCCCAGCAGCCTCTGCCAGTCACCTGTCTGGCAGCTTGCATTCATCTAGTCTGGCCAGGCTAGTTTGTAGGAGAATTGCTGAAGCCTGTATATTCCCTTCAATATCCCAAGTTTTAGCTAAATTCTGACATTCATTAATTTATAACATTCACTGACTTCCTAGAATTATGAGCGCCTTTGCACCCCCAGACTTGTTTTAAGAAGTGTAGGTGGCTGAACTGCAGAAAATGTTACAAATTTCTACCGTAAGACCATCTGTTTCTCAACAATCTCCTTTCCTATCTTATTTGCTACTTATCAAGTATTTTCTATTCCTATACTGTATAACAAAAGAATAGTCTAATAATTTGTTGCTATTTCTCCCTCCAGCAATTGTTTCCAAGTTTGGGTTTCAATTGAGATAATATCATGATGTATCTCCATAATAATGGCAATAGTATTTCATATTAAGCCTCAGTACTATTATTGTTTTGAAAACACGATCCTCTACTTCTGCCTTTAAAAGCTGTGGTTTGTTTTTTTTAAAAAAAGTAAGCTAAATGACAAAAATGGCTTTTGAAATGGCTGATGTTACAGCTGTAAAATAATGCCATCAATTTAAATATTTGTCAGACTAGGAGTTATAATAAAAAGTGGTGAACAATGGGGCTGCCATATGCTGCAATGGAATAGCTTCACTGTTTATTACCTGTTTTTAAAAAGAAAAGATGTTAAGGCACATCATTTTCTATTCAAATGTTCTTAGAACTGAAAAAACAATGACTTGCAATGAAACCAATTACTAATATATTTTGAGACTGTTGTTTTCAGCTGAGTCCTCTTTTGCATAGCTGGTTTTCCTAATAAATAAACCAAAGTTATTGCAAAAGTATTTCCTAATCATTTTCTGAACATTGCACAAGGGTCAACTGAACATCTTCAACTGAAGACTGCATAACCCACTTCTTATAAAAAAAACCAACCACAATTTTCTGGGTTACAAAGTAGATCAGAAACCTAATCTATTACCTTGAACAGGAGGGCTAGTCCTGCAAAAAATTTTACTTATTTAGTTAGTTTTTATCACAGATTGTTGATTGCACCATTCTAAGAGTTAAAATGAAGTCACTTGCAGACTACCTGTTTACTGGGCACTGATCCTGATTTGTTTGCACAAAGTTTGTGGGGAGGTTATATGATGTCGCCTCAACTACCTGTCTTCCCACACTTTCCCATGCATTCATTGCTGCAAATGTCTGTTTTTAATTTTTTAAAACAGGGTCCGTTGTGCAAGAGCCCAAATCTATTTTAAATGCACAACCTGAATTTGCGGTTATGCGTGGAATCCCACTAGCAAAAAGCAAGTCAGGAAGCACACTGAGATTCACATAGAGCTACAGTTTTTGCTTTCAGAGTAATTTATATAGGTAATTTATAGCACAGGATGCTTAAGATTGGCTGTTTCTATTGCCTTTATATGGCAAGCAAGGCACTATGCAGAAACAGTGGCTCTGCCTCAGTGGTTCAGCAGGTTTCCTACTAATGTCATCTCTTCCCACAAGCAGGATCTGAGCACACTGGAAAGATGGTGCAAAGCATAGGGTTGCTGTGCATATAACATACACTTAAAGCACATGGCTTCTGCCCCCTACCAAATTGTAGTTTGTTAAGGGTGCTGCGAATTGTAGCTCTGTGGTGGGTAAACTACAATTCCCACAGTTCTGTGGGGGAAGCAATGTGCTTTAAATGCATGGTGTGTATGCAGCCAGTTTTTCCAGACCAGCGGTTAACAGATCATTTAAATATGGCAAACGGGATACTGGAAACCAGTTTTGAGTTTTTTATGGATTTTCCATAGAAAGGATGAGGGGGAATATGGTCTAACAGTCTGATGCTATCAAAGTAACGTGGACGCTGTGAAAAACGTGCATGCATGAGCAGCAGCAATCCCTTATTAAATACCAGTCTTTAAGCATCCAGCGGCACTTAAGCCAGAGTATTACCAGCTCCATTTAAATGTTTTGCTGTTCGGGGACTGTTAAAGCAAGAGATCAGGAGCTGGGAATGTACAATAGTTCCAAAACATAACTGTCAACGTTTCCCTTTTTTAAAAGAAAATTCCCTTATTCCGAATAGGATTCCTCGCAAGAAAATGGAAAAGTTGACAGCTATGGTTTAAGAACCAGCTATGCCAGGAGAAGTGCCGAACAGCTGAAAAACACCTTATTTTAATTATATTTTTGGGAAGAGGGGGGGCACAGCCTGCTTCTCCTGTGCATATTTGCGCGCAAGCAATTCTAACTGAATAGGGCTTACTCCCAGGAATGTATGCACTGCAGAAACAAAGTCTTTCTGGAAATTATGAGGCAAGAATAAACTCCACTGCACGTAACGGGATCTACTCGCCTTGTGGGCGAGCAAAAACTCGCAGTGTCACGCAGCTCGAGCGCATTTCCTAGAAGAGGCTATTCCCTCTTAAACTATTTAAAGCAGCAACTTGCGCGGCGGAGGGCAAACGACGCGCATGCGCTGTATAGCACAAAGTCAGCGAGCCGCTCCCAACTCTGCTGCGACCGCGATTCCCGGGCAGAGCCGGCCGGCCGCTCCGCGCATGCGCCGCGGGGCGCGGCTGGCGGAACGTCCGGCCGCCTTGCCAGCCGGCGGCTTCCCTCTGCCGGATGACGCGACGCGAGGAGCACGGCGCAGGCACTCCTAAGGCGGCGGGAGCGCAGTGACGCCAACGCGCGTGCTCGGAGGGAGGGGAGGAGGAAAAGCCGCCGACTCTTGGCCTATCAGGACCCGGCGGGTGCGCAGGCGCAGGGGAGAAGCGGCCGGAGCGCGGCTGTTGGGCCGCCGATGCTGAAGGGATGGGTCACTGAGGGAAATTTTCTCTCACACGCCGCATCGGGAGGCCTCGCCCTCGGCAACCCAGTCATGAATAGCTGACCCCCCTCATCCTTTTCACTCACTGAGAGGAACCAGGCCTCTGAGGCGGCGGCCTGGCGTGTTCCCCTCTTCCCGGGGCTTGAGCGGCGGGTGCGGCAGGGCCGCCCGCCTGTCCCTGAGGCGCCGGCAGGATGAAGCTGGTGCGGAAGGACATCGAGAAGGACAACGCCGGGCAGGTGACGCTCATCCCCGAGGAGGCCGAGGACATGTGGCACGCCTACAACCTGCTTCAGGTCGGGGACAGCCTGCGGGCCTCCACCATCCGCAAGGTGCAGACGGAGTCGGCCACGGGCAGCGTGGGCAGCAACCGGGTGCGCACCACCCTGACGCTGTGCGTGGAGACCATCGACTTCGACTCGCAGGCGTGCCAGCTGCGCGTCAAAGGCACCAACATCCAGGAGAACGAGTACGTCAAGATGGGCGCCTACCACACCATCGAGCTGGAGCCCAACCGCCAGTTCACGCTGGCCAAGAAGCAGTGGGACAGCGTGGTCCTCGACAGGATCGAGCAGGCCTGCGACCCGGCCTGGAGCGCCGACGTGGCGGCCGTGGTGATGCAGGAAGGGCTGGCGCACGTCTGCCTGGTGACGCCCAGCATGACCCTGACTCGGGCCAAGGTGGAGGTGAACATCCCTCGGAAGCGGAAGGGCAGCTGCGCGCAGCACGACCGGGCGCTGGAGAGGTTCTACGAGCAGGTGGCGCAGGCCATCCAGCGCCACATCAACTTCGACGTGGTCAAGTGCGTGCTGGTGGCCAGCCCGGGCTTCGTGAGGGAGCAGTTCTGCGATTACATGTTCCAGCAGGCTGTGAAGACGGACAACAAGCTGTTGCTGGAGAACCGCTCCAAGTTTTTGCAGGTAAAGCTCAAGGCAGCGTGCTCCGTTTAAGTTCAAGGGAGGGGTGATCGTTATTTGATAGTGGAATGGATTATATATATATATATGTTGGCAGGTGTGCAAACGTGGTTTGCCAGAGCATGCAAAATATCAGCACGTGTCTACATAGAACTAGGTGACTACATCTAAGACATCCACACACACACAAAATGTTCACAGTACATTAACGGCTGTACTATAATGTTCACTTGTATTAAGTAATGGTAATAATATTAATAATAATAATTTTTATTTATACCCCGCCCATCTGGCTGAGTTTCCCCAGCCACTCTGGGCGGCTCCCAATCAAGTGTTAAAAACAGTACAGCATTAAATATTAAAAACTTCCCCAAACAGGGCTGCCTTCAGATGTCTTTTATAGATAGGATCCAAATCCTTTCACAAATGCTTATTCAGCCAACTTGGGCATCCCAAATTCAATGCTGTGGGTTGGATGTAGATGCAGGCCTTATCTGTGAGTAAGTACCATTGATTTAATGGGGCTCTCTTCTGAACAGACATGCATTGGATTGGGCAATTAGATTTAAAGTAGACCTGTCAAGATAAATGGGATAAGGTCCTTTGAAACGGGACGCAGGTGGCGCTGTGGGTAAAACCTCAGCGCCTGGGACTTGCCAATTGCATGGTCGGCGGTTCGAATCCCTGCGGCGGGGTGCGCTCCCGTCGTTAGGTCCCAGCGCCTGCCAACCTAGCAGTTCGAAAGCACCCCCGGGTGCAAGTAGATAAATAGAGACCGCTTACCAGCAGGAAGGTAAATGGCGTTCCGTGTGCTGCGCTGGCTCGCCAGATGCAGCTTGTCACGCTGGCCACGTGACCTGGAAGTGTCTGCGGACAGCGCTGGCTCCCGGCCTCTAGAGTGAGATGAGCGCACAACCCTAGAGTCTGTCAAGACTGGCCCATACGGGCAGGGGTACCTTTACCTTTAAGGTCCTTTGAAGGCTTGCTTCCCATCCAGTTGGGATAAGTATCTGTAAGACTGATGCTTTGAATCCCATCCTCTAAAGGCTTCAGCCCTAAGCATGGTTACTTTTAGGTAAGTTGACTGGCTGTTGTGGAACTTATTTATGAAAAAAGCATGTTTAATCGGCTGATATACATCAGTTGCAGATGCCAGTCTAATACAATCTCACCTTGTTACTTTGGTTGCAGTCCTGTGTCCCTTTACCTGGGGATAAGCACCATTGACCTTACTGAGACTTACTTTCTCAGTTGACATGTGTAAGATTGCACTGATAATCACTTCTCCAGACCTTTCCCTTTTTTGATGCCAGTTCCCTTGGAACTTGTATTTAGTGTACATTGATTGAAAGAACCAGAAAATCAGTTTGTGCCTAAAGCCCTGTCATGAATGATGGAAGGAGACCCCTCTTCAATATTTATTTGATACATAAATCTGTAATATTTATGCATGCTAATATAAGTTGCATTGCATTATTAGATTGCTCAGATTTATTAATTTCTGCTATGCAGTATTGTACTTTGTAAACTTAGTATCTTTGAAACTATATGCACTGTCCTCTGGACAATGTACTTGTATGCATACATGACAGAGCTGAAACTTTTGGTATAAGAAGTAATAAGTTTAAAACAGCTTTAAAGCATGGCTGAATAAATACTGCTCAACGAAAAGAACAAAATCTGGTGGGTTGTGTGTAAATCCATCAGAAGTATTATTTAACTTTACTTCTAACTGCATGTAGCTTATGGAAAGAAGAGGTGCAAGCATGCTGCAAATGCCAATGAAACCTTCCCAAAATTTAAGATTCTTTAACTATATATGTGAAAGGAGAGTGGCAGTATTAAATACCAGTTTTTTATTCTATATTTTAAAAATGCCTGCATGAACATGAAACGTTTGAGCTTTTTCAGGCAAATTCTCATGCTAATGAAACTCTGTCCTATTGTGCTACTTGCACTTAATATTGAGGATGTGATTAAGAACTCTTCCTAGCGGGCCATAAAGTTTGTGAAGTAGTGTATGATTCTACATATGTTTACACAAAAGTTATCCTGAGTTAAATTAGACTTAAAACTAGTAAGCATGCTTAACATGGCAGTCCTTCTGATGGTTGTAAAAAGTGAAATGCTCTGCAACAGTGTTGGAGAACCTGCCACCTTCCAGATGTTGTTGAACTACTGTAGGCCCAGCCAGCATTGCCAGTGGTCAGCTTGTGATGGAAGGTGTAGTCCGGCAACATCTGAAGGGCCATGCATTCTCAACCCTTACTCTGTGGTATGTGCGTGACTGAAATTTGTTCAAAAAACCTTATTTGTAGGAGGAAGTCACCAGTAGCACTGTTGTTTTTAACGCATCTAGCAAAACTAGTTACAAATGGTAGGATGTAATATCACAACTTTCCAGTAACCGAACATAAAAACTTCCTTGAATGATGTAAATAGTTATCATTATCGTCAGTCATCATGTCTCACCACAACAGACAATTCTGTAACTCTAGGGGCTTTTGCACTTGAGAATCTTTACCTGACGTGAAAACAACTCAAATTTAAGGAATTCAGTTTTCAAGAGAAATAAAAGTCATTATCGAAGTTGTTTCTTTTCTTTCTTTGTTCTAGGTACACTCTTCCTCTGGACATAAATATGCATTAAAAGAAGCTCTGTGTGACCCAGCTGTGACTAGTCGACTTGCTGATACTAAAGCAGCTGGTGAAGTCAAAGCCTTAGATGATTTCTACAAGATGCTACAACATGAGCCTGACCGGGCTTTTTATGGTCTCAAGCATGTGGAAAAAGCCAATGAAGCCATGGCTATTGATACCTTATTGATCAGTGATGAACTTTTTAGGCATCAGGATGTGGCTGCACGCAGTCGTTATGTCCGGCTAGTTGATAGTGTGCGTGACAACATGGGCACTGTTCGCATCTTCTCCAGTCTTCATGTGTCTGGGGAACAGCTTGGACAACTAACAGGTGTGGCTGCCATTCTGCGTTTTCCTGTTGCTGAGCTCTCTGATCAGGAAGAAGATTCCAGTTCTGAAGAAGATTGATGATGGTGTACTCATTCACCCTTCTCATGTAATGACTGCTTCAGCAGGGAAGGGGGTGTCTTTGTCCCAAATATTTTATGCTTCTGTACCATGCCTTACCGAAAAGAAAAAACAATGGGAACACTATTTTTTTAAGTGACTGGTAAGGTGAGCATTTAGTGTGCTGCTCTAGAATATTGCATATTTATACATTTTCCTTGTGTGAGTGGTAATGATTATGATAGTTCTCTCTTAGCAAAACTGAACTGACATAACTAATTGGAAAACATTGCTGGTGCTTTGTGGAACATGTGGAAAACCAATAAACTGAAACCATGAAAGAAGATAATGTTTTGCTTAAGTATTTTCTGTGTTTTGCACACAAACAAAAGTTTCTCTCCCCTCCCCCCTGTTATCATGGGAACTTGTTTAAATGCTAGAATGTTATAACTGATTATATTTGAAGTGTTTATTAAGTTGAGATGGTGTGACATACTGTAAGTGTAATTGTGTTTTATTCATAATTTGTGTGTCTGAAAGATTGTGGCTGATTTTGCACAATCCTTTCAACTTACCACTAAGATGGGCACAAGCTACAGGCACTCACATGTAGCTGTTTTATTCCTTTCTTCACATGAGTGGCAAAACAAAGGTTAATGGCTTCCAGACAAGCCAGTATACAAAACCACAATTTAAAATTGTTTGGAAGCCATTAATTATAGATTAAAGTACAGTGGTGCCCCGCAAGACGAAAAACTCGCTAGACGAAAGAGTGTTCCGTTTTTTGAGTCGTTCCGCAAGACGAATTTCCCTATGGGCTTGCTTCGCAAGACGAAACGTCTTGCGAGTTCTTGCGAGTTTGTTTCCTTTTTCTTAAAGCCGCTAAGCCGCTAATAGCCTTGCTTCGCAAGACGAAAAAACCGCAAGACGAAGAGACTCGCGGAACGGATTAATTTCGTCTTGCGAGGCACCACTGTAACAGGAAGGCATGGGTAACTGGATTCCAGTCTTGTTTCCTAACTTACATGAACAGAGAAGTGAAGTGGGAGCAAAGGGGCTGGATATGGGTGCATGATGCTTGAGTATACATTGCTTATTAAGTCGTGCCAACACAACCATTGATTTACTCTGTTGTTGAATTGAGAATTTTAGTTGCAACAAATAACCATTTTTAAAAATGAAAAGCAAAACTAATATTTGATTTATTAAAAAAAGGATTTTAAGCAGAACTCCATGGATACTGTTAAGGCAAAAGGTGGGTCATGTGTGGCCTACCCGTATTTTATTAAATACTGTTATTGCTGGGTTAATCATAACAATGGCACATTTCTCATGGCCCCCTAGATCATAAAAGGCAGTTTTCATAGAATAGTATAATCACTAAAAAGCTAAAACATGTGTTTTAATAAAACGTTGGCAACAAACTTATTTTGTGAGGATTTTACTAGTCTTGCTCATGTGTCCTATTAGTTTATTTTATTAAGAAGTAAGCACAGATTCAATAAGTGAACAGCTAAACAAAATCAGTGGAAGAATGAGCTGGGAGGTGGTTGGGTTGGGGCAGGGGTCTGCAACCTTTAAGACAAAAAGAGCCACTTGGACCCGTTTCCGAAGAAAAAAAACCTGGGAGCCGCAAAACCATTGTGACATTTAAAACAAATATATCTCCGGAGCCACGATCTGACAGCGGGCGGGAAGGTGACGTCGGGACGGTGCGTGACTAACGCACGCACCGCCCCCATGCGACGTCACAGCCAGTACAGCGCCCGCCACAGTGGGGAGTGTCGGGGCGCACAATGCGCCTCCTCCCCTTGCTAGTATCCGCCCCGGAGCCGCAGCAAAGGTGTAAAAGAGCCACATGCGGCTCCGGAGCCGCGGGTTGCAGACCCCTGGGTGGGGGAACCAAGTCTTTGTTCCCAGTGTGCAGTCTACTGATCTAAGGCCTCAGTTCTAGGCACCTTTCTCTAAAGATAAGTTCCATTGAACTCTGTGGGCTTACTTGTAAGTCAACATATATAAGATTGGGTTGTTATTCAGGAATATTTTCTCTTCCTTGTGGGATTGGATTCTGCAATCCCAAAACTTATCATGTGTGTTTCTAATCTTCTGGATTTGGGATTATAGTCTCTTTACTTGAACTCTAAACCTAAGACCACCAGAGGAATACTGATAGCCATTTCCCTCTCTAAACTTGGTTCATTAAAATATTCCTACAGTATTCAGTACTTTCAAGGACCAATTAGTGTTTTTTATGAGAGATGAAAACTTTTACAACACACAGGTAGCCTCTTTGGACTAGAACAATGTTTGCCTTGTGCTAGGTAAGTTTTCACCAACCTGGCACTTTCCAGATGTTTGGGATTACAACTTCCATTAGCCCCAGCCAGCCTCAGTTTGGTAAAGCCTGGGCTAGACTATAAAGAAGGATGTTGCTGTGTCAGGTCCATGATATATGTATTTTGTTGATGTTTAGTCGCGTCCAAATCTTTGTGACCCCATGGACCAGAGCACGCCAGGCACTCCTGTCTTCCACTGCCTCCAACAGTTTGGTCAAACTCATGCTGGTAGCTTCGAGAACACTATCCAACCATCTCTTCCTCTGTCGTCCCCTTCTCCTTGTACCCTCCATATTTCCCAACATCAGGGTCTTTTCCAGGGAGTCTTCTCTTCTCATGAGGAGGCCAAAGTATTGGAGCCTCAGCTTCAGGATCTGTCCTTCCAGTGAGCACTCAGGGCTGATTTCCTTAAGAATGGATAGGTTTGATCTTCTTGCAGTCCATGGGACTCTCAAGAGTCTCCTCCAACACCATAATTCAAAAGCATCAATTCTTTGGCCATCAGTCTTTATGGTCCAGCTCTCACTTCCATACATAGTGATGTATGGGAAAACCATAGCTTTAACTATACGGACCTTTGTGATATTTGTATTTAGCTATATTACAGTGGTGCCTCGCAAGACGAAATTAATTCGTTCCGCGAGTTTTGTCGTCTTGCGATTTTTTCATCTTGCGAAGCACAGTGTCGGGAAAGTTTTGGAAAAGCTTCAAAAATCACCAAAGTCTTTAAAAACCTCAAAAAAGGCTACCACACCGCGTTCTATGAGTTGCTCCTCAAAGTCAAGTCGCAACTGTATTAACGGTGTTAAGAAAAAGGAAACAAACTTGCAAGACGTTTCCGTCTTGCGAAGCAAGCCCATAGGGAAAATCGTCTTGCGAAGCAGCTCAAAAAACAAAAAACCCTTTCGTCTAGCGAGTTTTTCGTCTTGCGAGGCATTCGTCTTGCGGGGCACCACTGTATTTACATTACTTAGCAATTACTGAGGTCTTAAGTTAGTCATGACTACTGATTTCAGTGGGCCTACTCTGAATTCGACATACTGTAGTTGATTCCTGAAACTCGTGAATGTTATTGCAGTTAATGATCAATTAATAAGCATATTAGTATTTTAAATGAAATATCTGAATGAAAGACCACATGTAGGCTATGCTAGTTGCATTAACATGACAAGATGGTTGAGATATGGCTAGAAAGAATAAAAACAGTATGTAATATCTCTCCCTAACATTTTGTACCAAACAGGTATTTGTTAAATATTCCCAAATCTTTTTTATTTGGATTTTTGGGGAAATAGCATTGGGTTAAGAAAAAGTCTAACTTAACAAGGCTGCTTTTTGTGGCCCTTTTAATAATTAATTTAATAACCTGTCATTGAGGAACTCCTTAATGAATCTACACTCTGGTACATTTATTCTTTGATGTATTCCGTATTTATTAAAACGTATTTGCTGCAAGTAGTTGGTTCTGTGGAAGGTGATGTAGGCCACAATCCAATGCACACAGGTCTCCATGGAAGGAACCTTTGCATGGCTTAAATTTATGATTGATTTTTATTTATTTATTTATTTATTTTGCAAAAGCACTGTTAGATAACTGCCCTTAACCTCCACTTTACCTCTTTGATAGTTATCCATTTATTGTTGAGGCGTATACTTGTATCAGTTTCTCAAAACAGTTTTTCAGATAGTTCCTTCCCTTATTTATTGCACTTGACCACCTTGCTTTTAAGGAGCTCAAGACAATGTCTCATAATTTTTCTCTGCTCCTCCCAACCTTTATATACCTTTAACAGCTCTGTCATACAGCGTCCATCACCTTCATTCCTTCCATCATCCTAGACTATTGACCATCCTGGTTGGACCTGATAGGAGTTTTGGTCCAAAACATTTGGAGGGCCACAGGTTGGGGAAGGCTGGTATAGGTCAAGAGACTGGTGAATATTCAGCTAACTTCATTGCAGAAAAGCTTTATTCACTGGCGTATACTGTTATTTGCAGTTCTCACTGCTTACCAATGCTATGTTAAACTGATAAATGTACTAAATCAAGACTTTGTATCTTTTCCCAAGCTGAGAAAACTGGGAGACTTTTTTGTGGGGGCCAATAGAGCTCAAGAAAATGAAACTCAATTAACTGTATACCAAGGCCAGTATGACCTAGTCATCTGCAAGATCCTTAGCTCTGTTTTGCTCTCGTAGACAGTTGTCTACTTTTTTACAAACAGCATTCTAATTCTTTTGTATAGTTTACTGGAAATTCTCCAGAATCTTAGTTTATTATTCTGCAAAGGTTAAAGATTAAGGCAGAGAAGCTCAAACAAAAGTTCTTTTATGGTCTGTAGGGGGGGGAATTGGCAGATTTGAATTCTGAGCTGGAAAACTGAAAGATTTGTATAAGGTTTTATCTGAAATACTGGTGTTTAGTCACAAATGAAATTAATTGCCATATGAATTTCAGTTGCAGCATTTTGAGAGAGTGGGTGTGGCGTTTGCCCTCCTAGGTGTGTGACATCATACTGGGTTCATAAGGAAAGGGTTAACTTATTGTAAAATGACTAACCAATGGGAACCCCAGGGGGCAGAGTTAACAGCGTATAAGGTTTAAGCACAGAGGGTTTTTGGAGGAGTTAGAGTTAGGGTGGTAGAGAAGACAGTCTGGAGTTAGAAGAGACAGAAGATAAGTCTGTGGGTTGAGCTAGTCTGGTGTGAACAAGTGAGAGAATTTGTTAAGAGGAGTCAGACAGTTGAGATAATCAGTTGGAAGGTATTGGGAAGGTATAGGCCGGTAAAGAAACTAAAGTTAAGATACTGACAGGAATATTATCTGAGAAACCGTAAATTTGTTAATGTTTGTAAAATAAACTTGGCTTTTTGGTTCGCTTTTAACAACTGACTGGACTCAGTGTTTTACTCGAGAGTAACTGGTTGGTGGCAGCAGGGAAGCGAGCACAGTGGTGGCACAGGGATCAATAGACCGTTAAACGTCCAGGGACCCTGTGTGATCGCCACAGTGGGGGTTACAAGAGCTCTGAAAAATGCACATATTCTGTATGTGATGTACATTTTTCTGGAGGAAAGCTGGGGTTAGAGTAATATTTGACAACCCAGAAATGCTTACTGTTGCATTATTATTGCATGTTGAGCATCCCCCGCCCCCCGGGAACTGCAGTGTGCTGTGAAGTTGATTGTATCAGTGGTGCAGTTAAGGACTGGAGGAAGTCAACGAAAGAATTAATGGTTTCAGTGTTTAGGAGATGTCTGGATGCCAGGTGTAACAGTGGAGGAGTAGATTTAGTGTACAAGAGAAGGCCAGAGTTCAGTTGTACAATATCTGCTCCACATGCATAAAGTCCCAGGTTCAATCCCTAGGATTTCCAGGTAGGGCTAGGAATGTCCTGTTTGCATTGAGCTAGTGCAAACAAACACTGTTAGATGGACCAATTCATTTCTGTTGCTAAAAAATAAAAATCCTGCAGATGTCCCTGGGTGGACACACTGTTGCTCAGCTGACAATTGCAGACAGCCCTATCTTTTATCCCTGGGAACAATAGTTTTTCAGTATGAAGCAGGAAATTGCCTAGCGAGGCATGGAGATAGATTCCTCCCCCCTTTTTATATCATTGTCTTTGCTTTGCCCTTCAGGTTCCTCAAATCCATTGCCTCCTCTCACCCTTTTGACAGTTCCCCATGTGGTGTCTCAACATCTGATGCCATTAAGTTCTTATGCAGCTGTTTTGGGAGCTCTACCGCAAGGGGATTTCTTCCAATATATATGTGTGTATTTCTGAACACCTTAAGAATACCCCAAATTTGCCGATGCTTCCCTCTTGTTTTGGCTGCATAAGCATTGGTGCATGAGGAAAATTAGTTGGCAATAATATATAAGTAACAACAAGAGACTTCACTTTTTCAGTGGCTTTTTCTCTCTAATGACAATAGTTTTCTTTGCATTCAGGTTTTTACTTCTACAGCCTTCTAGCGGGCTGCCACCTGAAAGTATTTTGTTAGAGAATACGGTAAATAACATAGCAGTGTGATTCATTTTCCTTTTATTTATTGGTCAAAAGAGCAGAGCCAACAAAACGTCTGTTCCTCTCTCCTTTACTGACAATAACTTTTAAAACTACTTTTTTGCTATTTTCTGGGGATCATAAGAGCACTAATGGAAACAACGAGACTTTTACAAGCAATAATTCTGTTCTTTTTATCGACTTCAACTACTGCAAAAGGCACTGGAAAGCTTGATCATGGCCTCATAAAATGCATTGTGAATCCTAGCATCACTTAATTATCAACAACTTTTTATGAGATGCACTCTTCTTCTCCAGAAAACATAACCTACAAGAAACACCTTCATTACAAGTTAAAAGTAAAGGGAGGAGCAAAATAAACGTGATCATACTCCTTTTGCATCTCTTCTTCATTTTATTTTGGCTTACATAAGACGGGGCCCTTTGACTCTTAGCCTTTACTTGGAGATCCTGTAGTCCTCTAGAAGTTTTGCACTACAACCCCAGAGAACCAGTGTGGTATAGTGGTTAAGAGCGATAGACTCGTAATATGGTGAACCGGGTTTGCGTCTCCACTCCTCCACATGCAGCTGCTGGGTGACCTTGGGCCAGTCACACTTCTCTGAAGTGCTTCAGCCTGACTCACCTCACAGAGTGTTTGTTGTGGGGAAGGAAGGGGAAGGAGAATGTTAGCTGTTTTGAGACTCCTTCTGGTAGTGATAAAGCGGGATATCAAATCCAAACTCTTCTTCTTTAATCAGCAAGGCCATCATTTGAAGATTGTAAGAGTTGCCGTGCAAAACATCTGGAGGGCACCAGGTTGAGGAAGGTAGCCACTGAAGAACAGAGTCTGTTGTTAAGATAAAACACCATGTTAGGCAGTGTGGTCTTACTTTGTTCCACTTGGATCAATCCTTGGAAACCTATGATGCTGAGATTCTCCCATCAAGCCCCTCCCCGCCCCAGCCTCATGCTGTTTTCCCACTGGGTAAATGAAGCACTGGGCTTTGGGAAAGGGATGTAAGGGCTCTGACAGTCCTAAAGTCCTTCATCTTCCTTTCCAAAGCCTAGTTAGTGCTTTCCCAGCTTTGAGAGGGAGGTAGAAAAGTTATAGGACTCAGACATGAGCCTCACGCCTTCCCAAAACCCAGTGCCCTCACTTAGCCAGCTTTGGGAAGACAGCATGAAGGTTGGTGCGGACACCAAATTTTGGACTCGCTTCCCCCCTTCCGACACGACAAGGCAGTGTGCAGCCCACAGGTTCCATGTTGAAATACTCTTGCGGCCCACTTGGTATGCAATATTGGACCACCCTGGTCTAGCCACTCGATAAAACTGGCCATAGGCTGTCAGAAAGGCAGAGTAATCACATTTGCACATACACCATGTGTCATCTGGTTCCATATCCTGCTCTCATAGTGGCCAGCTGTGACTACGATGACTGTGGGAAGCCGCCAAGCAGGACATGAGCACAACAGCCCCCTCTCTGCTTGTAATTCCCAGGAACTGGTTTTCAGACATTGACCCCAACAGTGGAGTCACGGTGATTCATATTCTTTCCCCTACATTTTCCTTTCCTTTTACACAGTGCTGCTGCATCTTGTTCTGTCGTTCAATGTTGATGTGAAAGATACAATGACCTTCAGTGGCCCAGTGGAAGATATGTTTGGATACACTGTTCAACAGTTTGAAAATGAAGAAGGAAAATGGTAAGTTTTGGTTTTTTGGGATTCTTCCCCTGCCAGAAAAACATACACACACATACATAAACATAAACCTTTCTCACCTATGTTTTACTCTGGGAACTTAGCTCTGCATATTATTTGTTCTGTGCAACTGATCACATTTATTTTATTTTATTTAACCTATTTATACACTGTTCTTCATCTGAGCAAAACCAGAGCTGTTAACAGTATGTAAACGTAAAACAACAGCCCCACACATATTAAAATATTTAAAGCCACATTAAAATTACTTCCATTGTGACACAATATATATATAGGAAGCTAAGGAGTTGCAGTCCAGAAATATCTTCAAGACCACGGACTCCCTGTTCCTGCTTTATAGGGAACCACAGTAAAATTACCTGCTATATTGAAAAGATGACAGGCTCTTTTTTTGTTTTTTCAGGGTGCTTATTGGTTCTCCTTTAGCTGGCCAACCTCAGAAGAAAACAGGTGATGTTTATAAATGCCCTGTGGGACAGGGCCATGGTTTGCCATGTGTAAAACTAAACTTACCAGGTAAGAATGTAAGTGGCTGGCAGAAATTTGGAGTAGATCCAACATAGGAATGTTTAAGACCTTGTCTGTATTTTCTTTGTAATTCTCTGCATCATCGCAGGGTTGCGTCACGTATGGCATTCTTCCTCGATCTATATTTATCCATGGAAAATATTCTCATGTGCATCACTACATGTAAAATATGATGTGAATGTTTCTTCTCTCATGCAGGCCCATGTTTGTTTTTAAGGCCAGTTTGCACCTTGTAATTTTCCCATATGCATGCAGATTATCTGACGTTGTGAAAAAGTACAAAGCAAGGCAGTATTGGGACGAACCAGAGCAATTTGTGGAATGGGGTAGCTTGGGGATAAATGCAGCTGAGATCACAGAGGAACATCTCCATGATGCTGCAGTCTTAAAACTAATGCGCCTCCTTACAGTCAAGCACCTGAATGCAATAGTGTGGAGAAAAATAAGCAGGCCTTGAACTAGTCTCTATGAGATACACACAATATAAACAAGATATTTTGTGGTTCGTGCATTTTGCTCTCCCTTTGTTAGATCCCTCCTTTTGTTACTGTAAACAACATGCTAAACCTTGGCTTAATACTGCTGAAACAAGCCTGAGCAAAGCTTTGGGCTTGTGTGTTCCCCTTACATCTCGCGGGCAGCTGGGAGAAGCACTTTGGCAAAGTTTAGTTTCAGTTTTTGCAGAATCCTGATGAAGTTCAGTGAAAACAGAACAGTGAAAGTTCTCGCTTAATACTAACGGGCAGGGAGTTCCAGAGCATAGGTGACACCATACTAAAAGATTGATTCCCTGCAAGTGCAGAAAGAATATTATATGGAAGTTGTAAAAGTGCCACTTCAACATATCAGTTCAGTCCAGTGGGTACGTATGATGTAAGGCAATCTTTTAAGTAAACTAGTCCTAAGCTGTTAAGGGATTTATATACAAATAGTAACACCTTGCTTTTGGCCTGGTAACAAATCAGCAGTCAATGCAGATCTTTGCATAGAAGTGTAATATGCTCTGTGTCCTGTTGACAGTCCTGCTGCACCATTCTGTACTAACTGCTTTGGCTGCTCTCTGCCTTTCTTCCAGAGTGTGAAAAACGTTTAGCTATCAGGCAGGCCTCTTAGTTTTCAAATCATGCATTAAATTGCTGCCTGTTTCTTTTCTGGAACATTTGCAAAGCTGTTGACAGTCCTGACTTCACAGGACTTTTATGACTGCACAGTTATACATAAAAGCAGGAACAAGTGTTTTGGGGTTATTTTTTAAAAAAAACTTTTTGACACCTTTATACATACCTGGCTCTAGAGTGAAATCTGAATCAGCTCTTAGAGAGGCTCAAGAGGCAGATTGTTTACTATGCTTTCAGACTGCTCCTGCCAAAGTGGCTGGTATAGGGTGCCAATCAACTAATTCTTACCAAGTCCTACTCTTAATTTTAATGATCATGACTACGGTAAGTTTGGTTCATTTCAATGGGTCTACTTGAGTATAATGTCATTGAGTCCAAGCCATATGACAGCCAGATGGTTGCATAATATATGTGGGCTCAGCACAGGCTGGTCATCTTAGAAATATGAATTTATTCTATCCAGAGCTGAAATCAAAGTTCTGGCTCTCCAGCCCAGATTCCATTAGCCTGGAGGCTGTTTTCTCCCGGAGATAATGTCATTAGCACACCACCCTCTTCCGTGGATTGAGAACAAAGACTCATACAAAATGGATGCTCACAGATTAACATATGCATAGGGCTGAAATTCAGTCTTTTTCATGTGATTTAAGTTAAACACCTTGTGTCAGAGCAGCAGAGATACATTAACAGTCAATAATTAACCTGTTAGGCGCTCTGAGAGATTTTGTTTAGCTCAATAGATGTTTCCATATTATCCCTCTAGCAGTACACATACAGAGTTACAGTGGCACCTCTGGTTACAAACTTAATTCGTTCTGGAGGTCTGTTCTTAACCTGAAACGGTTCTTAACCTGAGGTATCACTTTAGCTAATGGGGCTTCCCACTGTCGCCACGCCGCTGCTACGCGATTTCTGTTCTCATCCTGAGGTAAAGTTCGAAGTACTACGTCCGGGTTAGCGGAGTCTGTAACCTGAAGTGTTTGTAACCCAAGGTGTTTGTAACCCGAGGTACCACTGTATTTTCCATTTCAACGTACAATTAAACAATTTTACTTAAGTGTGTCCCTTCATGTGTCAACTTACTAACAGGGGGACTGGTGTGAATTCTAATACATTTCCTGTCCAATAACTATTTCACCTTTCTACCCATTGAACTGTCACAAATGCTGCTGATCTTTTAATATCCTATCAAATAATTTAGTAGTTTTACAAGAGAGGAGTTGGAAAGGTTTGATTTGTTCTCATTTGTAATTTATGTGAATGCTTGTCTCCTGCTGTCACTGCATTGCTGTTTTGACATCCTCTTTGAATATCAAGAAAACTATGTGAAGCAGTGTCCCAGACAAAGTTTCTGGGATGAGGGCCAGGCCTTTGACTTGTTCATCAGAATCTGAATCAAGAGGGAGGAGGAAGGGAAACAGAAAAAGACTGTGTTTTATATATAAAAGGTTGGGTGTTTTAGTTTAGAGAAACTGCTACATGATTTAATGTCTTGCTTGCACGTTTCCACATATTTTACATTTCTGATCTATTTATAGATGACATCTCCATTCCTCACGTTGCGGAAGTAAAGGAGAACATGACCCTTGGAGCAACTTTAGTGACTAACCCAAATGGAGGATTTCTGGTGAATGAATAAAGTATTTTAAGGAAACAAGTGACCAGCAGCCTCATACCCAGCATTGCTTGGCAATTCTGAGCGGGGGGAAATCAGGGCAGTTTTGAAATTAGGGCAGTTTTGAAATGTTCAGTCTGCCATATTGATTCAAAATGGTGTCCAACTGTATAGACGTATAGATGAAAATCTACTCCTTGATCTCATGAACCTACAGACAAAACCTTGTTACAGTATCTTAAGAAGTACCCAAATGCACCACAACCAGAAAACTGCTTTCCAAAATATTTAGCAGATGTGTTTATATAATGGCTTGGACCAGCAGAGTCCTTCTATTAATGGAGGGAGTCATCCAGCTTAAAGAAATGTCCCTTCTCTTTGCAGCATGGGCTTGGATCCAATAGAGTTTCTGCAAAAAAGTATTGGAAAGAGGCAATTTTCACCAATACTCTCTTCCCCCTGCCCCCTTTGTCACCTCTGGGTGGTCCCCCAGCCCAGGGTTAACTGTGTGATACAAATTTGTTTCCTTGTGCATATTAATGTTGGCACTAAGCTAGCCTAGCAGGTCTATTGACTTCAGTGGGTCAGTCTTGAGTATGAGTGAGGCAGATACAACTCAAAGCATGGAACATCTGTTTCTTACAAGTTGACTTTTTATATAATGTTGCTGGTTGTGTTTCCCTTATAAAAATCTGGTAGAGATAAGAGGGTTCCAAGTTTTGTGTATATATATTTAAAATTAATTTTATTTTCACAAATTGTTATGGGGAACAGATCTGGTTCATGGGTCGTCTATTAGCCGGTCCAGCTGTAGTTAAGGTCATCTCTGCCTGACAATTACGTTTATTTTATGTTTTCATATACCACTTTTCATCACCAGAAGAACTCAAAGTGGTTCACATAAGGATATATAAATCATAACACTGAAGCAACGACATGATCCTTAATGTGGCATCACACTGGTGTTGCCATGTGTTTTATGCTGCCATTTTGTGATATCCCCAGACCTTGAATTATTATGAAGTAAGCTGACTTGTTTAAACTGTAACCTTTTTCTCCTTTACTTAAGGCATGTGGGCCTCTTTATGCTTACAAATGTGGGCGCTTACATTACACCACTGGTATCTGCTCCAATGTCAGCTCCACTTTTGAGGTTGTAAACTCCATCGCCCCATCTGTACAAGGTATGTATATGAGAGCGCTGCTCTTCTACGTGCTGAAATTATTGAGCACCGAGGGAGACAAACGTATACACAGAAGCATACCAAAAAGCAGAAACTATTTTTCAAGGCCACCAGCATTACCAAGTTAAGTAAATGTTATCATTGTCTGTATATTACCTAACTGCTTGCTGCTTCTGGCTGCTGCTTAGCATAAACAGAGTTTGGGATGCTATGTCATGAGCAAAGATCAGGCTAAAAATAATCTTTATGTAGTCACAGCGAACGGAGTGCCTCTTTAGATTAAGAAGACAAATGCCCTCATAAACTTGTTTTGTTGACTATTGTTTGATATCTGGAGTGCGAGAGGTCCTGCTCAAGTTTAGATCCCAGAATAAAACTCCCTCGAAAACAAGGGGCAGTGACTAACTCACTTGTTCCATCAGTTCAAAGATTTCTGCTTGCGAAATGGAACTTCCACTGCCTCTCCTACCCCCATGTGTCCCCTAAATCTTTTCTGGGGTTTCCCCCAGTCCCCTAGGGAAGATTTGGGGAGGGTGCAGGAGCAAAAGGAGACAGTAAGTTCTGTTGCAGAAGTAGCAATCCTTGTGCTTACAGAACAAATTGGTTCTGGTGCAATTGTGTGCATTTGGGTGATTGGAAGGTCGGCGGTTCGAATCCCTGCAATGGAGTGAGCTCCCGTTGCTCTATCCCAACTCCTGCCAACCTAGCAGTTTGAAGGCACACCAGTGCAAATAGATAAATAGGTACCGCTGTGGCAGGAAGGTAAACGGCATTTCTGTGTGCTCTGATTTCTGTCAAGGTGTTACGTTGTGCCAGAAGCAGTTTAGTCATGCTGGCCACATGACCCAGAAAGCTATCTGTGGACAAACGCCGGCTCCCTCGGCCTGAAAGTGAGATGAGTGCCGCAACCCCATAATCGCTCTTGACTGGACTTAACCGTCCAAGGGTCTTTTACCTTTACCTTATCTACCATTAGTAGTAGTACCCACCTTTTCCCTTGACAGTAGTCCATAGAAAGACATGTGATTCTATCTAGAAAGCTGGACTAGATGGCAAATACATATTTTCAGCTGCTAGAACTTACCCATCATGAAACATCATGGCTATATTTCAAAGGAAGCTTTTATTTTATTTTTTGTTCCTAAGATTTATACCCCACACTTTTGCCACCAGGTAGCAGGGCAACTTATAAGAGAAAAAGTCCAGAATATATATAATAATGATACAATAATAATTCACAACACAGCAACAATTTAAAACAGCAGTGGAATGCAGCACATAAAACCCAACAGAGCATAATAAACATGTTAGTTCTCAACAGCTTCAAATAATTCAAAGGCCTGGGAAAATGTCTGCGCCAGACACTGAAATGGCATCTTCACAAGGGGCCAGGCAAGCTTCCCTTGGGAAGGCATTCCACAAGCTGCAGTATTTTTGCATAAAATGGCCTGGCGCCTCCACTGCACTCTCATTCTATCTATTTCTGATGTTAGGCTGTGAGCGCCATTGGTTATGTTGCCAAAAGGGCACCCCATGCACAAAATAAGATATCAAGCAGGCTTGGGGGAACCCCAAACTTTGCAGAGAGACGTGAAACCTTTGAAAGAAAATGCTATGTGAGGATTAGGAATGCGGAAGAAATTTGGAACCAAAACACAGCCATCCTTCAAAATTTGCATTTGCCTGAATTTTGAGGTGTGGTTCTCAAGCTAAGCAGCGTGTACAAAAAGGCATATAATGGAACAAAATGTCCATGAAAACAAATATTTTAGTAAAAAATAAATAAATACAAAAATGCATTATTGTAGGGCAGGCATCCCCAAACTCAGCCTTTCAGATATTTTGGAACTACAATTCCCATCATCCCTGACCACTGGTCCTGTTAGCTAGGGATGATGGGAGTTGTAGTCCCAGAACATCTGGAGGGCCGAGTTTGGGGGTGCCTGTTGTGGGGGAACTGCTTTTGAAAAATGTGCTGGGCAAAACAGGATGCAGACATTTATATTTTAGGAGAAATTCCCAGTAAAATGCTGGTGAATTTTCTTGGAAACAAGAGGAAAAAAATCAGGAACTGATGTGGAACACTGAACGTTAGATTGGGGAAAAATGAGAAAATGAGAGAAACAAAAATTGACAGTTCCATCCATTCCTAGCGAGGACCCAAAAGAATCTCTTTAGGAGTGGGCATACTCAGTGGCCATGGAACTCTGACTGAATGTTGGAGGTGGAGGAATTTACAGGTGGCACTAGATTGGAGTGGCTGGAATCCTAAACAATGGTACTTCATCCTGCAACAGTACATTTCAGATCCCACTCATATAAACCCTACACTACTAGAGAGGTTTTTAGGTTTCTCCTGGACTTTTCCAGTGTGTGACTTGACTGGTCTGCAAGGCAAGATGTTCAACACATTGCCAACCTGTCCTACTGTTATTTTGATAGCATTCCATTATTTATATTGATTCCCAGAGGTAGATCCCATTGAAGAAATGCACTGCCTTGCTTTCAGAATTACTTTATGATCCGTTTCCCAGAGAGCATGCTGTGGGAACATATGGTTTTGCTTCTCCTTTCTCTGAATTCTTCTTCTTGCTCCCTGGCTGAGGACAATTATAAATAATGCCAGACTAACCATATTTCTTTGGTTTTGTCTGAGTCATCACTGAGGAAGCCAGAACAGTTGTTTTCTTGACTTCGGGCCACTTTGAATGTTGCATACCTCGCACCCCCCTGACATATGTGACCCATCCCAGACATTTTTGCACATGTCAAAGTACGTGAGAGCCAGGAAATGCTGGATGCTATTAGTTGCTGCAATTCCTGTGATCTTGGAGGCATCATTTCTATTGGAAATCACAGAAATTTCAGCCAGCCAGTAACAGCAACTTGGATCACGTGCTTTATTTATGTGCATAATCACATGCTCTGGGATAGCCAGCAACTGAGGAACTTGTGGCAAGTGTAAAACATCTGAACTATCTATTGAGGATGATCACTAGTGTAAAATGCCCTTTCTGAAACAACTGGGAGCTAGAATCCTTGCTGATCTACTGCCAAAACAGTCAGATACCAACATCACCTTTGCAGTTTTGTGTTCGTCTTGGTTCCCACCCCCCAAAAAATGTATGTGTTTTTATGCAAACATTCCCTAGTATACGCATTTGTGAGCACATTATTTGGCTGCAAAATAGCATCACAAAATTTGGGGAAGTGTGAATTTCAAAGGGTAGCTGTGCTTCAGTTCAAATATTGAACTGGGTAGTTTCTCATTTGGAATGCCAATGAAATCCTGAGCTGTAATGCATTAGGGATAAGGCCAGCTGTTCCCTCTGCCTGCAACACGGTTCTAGTAGCACAAGGAAAAAGGCACTAGTGTGCCACTGCCAAAGTGTCTGGGTTCACACTTCCACTGCCTTAGATACATCCCAACAGAAGTATCTTCTTCTATGTACGACTACTGTAATAAATTTACTGTTCCTTCTTAAACGCCACCCTGAGCTGTATGTCCACTATCTGGTTGGCAAGCATGCATGTGACAATTATTGCACACAGTGACATGCATCGGAATATAATCTATCAGGGAAATTGGATATTAACTTTTCTACTCAACTTTGTCATCCTAATGCTCTTGCCCAGCAACCAAGCTTCCCAGGCTGCTCTAGGCACTGACTTTAAAGGTCAACAACTGAGGATCTTCTTCTTCATTAGCTCTGGGATGGGAAACCTGTGACCTTCCAGATGTTTTTGGATGCCAACTCCCATCAGCCCCAGTTAGCACAGCCAGTACCCAGGGGTGATGGAAGTTGAAGCCTAATAAGACCTGGAAGGCCACAGGTTTCCTCCCTATACTCCTGCTTTCAGAGTTCCCATCTAGAATCTCAGCAAGTCTCAGTTGTAGAAATTAGCTCCAGAGGAAGAAATGTCAATGGGATGCAGAAGAAGAGGTATAAGTAACACCATCAAGACCGAACAATTAAATGTTGCAGCCTGTGATATCAGCATATTTACCTAAAAGTAATTTCCCCTGAAAGTAAAGGGGAGGGGTCCTTGCAAGTAAAGTATCGAGAGTGCCAGCTAAGATTTAGTTTAGTTTTTTTAAAGGCATTATTAATTTCCTCCTGATGCATTGGGGCACTTCTTTAAGATCCAACAATTCACATTGCAGAATGCAAGACCCAGCTGGACATTGTTATTGTTCTTGATGGCTCCAACAGTATTTACCCATGGGAGAGTGTCACTGCTTTCTTGGACAGCCTGCTGAGAAATATGGACATAGGCCCCAAAGAGACACAGGTATGGTGAAAAACACGTTTTGTCTTCCATTTTTGATTAGGGATGAAGGGAAAAGAGTAAGGCTGAAGTCCTGAATCTACTTAGCTAGAAGTAAGTCTCAGTGAACTTGATGTAGCTTACTTCTGAGTATTTGTTAAATTTCTAGCTAAAAATGTGCAGCATTACACTGTAAGCTAGATAACCAATGATATTTATGTTCCAGGCATATAGGGTTGTATCCAATGAAGTCATGTCATTAGCGCAAGGACTTCTGCTTAAGCAACAGAACTTCCCCTCCCTCTCCTTCCAGCCCCCTCAAATCTGTTTTGGGAGAGAAGAGGAGAGGGAGGGGAGTCCTTATGATAATGCTATTAAAAGTGTTGGTTATGGCTGAAAATATCCTTCACCGACCTGAAGGACACTTTTCTCCAATATTTGGCAGCCTATGTCCTACCTCAATCTAAGGTACGTGGTGAGGACTTAGAAGAGGGCCTTTTCAGCGGCTACATCCAGGGTCTGGATCGCTTTTCCTAGAGAGGTTCATCTAGCCCCTTTACTGAATTTGTGTTGTTATTTACATGTTTAGCCACCTTTCTTTTAAAAAACAAAACCCAAAAAAAGGTCTCAACACAAAATTTGAGTACATGGAAACAAAGATCTCAGTAAACACCAGAACAAAGGTTATGTGTTGTGGTTCTCAAATCTACTACTTTTTTGTTACTGGTTCACGCAATCCTGAATTCTAGTATAACTGGTGGAGGAAGAATCTTTGTATCTAATTTCTTTTCTGCAGTAATAATGTGAACTTGCTCCTTCTCATCTCCTGCACCCCGGTCTTCAGCCTGCTTCCTTTTTCTTCTAGCTGTAACACATTTGTAAAGGCATGTCACACCTGAAACAGAAACCTCATAGTGAAGGGTGGAGGTTGGAATGACTGCAACTTGCGCCAGGAGTTTCAGATTTGTAATAAAATAACTATGAAGTGTCATACTAACATTTTATTTTCGTAACTGTGGTTTTCATATTTCCTTCAGGTGAAACTCTATAATTGCAGTAATAACTGTGGTATCATTATTTTAATTTTTGCAACCGTAAAACATTTGTGCTTCCGTTGACGTTATTCGGTTCAAATGGCACCAGTGAGTGCCAGTAAACAAAGATGTTTTTACTAAAAAGAGATGGGTTATAAAACTGATTTGGAAGCACATCTGCAAAGCCTAAACTAAAAATGCAAACTGGCCCGGCTATAAAAGAATACGATTAGATAAAACCTGTAGAGGCCTTATTGATATTCAATCTGTCAATGTTACAGGGCTTTTAATAATAGATGAGGAACAGATAAATATGCCAAATCAAGGTGCATTTTCACCCCACAACTGAGCAGTGTGTACTCAAAATATCAAAGGCAAACATAAACTTGAAATATGCTAATGGAACATTGCACAGATCACCTCTAGTCAAGAACCTCCCATAACATCAAAGCAAGTGGAGATGAAGAAAGAGGTTATTTTTCGGGGTGGGGAGAGAGTTGTTTATCTTTCTTTTCTGTTTCATCTTTCTTTTACAAGCGAAGTTGGGGGAATTAAGGGACTTCGCGTACAGTGTGTGTTTGATGAGCACGCACACGTGCAACTGTACTGCCAAAAGCGCAAGGGGTCAGCTGCCACCAGCAGTGACTTCCTGCCATGTGTTCATGTGATGGATATGTAAGGATTTGTTACAAGTATGATCCATGCAAATGTCCTACCCAGAACAGGTTTTCCATTAGGAAGCTTTTGCCAAGTGTGAATCAGTTTCCCCATTTTAGATGGCTTCTCTGTCTTGAGCAGAAAGCAAGAGGAACCCACTATAAGCGCATAGATGTGGGCTCTGCACAAACCCATTTGGGGCCCGATCTGGTGCTCTGGAGTGGCCTTGATTTGAAGGCCTTGCACTTCTTTAGTTGGGACCCTCCAAGTGTCCCTATTTTCCAGGGACATCCCTGTGGCGTTTGCCTCCTAGGTGGGTCATAAGGAAATGGTTAAAATGAGTGTGATGTGATTGGCCAGTGAGAATGCAAGGGGGGGGAGTAAAAGTTAGAGTGGGAGGTTTTGAAAGTCAGTTGAGGTTTGGGAGTTGAGAGTTGAGGTTTGGAAATTGGAGAAGGAAGAGGGAGGAATAGGCAGTGGGTTGGTCAAGTTGTATTGTGAGATAGTGAGAGGAATTGTTAGGGGGAGTCAGATAGATAGTTGGAATAATCAGTTTGGAGTTGTTAGGAACTAAGATTAAGAAACTGACAAGAGAAAAATAAACTGAAACCATACTCTTGTTCCTCTTGTTTAAAAATAAACTTGATTGTTTGTTAATGTTAACAACTGTCTGGACTCCATGTGTCCCCATGAGAAGCGGGGTGGTGGCAGCGAAGAAAGCAATCACAGTGGTGGCACAGGGTCAATAGACCGTCAAACGTCTGGGGGCCCTGTGTGATCGCCACAATCCCTGATTTAGAGAAGCCATCCCGGTTTCTGATTTGATCCCAGAATGTCCCACTTTTCCTTAGGATGTCCCTATTTTCATTGGAGAAATGTTGGAGGCTATGGAGTTATCCGAACCCTGAGCCTCCTGAAGGCAATCCTGTATAGGGAAGGTTTTTTATGTTTAATGTTTTACAGTGGTGCCCCGCAAGACGAATGCCTCGCAAGACGGAAAACCCGCTAGACGAAAGGGTTTTCCGTTTTTGAGTTGCTTCACAGGGCGAATTTCCCTATGGGCTTGCTTCGCAAGACGAAAATGTCTTGCGAGTCTTGAGGGTTTTTTTTCGCTTTCCCCCCCCTTTATCTAAGCCGCTAAGCCTTTAATAGCCTTTTAGCAGCTAATCCTCTAAGCCGATAAGCCTTTAATAGCCGCTAAACCGCTAATAGCGCTAATCCACTAAGCCGCTAATAGGGTTGCTTCGCAAGACGAAAAAACCGCTAGACGAAGACACTCGCGGAACGGATTAATTTCGTCTTGCGAGGCACCACTGTATTATGTTTTTATATAAGTTGGCTGGGCAAGCAGCCCAGTAAGATGTGTGGGGTATAAATATTAAAATTATCATTACAGATTCAAGATGTTTAAAGCTAAATTAGAAAGAATGAAAGATGTTAAGTGATCAAGTTAATTTTTTGAGAAAATCGATTTTGGAAAACTGTTAAAATGATATATAATAAAATTCAACCAAGACGATTTGAGGAAGTCACTTAATAATGTTAACAAAATTTAAACAGGATGTATGTATGTATGTATGTATGTATGTATGTATGTTTGTCTGTTTGTTTGTTTTGAATTTTTGGGAAATCTATAAAAAAATGGAAAAAAATTATCATTACGGAATGGGACGTCCCTATTTTCGTCAGAGAAATGTTGGAGGGTATTGGCATAAAGCATGCAGTTTGGAGGGCAGGAGAAGGAGATGCATGCAGGCTGCCACTGTGTGTCTCCTTCTCTCCCCCCCCCCATTTGTCAGAGCAGGTGCCAAGAGTGGTTCTATTGTGTTTTTGTATATTCTGTTGGGAGCCACCCAGAATGGCTGGGGCAACCCAGGCAGAAGGGCGAGGTACCAAAAAAACACCAAAAAACTACTTCTACTTCTTCTTCTTCTTCTTCTTCTTCTTCTTCCTCCTCCATCATTGCAATGCTTACTTTAGCAGACATTATGTGTTATAGGTTGGGATTGTTCAATATGGAGAAAATGTCACCCATGAATTTAACCTCAACACATATACAACTACGGAAGAAGTGCTTGTTGCAGCAAAGAAAATTGGTCAGCGGGGAGGACGCCAGACCATGACAGCTCTTGGAATTGATACAGCAAGGTAAGTACTGCATACAGTGCAATATTTATCAAGGTTAAGATGCAATACGAGCCCCCATGAGCTACCATGCTGGTTTTTCATATGCTCGCCAATTGTCACCAATTTACAAGTTGGTTTTGTGCAAGTTGATATTTGTAATGCGGTCCTGTGATACTGGAATTAACTTGGTCTATCTGCCTTGAAAGTAGGGTTGCGGGATCTGGAGGAGTGTGGTGAAAGGAAGGGGGAGGGAAAATTCTGATCCACAAGTGGAAGTACTTGCACCAACTTTGTTGGATATAACTCCAAGTTTGTTTACTTATTTAGAACATTTGTTTACTGTTCTTCATAATACAAAGTGGGTAAGGAAGGGTGACTTACCCAGTGAGCTTCATGTTTCAGCAAGGATTTTAACCCAAATCAAACACCCCAACCTAATGATGGGGAGACTGTGACCTTCCAGAGGTTTCTAGACTACAACTCCCATGATCCCTGACAAGTGGTCATGCTGGCTGGGGCTGATGGAAGTTGGGAGTCCAGCTACACTAAAGGGTGACAGGTTAGTCATCCCGGTTGCAGAGACTCTGTTCAGCCAATATAATTCTCTTGGTTCTACAGATGTAGTATTAGGCTTTAATAAATGGTTACTTATTGCATGTCATACTAGCTACTGTTGATCCTGCTTAGTTTGGTACTTGCTGCTTATAATTGGTTACAGCCCTTAGCTGGGAGAATGCCTGCAGCTGCTTTTCTCTTGTGCATCGCTCTCTTTCTCTGACTTTTTTAGGAAAGAAGCTTTTACAGAAGCTCGTGGAGCACGCCCAGGGGTCCAGAAAGTCATGGTAGTTGTGACAGATGGAGAATCTCACGACAACTATCGATTAAAGAAAGTGATTGAAGATTGCGAAAAAGAAAATATACAGAGATTTTCAATTGCTGTAAGTGGCACTTTCAGGAGCCTAAAGATCCATAGAATTTTCTCCTTCCATTCTCCTCAAGTTTATCTGGAAACATGCTACATTAGCTGCATGACCATCTTTTCAGAATAATGGTGTAGCACTTTGCCTACAGCATCTCAGTAATTCATACCACATACAAGGTAGATCTATATTATTTTCTTCACTTTGCAGATGAAGAGCTAAGTGAGGGAGGACTTTATGTGCTTGTACAAACTGTGCACATAAGTTTGATTCTCTTTGTTTGGGTCTGAATAGAGATAATGGCCATGGAGATCTGTTTGGCAAAGCTTAGCTCCTCTTTGGGAAATGGATATGTTTAGCTTTGGGCTTCTCCCAGTTCCCACCATAATAAATCCATGTAGCACATTTCTATAATATAGATCTTATGGATGATTTCCATAGGCATCTGGTTGGCCACAGTGAGACAAGGATGCTAGACTAGATGGGCTGTTGGCCTGATCCATCAGGTTCTTCTTATGTTACATGGCCAGCTCCCCTTGTACAATCACATATTTGGCACCCACAAAGCTTTTCCTTGCTGGGGTCTATTGTTTCTCAAAATTACAATGGCCAGTGATGGTACAATGGTACAATACGGTTGGCTTTGCAACCTTGGACAGTGCTCTCTAGATCATGGTCAACATCAACAGATGACATAGCCAGGCATCTGCCAAGGACACACATCCCAGCAGAAGGTTCAGTAATGGGAGCCTCCCAGACTTTCTCCATCATGCAACCTGATTGCTGATCTCCACAGGCCAGGTCCAGACTTGAGTGGTGTTTCTGTCTGGGCTGGTCACAGCAGGGCAATTTATATAGTTATATAACATCCATGGCTAAGCGATCTCCCAAGGCAATGGTTCCTGTATTTGCTTCTTCAGTTTTCCATGTGGTACCACTTGTGAGCTACAGGAATGTCTTTTTGAACCTTGCAACACTAGCATGTCTTTTTGGAAATGCCATAGATTCTTGGCCACTACAACAGAGGCAACCTAAGCACTGAAAAATTGGTTGAGGAAATAAAATCGATTGCAAGTGAGCCAACAGAAAAGCATTTCTTCAATGTCTCGGATGAATTAGCCCTGCTTACTATTGTTGAAGCTCTTGGAGAGAGAATATTTGCTCTAGAAGGTATGTTTGGTCACCTCTTTTCTTTAATTTGAATGTTTTCCTGCATTATATTCATGAGGGAGAAATGGTTTCCTGCTGCTGGAGTTTTCCATTATGCAGTTGAATCAAGAAAGGGCAATTCTGGAATTCATCTTCTTTTCACTCCAGGGTCAACAGTGAAATTCCCTTTTTTCATTTTTCAGGAATACAATAAAATAACAATTGCTGCATGAAGCCAGACTGATCAGAGCTGGTCCTATCATTAGGCGGTTTGAAGCATCTGCCTCATGTTGCACAGTGTCTTGGCCAATCCTGTGACCAATGGTCCATTTGGTCCATTTGAACTTTCATGATGTGGCAGCAGGATTCAACATTGGCTAAAAACTCTTTGTTTTGGACTACAAGTCCCATCAGCCCCAGCCAGACTTCAGTTAGTAGGGAAGATGACACAGGGGGTTTCTGCCACAGATTCAATGACTGTTCTTAGGCTAGTTGGTTAATATTATGCCTCAGTGTTCCTCAGCTGTTAAATGTCAACTTAAGTGACATAAATGCAGTTTAGTGTCTGTGCAGGATCAGCTTGCAGCTTGCAGCTTGCTTCCCTGCTTTTCTCTTCTGTAACCGTGTTCTCGCATGAGTTTTAGTTGTTACTTTCTACTCAGGGTGCTGTTGAGTCTGGATTATGTCTTATCGCCCCCTTGACACGGGGCTGGATTTGATACTAGCCCAACCTCTATATAGATCGTCATCAATCTATTACATTCCAGAAGCCAGAAAAATAAAAGCATCCAGTATACATACCTTCATCTTAACAACAGAGCAAAAAAAACAAAGCAAACCATATTGTAAACACCATCAGCTCAAATATTCACATAATGATTATTCCAGCTTCAGATGGTTAATAGGTTCTCACTACTATTGCTAGAAAGTTGGTCGCTGCTAACACCCATGGGATTTTATTTCCCAGCAAATATTTAACATAGCATTGAGCTGACCTTCCTGCAACTTGGGACAACAAGGGGAAATTATTTGATGACGAGCTTCAGCATTAAAAGGGCAAAACAATATAACATGTTGTACAAATTCCATCTCCTGGTTATACAGGAGTGACCCTAATCTGTGAAAAGGTGGGAAGGGTATGTACATTTTGTCATGCCACCCTTGCCCACAAGGCTACGTGGTGCCTGGCACTACTCAGACTCACCCCAGTGCACCTGTTCACTCTTTGTAAGATGTACAGATCTGAGCTGGGTTTCTAATAGAAAACCTGTTACTGCTGCCACCACAGTACCTCGACATTTCCCACTTCTAACCATCATGTGCTATAATCCAACAATTTATTAAGACAAATTGTCAGGGAACTGCCATTGGCTCAGGGGCAAGAGGGGAAAAGCTGGATGGATTACAGAGATCGTGGGAAGCAGCACTTCCTCAGGGGAGGAAGGAAGCCATACCTCTAGTGGAGAGGAGATGCAGGGCTCAGAGGAGGCAAGGCGGTGCCAAGACACATTGCCTGAGCAAAGCGGGGAGGAAGGAGGTCCTCCTTTACCCAAGTTGTCCATGCGCAGTAGGCTTCCGCGCAGAGAGGGGAGGTGCAGACTGGGGGGTCAAGAAACTACTCTGCTGGGGAAGATTTAGGCACCACCCACTCTCAGATTCTGCCAGTGAACGAGCAAGACACGGAATAGAGGCCCTCTGCATTCTAAAGGTTTTTACCACCAATAAGAAAGCTTTAGAACAGACTAACTGGACTATAAAGAAGGCTGATCACCGAAGAATTGATGCTTTTGAATTATGGTGCTGGAGGAGACTCTTGAGAGTCCCATGGACTGCAAGAAGATCAAACCTATCCATTCTTAAGAAAATCAGCCCTGAGTGCTCACTGGAAGGACAGATCCTGAAGCTGAGGCTCCAATACTTTGGCCACCTCATGAGAAGAGAAGACTCCCTGGAAAAGACCCTGATGTTGGGAAAGATGGAGGGCACAAGGAGAAGGGGACGACAGAGGACAAGATGGTTGGACAGTGTTCTCGAAGCTACCAGCATGAGTTTGACCAAACTGCGGGAGGCAGTGGAAGACAGGAGTGCCTGGCGTGCTCTGGTCCATGGGGTCACGAAGAGTCGGACATGAATAAACAACTAAACAACACCAATTGAGGCATATTGCCTGATTGCTCTCGAGCATCCAACTGATACATCTAACACAAATAAATAAGCATTTTTAATCACTTAGCGTACAGAGACATATGGGGTCAATTCTGTATTATTTGATTTGTTACTTCTTATCACAAAAAACAATGACTGATATAACAATGCTGAAGTTACTATCAAACCAATCCTGCTGCCATCCAAATGCTCTCTCCACCTACAGCTTTCACTGCAGCTACCACCCATTCCCAAACTCAGCTGACTCTTAAACTGTCTCCCACCAGGATTCAAACTTTCTAACCCTTATCCAATCATTTCCAACTTTCCCAGATACCCTCTCCCACCCACCTACCCCCAACCTACACCTACATGTTATACTTACAAACACTTTCACCCTAAAGTCACTTGTATTGTTACATATTGTTGTCATCCATCTGTCTCAAGAGACAATGGAGTGTGCCTCCAGGGGTGAAGTCAAACCACTGCGTAGCAGCATCAAGGTGACCTCCCTGGACGCAAGCCTGGGCAGTGTGTATGGAGGCTCTGGGCTGCCCAGGTGACCTCTTGGCCTAGCTGATGTGGTCTAAAGGAAAGCAGAGCAATCACGTTTGGCACCAGCTTGGCTTCAGGAGTTGCCAGAAGGAGGTGTAACAGGGGTCATCCAATTGTCTTAGGGACTCTACTCTGGATTTGTGCAGTTTACTCCTTAGCCTTTTCTTCTCCTGAAAACATCCCACAAGGCAGCAGAAATATTACATATGCACACAGTATTATTTACAGAAACATCAGAAGATCACAGCGTTGCACAGGCGGTGTTATTGACAGATATCCTTTGGAACCAAGATTCAGGGCCTGCTATGACCCCAAACCCTGGCATGTTAAATATCCATCAAACTTCTGTTCTTGTTAATCTTTTGCAGGCCTCTATTCTAATCTGTCCATTGCTTTCTAAGCCATCTTGGCAGGAACAGTGTTGCTTCTGTGTTCTTTCTAGTGCTTAATGTGCTAGTGGTGCTTTAAAATGTTAGGCAACAGTACAAGTAATTTGTAAATGATTATATTTCCTAGCAGGGAAAACATCTGTGGATACTTCACATTTAAAAATCTCAGTCTTTCCTGAATAATCATTATAGACTTGCTTGTGGGTGACATTTGCAGCAGTGTCAACAGAGAGCACAAATATAGGAATTCACTTATGAAAATACACAAATTAGCATTTCATTGCTAACAAATAATTAGGAACCTCATTAGAATGATTGGATTTGTACAGAAACAATGTTTGCGCACAATGGCTTCTCAGCATTGCAGCTTGTTTCAATTAAGGGGGATATATATATTCTTGGCTAGTGAAAAGTATTCATTTCCTCACTTATAAATTGGTTGTATTCCAACCAAGCTCTGTGTATCTGTATGTGCAAATGGAAAACAATCTATACAGCCAGATATTTTGTTGCCATTTCCACAGCAGCGCTTCATGCTGCTGAAGAGGACAGCTGCATTTTCTGCAGAACCATGGCTAGCCTCTTCAGTGGTGTGACGTGGGGATTAAGCAGAGGCTGGATGGCCAACTCTGAGCGATTCTGTAGAAGTAGTAGAATTCCTATGGCAGGTGATGTCCTTTGAAGTCCCTGTCAAGTCTATGAATAGCTGGCATAGAAACTGCAAACTGTAACGTTTTAGTGTTGCATTTTATTTTGTAAATGACTTTCAGCTTCTTGACTGGAAAGAAGACTATTAATGATTTTAACAAATAGCTAGATCCAATATTATATTCTTCCTCTCAACTTAATGAGACTGCCCTTAGTTCAATATACCAATGCCTATGAGTGAATCTTCCAGTTGGATTTCTTTTGATGTCATAACTTCCAGCCCACAACTGGTTAAGTTGCCTGGTAGTGCAATCCATAGATAATAATTCTGGTAATACATGTGGTGTTCACTCTCAGCATTTATAGTCTGCTGTTTAAAAAAACAAAATTGCAAAATAATCCAGCTTCATGATATTCCTATCCTCTCGTCCTACATGTAACTGGAGATGTTAGTCAACTTAATGACCTGATAAAAATAACTTTCAAACCACAAGATAATGAAACAGAGAACACATCTGTTACTTATTATCCCTGATTGTACTTTTGAAAATTAATAGCTTTGGCACTTTTAAAGAAGGGAGACAGTTTGTGAGTTGCCAAAAACAGTGCATCCTCCCCAAAGGGGAAGACAGGGCACAGATTTGCATAAAATGTTTGAGTTGTATTCAATTAAGTTTAACTTTGAGTAGACCCTACTCAATGGTTTTGAGTTAATCATCATGCTCTCCCTTAAATGACTATGTTTAAACCAGACTTGGACAAGACACCTTCAAACATTTTATTTTCACAGCAACCCTGTGAGGTAGGTTAGTCTGAGAAGTAATGACTAGCTCAAAGTCACCTAGTGAGCTGGGTAGGGATTTGAAGACATCTGATGGATGACAAGGCACCTGATGGGAAGAATTCAGGATTTTGCTACTTGAGAGAACTGGATAGATTTTTGACATTTCTTCTAATAAAATATATCTGTTTGAAATATTTCTCTCAGTGTCCAAGTTAAGGTGCTGGTAACTCTTAATAAACAGTCTAGTCTTTCCTCTAGTTTGGAATTATTTATAGTCAGCATTTTGATCCATTTGTGTTGAAACAATAAGCATTTCCTGTTTTATAGCTACGAAAGACCAGCTGGCGTCCTCTTTTGAAATGGAAATGTCTCAAGCTGGAATCAGTGCTCATTATTCCCAGGTAAACTAACCAGTCATCTATGGCTATAGCTATTCTTTAAAATAAATTGTTCTTCAGAAGGAAGCTCTTGAATATCCTCAAACAGAAAGATCACTGTAATGCTTTGGCCAGGTTTGTGTTATTTAAAAAATTGCCATTAACCCACAATACTGATACCTCCCTCCTTTCAAACTCCATACTTTACAATTTCTAAACACTTCCAAACAGTATCATTGCACCATTCAGACACGTCTCATTGCATTGCTGCACGGTACAACTTGATGACTTTTCCCCTTTTGTTCCCGCATATGAACATGGCAAAACATTGGGTGTGTGCACAGACTGCATTTCTGATGATCTGGGGACACAAGCCCTATTCAAAACTAATGCTCAAGCACGAAGAAGGGAAGCACTGATGGGTCCAACCCCCAATGGCTTAGCATGACAATATGCAGTGGGGTAGATTTCCTGTATACATCTGTGCATGCAAAGTCATCCATGCAACCTGGAATCCTGTGCAAATGGGGTTGCAGATCACATGGACAATTTTGCACATACAGTTGCACATGTTGCTCCCTGCAGGTGTTTGTGCTGAATGTACAGGTGCCAGGCATGGGGCAAGCTGGCATGTGCATGGTTAGGGCTGGAGCTAGTTGGCATTTTGATTTACCACATGAGTGCTAATTGGGGGGAAAGTGTGGAATGAGAGATTATTAGCCACCTTGAAAACAGGGGCAACATATCGTAGTTGAAAATGAATAAATAAATAAATGAAATTTATATCTCATCTTTCTACCATCATGGAACTCAAGGTGGCATGTGCAGTGCTTTTTTTCTGGGGGGACGCCGACCCCTAAACATTTTGTGAAGCTAACAGGAGAAGAATCTTAAAATTTTTAGTTTCTTCTCTAGCACAGTGAATTGTCAGTTCCGTTGCTACCCCTGACAGTAGCCTCATTTCCTGTCACGGTGTTTCCTCAGACGGAATGAGAATACCCCTAAACATTTTATTATTATTTTTAAGAAAAAAAGCACTGGGCATCTGTACGTATAATTCCTATGAGGTCACCCGCATAGGGTTCCTATATATCCTCTTTTTCCAGGACACGTCCTCTGTTTCATGGATATGTAAAATGAGAATTGTCGTAGAGATACATAGTTAAAAGTAGATGGTTTATGTAACTAACTGATTTCTCCTGCTATGTAAGGATTGGATTATGCTTGGAGCAGTCGGAGCATATGACTGGAATGGAACTGTCGTCATGCTAAAGGACAATGCCTTTCAAATCCCGAGAAATGACACATTTTATAACAAGTCTTCAGAAAGAAACGAGCCTCTTGCAGCATACTTAGGTGACTCCAATATTCCAGTTCATTCTTTTCTCTCAGCTAGCCAACCTGCTGTATACCCTTAGTTAGGATTGCACTGCATTGGCCTATTGGAAATATATTTATGCATGCTTTTCCTTTTTTTTTAAAGAGGCACAAGTAGCTATTATCAAAGTATCCTGAGAATGAACGTTGTCTCTCCCATTCTTTATTTTAGGTTATACAGTAAATTCAGCTTCAGTGCCTGGAGATGTGCTGTACATTGCTGGCCAGCCTCGATATAATCACACTGGTCAAGTTATCATATATCGAATGAGAGGAGCAGATATAGAAATACTTCAAAGATTAAATGGGGAGCAAGTAAGTAAGTGGGGTTATTGCAATTCACATACTTCAGAATGAGATATATTTGTCCCATACTGAATATTGCCAGAAAAAAGGTGTAGAGAAAAACCAACAGAGCATGAATCATTGCTGCAGTTCTGAACAATTCAACCCTGTGTCTGAAGCCGCTTATAAATCAGTAATGCTGAATGTGTGACTACACAATGTTCATTTCAAGTATTAGACGCAGTCATGTATTCAGATAGTAAATTCAGCAACAGATAATTGAAGGAGGTGGTGCCCTAGTGGTGACTCTCTTTGGGATCATACCTCCAGAGTTCCTACAAATTGTAGGAATTGAGCCTCCAGGGCAAGGCCAGCAACAACCTACCACACTGCAGCAACCCTCTTATCTTTTTTTGTGGGTGGCACTATGGGTTAAACCACTGAGCCTCTTGGGCTTGCCAATCAGAAGGTCAGCGGTTTGAATCCCCGCTACGGAGTGAGCTCCCGTTGCTCTGTCCCAGCTCCTGCCAACCTAGCAGTCCGAAAGCACATCAAAGTGCAAGTAGATAAATAGGTACCGCTCCAGCGGGAAGGTAAACGGCATTCCTGTGCACTGCTCTGTTTCGCCAGAAGCGGCTTAGTCAAACTGGCCACATGACCTGGAAGCTGTACACCGGCTCCCTCGGCCAATAAAGCGAGATGAGCGCCGCAACCCCAGAGTTGTCCGCGACTGGACCTAATGGTCAGGAGTTCCTTTTTCCTTTACCTAGACAAGTCAGTAGCTGCCCCTGTTTCCACTCTCCACTTCTAGAACCAGAAACAGCATCCTCCTTCTTTTACTTTTACTGAGTATCTTTTCATTTTGAACACACTGCTTTGACATCTTTAATGATACGTGGTTTATACATTAAATAAGAATAAAATGCGTATTGAATACAAACAGGAGGGGATCCTATTTTGTACAATTACAGATTGGCTCCTATTTTGGAAGTGTTATCACAACCATTGACATTGACAAAGATACATTTACTGATATTCTTCTCGTGGGAGCACCTATGTACATGGGGACCGAAAAAGAAGAACAAGGCAAGGTGTATGTTTATTCATTGAACCAGGTAAGGAAGAAATGAACTGTGTTGGGATTTAAACGTCAAGAGCATAAGACAAATCCAGCTAGATCTGTTATATTAGGAATCTTAGGTGAGATACCCATGCAGTGGAAGTTGCTCCCAGTACCAGTCAGAAGCAGAGGAAGGTTCAGATACTATTGCAGAAGATAAGGCTCAGTAAAACAGTTCTGAATGTAGATATATATAGCTTGTAGGCTTTTGCAGATACAGATATATATATATAGATACATACAACGGCAAAATATCTCCGTTGCACTAAATAAGTTCAGCAATTCAGGACATATCACTGGAAAAGTAGTACCAACAAAAGACAGACTAGCTTCAGTCTCACAGACTGACTCACCGTTGAACTGACATGCATTAATCACAGATATAGTTGGGATCCTGTTCCATTACCATAGCAACTGGCTTAGCTGAACTTGCACCTGCAATTAGCTTATCCATGGCGAGATTTATGGCCATTAAGCCTTTCTCATGTCTGATTACTCCAACATGTCCAGCATCCTTTTCTCACGTTGGCAACGAGATGCCTGTGGGAAGCCTGTACTGTAAGCCAAATTTGGGTACAATGATGCGCTCCCCAATTGTGATTCCTAGCAAGTGGTTTGAAGGTAGAACATTACTATTGTGGCTAGTAGCCATTGATAGCTTTATCCTGCATGAATTTATCTAGCCCTCATTTACAGCCATCCAACCCTGGTGGCCAGTCTTGGAGGGAACAGATTCCATAGTTGCATTGTGGAAAGAAGATCTTCTCTGGTCTGTTCTGAATCTTCTAAATTAGATGACTCCGAGTTGTAGTATTATGAGAAGGATTTCTAGAATTATGGGTGAGATGCACTAGAAGAACATCTACCAGGAAAAGTTAGCAAAGTAGACAGAAATCCATTGTTATTTTTTCCACAGAAGACATTTGAACATCAGATGACCCTTGAGCCTATAAAGCAAACATGCTGCTCGCTACTGAAGCACAATGACTGCACAAATCACAACAAGAATGAACCTTGTGGGGCCCGTTTTGGAACTTCAATTGCTTCAGTAAAGGACCTCAACCTTGATGGGTTTAATGATATAGTCATAGGTGCCCCCCTTGAAGATGATCATCGAGGAGCTGTGTATGTTTACCATGGCAATGGAAACACTATAAGGAAAGAATATGCCCAGGTGTGGAAGAAAATTAAGAGTATGTCTAGATACAAGAATGGGGTGGGGGTGGGGGTTGATGGTAGGAGAAATGGGGGACTGTTAGAAACTTGGGAGTACTCAATTTTGTAATATTCACAGATTTGTTTATAAAGTCACTCTAGACTGACTTTTTATGTTTAGATTAATTTAATGTGTTAGCAAATGACACATTTTGATGAATATCAATCTGAACTTGGCTTAGATTCACCTCTGAATGTCAGCATTAACCAGATTTTAGATACTTCCTGTAATGTGAATATTTGGGTATTTATAAGGCTCTAAAATTCAAGGGACGCGGGTGGCACTGTGGGTTAAACCACAGAACGTAGGGCTTGCCGATCAGAAGGTCGGCGGTTCGAATCCCAGTGATGGGGTGAGCTCCCATTGCTCGGTCCCTGCTCCTGCCAACCTAGCAGTTCGAAAGCACATCAAAGTGCAAGTAGATAAATAGATACTGCTCCAGCGGGAAGGTAAACGGCGTTTCTGTGCGCTGCTCTGGTTCGCCAGAAGCGGCTTAGTAATGCTGGCCACATGACCCGGAAGCTGTGCGCCAGCTCCCTCGGCCAATAAAGCGAGATGAGCGCCGCAAGCCCAGAGTCGGCCACGGCTGGACCTAATGGTCAGGGGTCCCTTTACCTTTACCTTTACCTTTACCTTTACCTTTAAAATTCAATTTAAATAGTATTTTTGGGACTTGGTGCCTGTCTGGTTTCATTCATTTTTAAATACAGGAAAGGATTTAATTCTCCAAGAGTGTTGAACAAAAAAGTAAAGAAATAACTATTATCCCTATCCAGAATGCCATCTTGAAGTGTCAAACCTTCTGTATTTCCCTGTTGACTGTAATAAAGTCATTATGCTTTCCACAGCGCATTGCATCAGGTGGCGATGGGGAAAAGATGAAATTTTTTGGCCAGTCGATACATGGTGAAATGGATTTGAATGGAGATGGACTGACAGATGTCACTATTGGAGGCCTTGGAGGGGCAGCCCTCTTCTGGTATTTATGATAAAGCTTTCACTTTAAAGAATCCTCAGTTTGTCAGTAATTGTTACCTGGGACTTTTAGTTAACTGGTTCCTTAAGTGTGTGGATCCTTGTCTTGCCAAAACAGCACAAACATCATTCATATTGGCTAGGACAGAGGCAAAATTATCTACACTATTTCTGGGTGGCAAAACTGCAGTGAGAGGCCAAATATTATGAAGGGAGAGGTGAAATTCTCCAGCAGTTTTGCTCCAGAGACACTCTTGTCTGAGAAATTTGGGCTCGTTTAATTCTGTATAAAAAAATTATTGTTAGTTCATATTGGTAGATGAAGGAAGGACTGGGGGACAACTGCAGAAATATAGGATAAGCCCATTGCATTACATTCAATGTTAATCCTACTCAGAGAAACATGACTAAGGGGGCAATTCTAGGGCAAAGATCCACTGGGATGAGTAGATTAGGAGGCAGCAGATTGGCTGAGCTGAGAATCTCAGCCAACATCTGCAGTTCTGGCTCAGCCAAAGATGCATCAGTGTAATTTGCTCATCCCAGCTCAGCCAGGGCTCAGCTACCTAAATTGAAGCTGGCTGATCCAAGACTTGTAAAAGTCCCCCAGAAGGGGCATTCTGGGGGTGTGGCAGGGCAGGACCAGAGAGGGAGGTACTTAGGTTGGATCCTAAGCCCATATTGCTTAGTCACATGACCTGGCGTAGAACACTATTCTAAAGCAGGCATAGGCAAACTCAGCCCTCCAGATGTTTTGAGACTACAATTCCCATCATCCCTAGCTAACAGGACCAGTGGTCAGGGATGATGGGATATGTAGTCCCCAAACATCTGGAGTGCCGAGTTTGCCTGTGCCTGTTCTAAAGCCTTGTTTTCCCTCTGCTGAATGGGGTTTGGATCTAGTATAACTTTATGCCAGCTAATTTACACTAACTTGCTTTATGATAGCTTCTTAGCCATAAGATTGCTCTCTACCTTAGGTCCATTAATTTCAATGGGTCAACTGTAACTTAGATGGATGCAACAGTTTTGAAAGTGAGTCCACATTAAAAATGACAAAATTGGGGAGTCCATATCTGTTATAATCTGGAGGAGGACTGAAATTCACCAATAGGAGGGGCTCTAAGAAGAAAGAGCATTTTTAAATAAAAAAGTTAGAAAATGCTTTTCTGAGGAATCTCATGTTTGTATTTCATGGACGGCATCTGTCTTAGGTCTCGAGATGTTGCTGAAGTAAATGCTTCCATGGAATTCACACCCAGCAAAATTAATATCCAGAAGATAAACAATGACATGCAAAAGCAACGGGTGTTCATCAACGCCACAATTTGTTTTAAAGTCAAATTAAAATCAGAGGAGGCCACAATGAATGAAACAAGTAAGTAGATTGCACTGAATTTTGCTATATAGATTGTCTACCAACTATTTTTTTAAAAAACCTCTCACTTTAGAGCAGTTCCTCGAGAATTTGCTGGAGAACCTGCAGGTAAATGATTGTAGGTCAAAGGCTTTACTGCATTTTCATTTGCTGCATGCAAAGATACAATAGAATTACTGTTTTATAAACTGTTCTTTCCGTTACAATATTGTATTTCATATTAGACTAAAGCAGCAATCAGGAGATTCCATCATCTAAAGCATGGTAAACATTAATAAAGAGAAGGTCAGTTCCCATGTCCTAAAGAAGCAGAAATAAGGGAAACGTTATGGATTTGTGTTTCCATTTCCATGCTTGATTGAACCTGGACTGTGGGGTTTAAGCTTCACACAGGAATTCACAATTTAAGTTATTTTTTTACAATGTTATGTAGAGCTCCCAGGCCTGGGTAGAGATTCTCTTAAGATGGGACACAGAGGAAGGCCTCTCCACTAGATTCTAGGGAGCAGGCAAGTCAGCATGGAAGATGACAGCCTTTTAGATGGTAGTGTTTGTTACTCATGCATCTTCTGTCACTCCTTCAGACTATCTGAAGTGGCTGAGAAAAGCAAGAAAGCAAAGGACAGCGAAAGAGACAATGGGCTGTACCCAATGTTGTCATTCCACTCTTGCAAGAGACTTCTCCAATGACACTTCGCCCTCGTCTCCTCTCCTCTCGCCTGCAACTTTCACACACCTTAATTTCTTGTCCAGGGAGTTGGGGAACCATTTGGAGCAGATTTGGGGGGGGGGCTTTCAGGGAGGAAAACTGTTTTGGGGTCAAGCTCTACAAATGCAATTAATTGTACCTGTTCACCCCCCCCCCCTTAGGTATCCAGTATTGGATTACACTTGATGCCCAAAGAAAGTTGTCACGAAGCCTTTTCACAGAAACTCTTGAACGGAAGATGCAAAAAAATATCACAGTCAAAGGGTCAGAATGTGTTAACCATAACTTCTACATGTTGGCAAGTAAATCATATCAAGTGGCAACCCTCCCCTCATTGCCTTCTCTCTCCCCTTTTTTTGCATTAGTGGAAAGGATGCATACAATTAAAAAATAATAGTGGTTTTTATGTAAGGGATTAGTTAGAGAGAATTTATACTGTTTTTGTATGCGGACAATATTCTCTTTACTCTCTCGTTTCATTTCTCTTTATCAGTGCTTGCAAACACCCCAACAAGTTTTCCATGTATTTCTGTATATTAGACTGATGATTTTTTGACAATTCCTGATGTCTGCTTGGTTCCTTTTTAGTATGAAATGAAGCTGCGTATAATTCTAAGCACCCTATCTTATGCACACCTTTATAATATAAGCATTTTTGTACAAATGATTCGACTGGAGGACTTAACGGTGTTATTTTTATGGTGTTCAAGTTCCCCAACTCATTGAGGAGTCTGATTTGCATCCCTGTGTGGGACAGGCAGAGGGTGACATGCTCTTTTCATATGCAGCTTCCTTGTGAGATGGGATGGCTCACTTTGGGAGGGGAGAGCCAATCCGCTACAGTTCTTGGACTTCCCAAGGCAGGGAGTGGACCAGATTGAAGACTCCGTTTGGTCTGGTCCAGTTCCAGATTATAAAAGGGATTCCCCCCCCCCAATTGTGATACATACTCAATTGTGGTACACAAGTAAATTGTATAAATAGATAAATGCAAACCGAACCAGATTTCTCTCCATCACTTTTATATCCCAGACTAGCTATATCTGAAGACAGTGGGACCCTCAAGAGTATCATTTTATTTGATGATAAGGGTTGTTACCAAAACAAAACAAAATCATTACACAGGCACTTTGTACATGCTTGAGCTTCTTAGGACCCCAGCCTTAAAAAATTCTGTTGGTCTCTTACTGAGACCCAGCCATCTTCTTTGGGATACAGAAAAAAAGACCTGGGCTCCTGGGGATTATTTTCCATTGTTGTCATAGCTGGCACACCAGACTGCATCTTAAATTCTCTCCATTTTTTAAAAGTGTTTGTGGTCTGAGGCCTGCTACAATGAGCCTAGCTGAAAAACCCTGAAGGTTGCTTTTTATTCAGTGAAACCTGGGCTCTGACTCATAGTCTGCAATTTCAAGATAAGAAAAAGGGTCAGTTGGAGTCCATAAGGGAAAATCCTTTGGCTATGTTGTCTAGTATGGTCCTTAAGCTCCCTGTTTTGTCTTGAATTTGCTGTTTGGCATGTTTCCTTTTAGGTGAATAATGCAAAGTATAGACCACCCACCAATAGTCATTTTAAAAGCATGCCTCTCTTTTTTTTAGTATTCTGACGATTGGAAGAAGGGGAAAGGTTGCAATGACTGTTTTCTTTGCCTTCACTTTGTCTCTAGGACCAGCCTGACTTTCGTGATTCTGTAAAGGTTTTGTTGGACTTCAACTTCTCTGATCCAGAGAGTGGACCGATCCTGGACAGTGCAATGCCCAACTCAATATATGAATATGTGAGTCGCTACAATGTGGAAAGTGGTCTGGTTTCTTGATCTGATGTGTGAATTAGTGCATCAATATATTTCTGTATTTATTTAATTTATAAACTCACATAAAAAATATCAAGGAGGTAGAGAGCATAAGATACCATAAAACAATACAAAATGATGCAATAAGATACCACAAAACAATGCAAAATAATCACAAAACTGACTGGCTCAACTAAAAAAGAAAAAAAAAAGGACTGAAGAGCCTTGTCAACATTAAAACATTAAACATTTTAAAAAATATATACAAGAAATATAGAAGGGTTAACATTGAGCTAAGTTGGAGCAGTAATGTCCCAAATTATTAGTACAGTGGTACCTCGGGTTAAGAACTTAATTCGTTCTGGAGGTCTGTTCTTAACCTGAAACTGTTCTTAACCTGAGGTACCACTTTAGCTAATGGGGCCTCCTGCTGCTGCCACACCGCCGCCATGCGATTTCTGTTCTCATCCTGAAGCAAAGTTCTTAACCCGAGGTACTATTTCTGGTTTAGTGGAGTCTGTGACCTGAAGCGTCTGTAACCTGAGGTACCACTGTATGCTCTTCAGCAAGAACTTCTGAGGCATAGAGGAACTTGTTGCAAAGTCCATAAACTGCTTTGTAAACCACTTTGAGGTTTTATTACAGTCAAGCAACATATAAAGGTTGTGGAATAAATGAATTAATGAATGACTAAACTTCTTGCAGATCCCTTTCACAAAGGATTGTGGAACCAAAGAGAAATGTATTACCGATCTTCAGCTGACTGCCAATGCAGCCATAGAAGGAAGCAGGTAACATGGACAATGCTACCTTTTTATATACACATGTAAAATTATGCTTGTATAGATATCTTATACAACATTCAGCATGGTTGGGTCAATGAAACTATTGTTACAGAAATCATAAGCCATAACTGTTTTAAAATTGTTTATTACTTAAGAATGTTTTGATTTCGACTGATTAAATTGATGGATTATACTGAAATGGCAAAATTAACAGGTGTGCTAGGAAACCAAGAAGGGGGCAAATTATTAAGGAGTGGGGAATATTTGTGGAATATTTTAAAAAATCATGGTATAAAACTAAGTGCATTGGTAGGGTTGACTTAATTGTCAGATAATTCAGAAATGGAATAAAGTGGAAAATGCAGTGTTAAAAATTTAGGTAAGAGATGGAACCACAAAAGGGGGCAAGGGAAGTCTGATATGTATTTGTATTGGAAGTATGTGACTGTAAGATGAGTATTTGTAAACTCTTGAAAACTGAAAATAAAATTCATAAAAAATAAAATGTTTTGTTTATTTTTCAGTTCATCACCATTCATTATCAGGGCGAGCAATCTGAAGTTCTGGGTCCGGATGCTTGTTAAGAATAAAAAAGACAGTGCTTATAATACCAGAGTCATTGTTCAGTATTCTCCAAATATTATTTTTGCTGGGATTGAGGTACATGCTTTAATTTTAATAATAATAATAATAATAATAATCCTCTTGTCTTGTTGTGATGGATAACTAGTAGAACCAGCTTGTCTGTTTGATGGAATTTATATGTATAATATTCAGGTTAGAGAGCCAGGGATTCCTATGCAATTGTTGATTTTTCCTATAGGTAGATATTGGTACTTTGCTCTGCAAACAGTACTAAAGAAAAATATGTGTGATGTAAGAAAGACACACATAACTGTATATTATTGTGTTAGAGCCAACATGATGAAGTTCAGGGGCAGGGAACTCATGCCCCTCCAGATGTTGGCCTCCAACACCCATCAGTCCCCAGCCAGCATAGTCAGTGTTCAGGGATTATGGGAGTTGTAGTCCAACAACTTCTGAAGGGACCTAAGTTTCCCAGCTCTGTTGTAGTGGCTTGAGTGTTGGACTTGGACATCGGGCTGGGTTCAAATACCTGTTCATGTATGAAGTTGACTTAAGTCAGTGTCTCTCAGCCCAGTTCACGCAGTGTTGGTGAAGATACCTCTTCACCATGAGCTCCTGAGAAGAAGAAAAAGGTGGCATGCAAATATGGCTGTTACAGTCTTCTTTGGGGATATATTACTGAATTTATGGGATGCGGATAGCGCTGTGGTCTAAACTACTGAGCCTAGGGCTTGCTGATCGGAAGGTCAGCGGTTCGAATCCCCACGACGGGGTGAGCTCCCGTTGTTCAGTCCCTGCTCCTGCCAACCTAGCAGTTCGAAAGCACATCAAAGTGCAAGTAAATAAATAGGCGGGAAGGTAAATGCTGTTTCCATGCGCTGCTCTAGTTTCGCCAGAAGTGGCTTAGTCATACTGGCCACATGACCTGGAAAAACTGTCTGCAGACAAACGCCGGCTCCCTCGGCCAGTAAAGCAAGATGAGCCCATGACTGGACTTAACTGTCAGGGGTCCTTTACCTTTTTTTTTTTTTAACTGAGTTTATATCTTCAGATTTTGCAGGTTTTCACTTCAAAAATAAATCAGAAATAACGCACATTACATAAAGATGAAATAATTTCTACCATTTTATGTGCAGAAAATATCAAAAGATAGCTGTGAATCTGGGCCTAATATCACTTGCAAAGTGGGCTACCCTTTCCTAACACCTGGAGAGGAGGTAAGTTGTTGTGAATGGGCTGTTTTGGTTAATTATATTTTTCTAACGTCAGGCTCTTTTTGAGCCAAAGCTTGCTAATGTGTTATTAATGAAAAATATGTATGTCCCTGTCTTCATGCCCCACCATTGGCAGCTAATGACATTTAAAACACCATAATGTGAAAACATATACCATAGATCAAACATTCAATAACAGTACAGAGGCTGAATTCTGACCCACCTAAAGACTTGAGTAAATAGAGATGCTTTCTATATTACTTTTTATTCGTACAAGTAATAAATACAGGAAAATGTCACTTTTCAGAGGTGAAAAGCACTGTAGATCTGTGGTAGAGCATATGTGTTAAAAGCAAAAGGACCTTCACTGCCATGCCGTGGGCAGAATCCTGCTCTCTAGTGCATGTTTAAGAGTATCTATGGTGATTCTTGTGCCACTTTCCCTGTCCTATTCATCACCTGTTTTCATACCATCAGAACCCTGGATTGGAATTCCCACTCTACTTTTAATTGTATACTGGGAGATTGATAGAATTTGTGTTCCTTTAGTATTGCTGCTTGCTAACCACCACAATTTTTCTCTCCCGGTTACTTTGAGTGGCACCCATGAACCGTGAAGCATACATTTGGGACACAGGAAGTGTTTTTACAACAGGGCTGAAGAAATAGCGTGTGATGTTTGCCTTGGACATTGCTTTGAAGCTCTGACTGTGCCAGAATTTGAATCCTAGGAGCATGGTGTACATGGGAATATATAAACAGTAGCTTCTAGAGTGGTCCTAGTATCTGACGGCACCATCCTGCAGCCAGCATATTTATTTATTGTTTAATCCCTAAGTCAGAAAGGGTCCTGTTGCAGAAGTCAGAGGACCTTGCAGTCTTTGCCTTGGGATCTTCTTAGTCTCAGCAGCTGCCCTTGCAACTTTTGTACAACGGAAGAGTCTCGTTTCTGCAGATGGACAAAGTTTATGCAAAAGATCCCTTCATTCAGCGCTTCTGCTGAAGAACAGAGATCTTATTTCAGTGTATGTAGGAGGAAAAATGCACTTTGGCCTACATGCGCACACAACAAACTTTCCTTGCATAAGCTACTTCCCGGGAGAGAATGTTAGCAAGGCTTAGGTCACATCATTTATCCTGTGCAGAGGACATAAACCAAGCCCATTCGTCCAACCAGTGGAAATCATATCCAGTGATTTCTCTTCATTAGGCCTTGCTGACATACTTCGAAGCTTATCTTCACTGCAGTAATTGCTAGAAAACAGCCAGTATGGATTTGAAAATGAATCCCTAAGGCAGGAATGGGAAGTCACAGGCCTGTGAACCATATCCAGTGCTTGAGACTCTTCCCACGGCAGACACTCGCCAAAGCCACACTCTTCACAAATTGCCAGCATGGGGGCCCAAGCAGTTTCAGGATCCTAGCATGGGGTGGGTAGAGGCTCCAAGCCTACAGTGTGGGTTGGGGAGCTACATTCATTTCAATTCAGATGACTCAGATATCAGGTCTGATAAACGCTGACACCTTGTGTTTCTGTAATCCACCTGAGGGTCTAACAGATGACCAATTAGAATCCTTCAGCATGTCATCTTTTTTTTGCTCTGGGGGCACAAAAAAACCTGAATTCAAAGATTATAGCACACTGTATTGGCCATATGCAATAACAGGGGTACGTTCTTAAGGTGTGAAAATACAGCCTGAAAAGGAGATTTGTGTAGGAGGTGAAACTACCTATTACTGTTGCTAATAGGATTTCTCACCTGCCCTCAGGTCCCAGGGCGAGTTACAACAATATTAAAATGCAGTATTTAAATCAGTAGGGTAGTTCGCAAAATATATTGATCTGAACACCCCAGAGGGTCTGCAGGGAAGGAGTCCGTCTTTCGGGTATTTGGGGCCTCAGTCATGTAGGGCTTTAAAAAGCAATGTGAACACAGGTGAACAATGCAGCTAGATCATGGAAGTTCTGGAACCCCAGCCAGCAATCTGGCTGCTGTGTTTTGGACCAGACAAAAATTCTAAGTTGTCTTCAAGGGCCATCCCACATAGTGCGTAATGCAGTCTAGAAAATACCAGAGCATGGAATAATACTGTGGCCAAGTCACCTCTGTCCAAAACAGGCCATAGCTAGAACCACACACTCCTGAGCCTCCAGTGACAATGGTGGAGCCAGGATCAAAATCACAATCTAGGAAAGCCCCTGACCAGTCCACCAAAGCCTCTGCTAGAAGTTTAAAAGCACTAGGAATTAAAGTGCTCAATGTGTTAAAACGTTAGGTTTATCTGATTTTCTTCACCCTGGTTATCTGGAAAGGCTCTGAGGCTGAGGCTGACAGCAGCTCTACTCTGGTGACCTCAAATATTCAGCTTTTATATTAGCCATGGAACTCATTGCTCTGTTTTCAAAAGTGAAATTCTACACTTCGCCAAGGCTTTTAATAACCTTACAAAAACAACTCGTGTGGAATTTCAATTTATTCCCAGTTCCTCATTCTGTGACCTGGCTCTGTTCTCTTGACACTAAATTGGCTGACGGCAAACTTTCCCACAACTTCTTCTCCAGGGACTTAAAGGCAACACGATTAAACAATTGCAGTGTCTCTGTGCATTGTTCGCGAAATACTTTTTAACGGCCCTGATTGTGCTGTGGTAATTCAGAGTCAATGCGAGGGAGATAAGAGGTTGTATCCATGCTGCAAGAATGGAAAATAGGCTGCCAATTGCCACTGGCCTCTGTATAGATCCAAAAGTCTCTCCAGGCGGTTGCAGGAGAACTACCAAATGTTGTGGACCATTAACTTATGGAGTAGTAGTGCGAGAGGGGAATTGTCGAAATTGGGCACCTGTGTGGTATCAGGCAGTTCCTCTGCTTACTGTAGCCTTGCAAGACACAGCCTATGATGTTTGGAGAGTTCCCCGCACCAGCCCTCTGGATATGCTTTCCCACTGATAAAGGGGACTCCGGGGGGGGGGAAGGGAAAGAGCCATTGTGAGCTGCCTTCCAGGGCAGATAAAAGAAATCACAACTTCATGGGTTGCATGGGTATGCAATCCACACTCACAGGAGCCGGGGTGACCACCAACTTGGATGGCTTTAAAAGAGAATTCAACAAATTCATAGAGGATAAAGGCTATCATTGGCTGCTACCCATGATGGCTATGCTCTGTCTCCACCGTTGAAAGCAATGTGCTTCTGAATACTAGTAAACTGGAAACTGCAGGAGAGGGCTCAGGTGCTCAGGTCCTGCTTGTGGGTTTGCCATGGCATCTGAGTGGCCACTGGAAGGACAGGATGCTAGGCCGTTGACCTGGTCCAGCAGGCTCTTTTTATGTTCTTAGGTTCACTCCTGCAATCTTCGGTACAACTCGCTATGCAGTGGTACCTCTGGATGCGAACGGGATCTGTTCCTGAGCCCCGTTCACATCCTGAAGCGAACACAACCCGCATCTGCGCGTGTAGTGATTCGCCACTTCTGCGCATGCACATGACGTCATTTTGAGTGTCTGCACATGTGCGAGCGGCGAAACCTGGAAGTAACACATTCCGTTACTGCCGGGTCGCCGCGGAGCACAACCCGAAAGCGCTCAGCCAGTGTGGTGTAGTGGTTGAGAGCGGTAGTCTTGTAATCTAGGGTAACCGGGTTCGCGTCTCCGCTCCTCCACATGCAGCTGCTGGGTGACCTTGGGCTAGTCACACTTCTCTGAAGTCTCTCAGCCCCACTCACCTCACAGAGTGTTTGTTGTGGGGGAGGAAGGGAAAGGAGAATGTTAGCCGCCTTGAGACTCCTTAAAGGGAGTGAAAGGCGGGATATCAAATCCAAACTCTTCTTCTTCTTCTTCTTCTTCTTCAACCTGAAGCATATTTAACCCGAGGTATGACTGTATAAAATTGGAACCAATGTTTCGAGTTAAGATATTGTACTGACTGAAAATACAGCACAACATTATGCTAGAGTAATTTTCCTTCCCCTCCCTCCTTCCCTCCCTCTCTCTCTCTCTGTAGGTGGGAAGGTGGTAGAGTAAGGTTACCAGATTTTTTTCAATGATTCTGCGGACACTTTTCAACTTCAATGGATTTTGTATGGGGACTGATTTGTAAATCTGGGGACTGCCCCGGGAAACGGGGACATCTGGTAACCTTATGGTAGAGGAGAGAGAGAGAGAGAGAGAGAGAGAGAGAGAGAGAGGCCACTCCAATTAGGAACAAATGAAATGGATATTTCCCCCGTTGAGGTCTTATGGGATACAACACTGCCCCTTCCATGTTTAGATTTTAAAATACTACTGGAAAGGTCTAGACATGCATCTGTAGTTGAGAGCCACATTTTCTTTGGAGTTTGTGTCCCTCCTTTCAGACCAGCACCCAATTCTAAATGATCAGAATTTGCGGCTGTATCTCCTGTCTCCAATCTTGTCATTTACAGTCATACCTTGAGTTATGTTTGCTTCATGTTGAGTTTTTTCAGGTTACAAACACGGCAAACCCGAAAGTGTTTACTTCCAGGTTCACCACTTCACGCATGCACAGGAGCGCTCTATCGTGTCATGTGCATGCGCAGAAGTGGTGCTCTACTTATGGACTTTTCAGGGTGAGAACAGCACCCCGGAACAGATCTCATCCATAAGTAGAGATACCACTGTAGTTCCACTAATTTACCATTCTGTGTGTCTGCACATAGGACACCTGATTTATTAATATTTTTTATTTCTACTGGGGGATTTCCAGCTGCAGATAAGGATTCTGAGAACCAGAGATTGACCTTGGACCATTTAAAAATGTTGACAGGAGAGGCCATTGTGACTGTTTTATGTAAGATAAGCTGTTCGCTGGGACAGCTTCACAAGAAGATGGATGACATGACTTTTAAAGTTGATAATTTGGAACAGAAAGTGACTAATTTGAGTCAAAAAGCGAACACCAACACAGAAATAATTCAGGACTTGGTAAAGGAATCCATTTTGGCAGGACAAATGGTGGAGGAGAAGGAGGAGAAGGAGAAAGCTGCTGTTGTTGAACATAAAGTAATACAAGCGGGAGCCATGGCTTTACAGAAGCAAATTGAGGACTATAAGTTGAGGCCTTTTATGATTGAATCTAGGAAAAGTCAGACTTTGAGGAATGGATCCCAGCTTGGATTAAAGAAGGAAAGTTGGAAAGATCCCTCTATGCAGGGATTAACTGACTTTTGGGACATGGACTCGGGCCTGGAGGAGATTGAAGTTTTGGGGGCCTTTGGATTTGGAGGAATCTTGAAATATGTCCTGAAATACTTTATGGACTGTAGCTTCAACTATGGAAATTTGGCTGATCTGTTCAGAAGGAAGAAAAGGGTTGACAGGTTGGAGTTTCCCCGAGATTTGCTCTTTAGCATTAAAGAAAATGAAGAAGACTGCAGAAGGGACTTGGAAAAGAGTTAAGAGCCTCGGACATAAGATCACCAGGTTGATGGACTTTATGGAGTTGACGGACAGGACTGGCAGAATCCGAAACCAGGGAGAGGAGATGATGGAAGAAGATTGGAAAATTTAAAGTTTATATATAGACATATGGTAAAACTAATGAGTGATAGAAAAATGGTGGAATGATTTTTTATGGGCTTAGCAGAAATGTTATAAGGAGTTAAGCATATATAAGTATTTTAGTTTTAGTGGAAAATAAGGTTAAAAAATACGTTATTTACAATATAATAGAAAATGGAGAAAGATGGAAAGGATTTGCTGAAACAATTAATAGAAGTGGAATACAAAAAGGGAGGTGAGAGGAGGTCAAGGAAACAAGGGAATGAAAGACAGAGTACGGAAAAGGGATGATGTATGTTTTTAAATTGTTTTTGTTTTGTTTTATTTAGGGTTAAGGTTAGGGAGTGGGGTTTGTTTAGTTTAGTTTAATGTGTTTAGTTTTGAGTTTAGGTTGTGTTTTGTGTTGTCTATATACTGTACTGTATTGTTTTTTTGTTTGTTTTTTCTCCTTTTTGCTTTCCTCCTTTGTCTTTTTTTTCTGTTTTTCTCTTCCCTTTTTGTAATCTATAAAAGTAATAAATATTATTTTTTTAAAAAAATATTTTTTATTTCTTAAATTTCTATACCGCTTTATATTTTTAATAAAAATCTCAAAGCAGTTTACAGCATATTAAAACAATAAAACAATAGCCGGGCAATGTTGCTCTGGCCTCATGAGGAGCCTCTTTAGAAGGGCTGATGAGTCTGGATCCCGCCCCCTAGGCCAGGTGGGGCCATTTTTAGGTGCTATTTTCATCCTGTCTTCTGTCATGGAAGCCAAGGCATTGTGCATGGAGTTACAAAGCAGTCATCCATCCACATAATCACCGAACCCAGATCTGCTTAGCTTTAGCAAGGTGGTAGTCTCATGTGCTTTCAGCCCATACTCTGGGGAGTGGTTATAAACTGCATTCTATTTCTATTAACATTATTTTACAATTTAGACATTTTGTTTCAAATAATTGTGAACACCATTAATTCAATGCCCCTTTCCTTTAGATCTTCTTCGATATAGCATTCCAATTCAATGTATCTTCGCTTCTGGAAAATACTGTGATTCAGTTTTCTGTCACCAGGTTAGTTCTGACCGTTATTTGTAATGTATTGTTAATCTCCCCACCAATGCCCCATTTTGCTTCCTAGGCTACTAAGTGAGATACCATTTCCATATGAACGTTTATGAAAGCACCATTTATAAACTGACAGTAGCTGTTTATTACATGGATGGTAACAAATCAAGTAGGTTAAAGAAATAGATTCCGGCTAAATATTAGGAAGAACTTTCTGACGGAAAGAGCTGTTCAGTGATTGAATGGACTACCTCAGAAGGTGATGGACTCCTCTTCAGAGGTTGGGTGGCCTTCTGAAAGGACTCTTTAGTTGTGATTCCTGCACTGCAGTGAATTGGACCAAATGATCCCTGATATTCCTTCCAACTCTACAATTCTATGTGTCTGTATTCTTGAGGTACAAGTGCATCTGGTTTCATAGCTGCCCCTTGGCAAAGTGTTCAGAAAACTGATTTATACTTTAATATAATTCAATGTCTCAGTCAAGTTGAGCCCTGTGGTTCAAACAACTGCTCAGCTGTAATCATTTTATTTCCTGATGTAATATTGGTTGTTGCCAGAAATTCCAGAGAAGAAAATTATTGGGTAGTAGGACAATTCTATGTCTTCAGCAGTTTCTTACCTGAATGTGGAGCTTAGTCCAATATAACTTATTTTTGGACACATATCTCATTTTATGCTGAAAACTGTTGTAGCTTAAAGCAATGGACAAATAGATGTGTTAACCCACAACAGCAAGCATTTCAGTCTAGCAAAACCTGACCCACCTGTAGTGCATGAATTTCATATTTGATCTTAACAATTTTTTGTTTCAGTGACAGTGAAGAACACGAAGAGACTCTTGCGGATAATAGAGGAAGCATTGCAATACCAGTCAAATATGAAAGTGGATTAATATTTAAAAGGTACCTCTGTATATTTTGCCAGGGCAAAATTGTCCTACAGCACAATTCTATACATATTTACTCAGAGGTATCATCAAATGGGGCTTGCTCCCATGTGGGTATAGGATTGCAGTCTGGTTGTATAATTTTTATGCAATTCTACTTAGATATAACTCCCACAAGACTTACTAGAAATGTAAGAAGCATTGTTTTCTGTCCCGCCCTGTATTGGTCACATGCAGCACTGTTTCCATTCTGCTGCAGTTCATCTGACAAAAACTACATTATTCTACTTGGTGTCTGTTTCGGTGTATGTAAGTTACATCATTTATGTAATTAATTACATACGTTGCTGCGTCATTACATGATTCCACCACATAAGCTTCAGTGCAAAGGAAACACAATGCAAATACTGTACACATCAAACTGAAAGCAAATTTCTGCTCCCATTTCTGTTTTCAGCCGAATTCTCAGACAACCTTACTTCCTAATAACCATGTTTAGGATTTCAGCCTTAGAGATAGCTTCACCTGAAGCAAGGCACATATTCTATCCCACATAAGATGTAAGAAAAGCCCTGCTGGATCAAACCAAAGGCCTGTCTAGTCCAGAAATCTGTTCCCACGGTAGCCAACCAGATGCTATGGGAAGCCCTCTCCATATTTTCATTATTTATTACCTGTCTTTCACCCTAGCGTCCCAGGGCAGGTTACAACATTAAAACAAAATATTAAAAACAGTTTAGAACAATTTACAGTTGCAGAAATAAGATGAGGCCTAAAAATATACATCTCAAGTGTCAAGGCCAGGATTAAGAGGTGCATCTATTCTCCATGTTCACTAGAAGCTGTATTTGACATCTATGGCTGATAGTGAAAGAGCATGATTTTTGTTTAATTACTTCATGGTTTTCTCAGCATCAGCACCAGCCCCTATCTAAAAACATGGGTATATTGAACAGTGATCTACCTTTTGATTATTTTATGTTACTGTATTGATGTATGTGGGATATTTTGAAAACTCTAAATAGTAAGATACATTTTTGTTTTGTTATGTTTCTTTTTCAGAGAACCCAGTTCATTTCACATTATTATTGCTGCAAATGATACTTTCCCTAAATATATTAATTCCACTGAGAATATCGGAGATGAAATTAACATAAACTACATGGTAAGAAAAAGCCTGCAAACATTTACTGGCTGCTGTTCTTTTCTGTGTGTGTGTGTGTGTGTGTGTGTGTGTGTAAAAGTGAAATTTTACCTATGTAAATCTACCCTAGCCTCTGACGGTTGAAAAACAGGTTGTGGTGATCAACTTTATAATTGTAAAAATGTGGGTTTTGTTTCATACACTGTTTTTATTTGGTTTTCAACTGTATCACTTGTGTTTTGTAACCCACTCTTAGGCACCTTAGACTGAAGGGCCATTTTCGATTTCAGTCAGAGTGCTGGCATGGGGGAAAAGAGATTCAGTGGGAGACTGATAGAGTGACAGCAAAGTCAAAATCCCCACTTGTGAATATATTCAAAATTTAATTGCAAACAGAGCCAAAAGTAAGATAATTAGTCCCCACTTACATTTTAAATGGATACATCCATACATTCCTGGTTACATATTTGTACCTCTGTGTATTAATCCAGGAATAGTATAGTCAGCCAGAAAAAAGAGCTGAGATACTTCTTGGCACATCTTTCTTAGCCATTTATTTATCAAAAAGTATGACAGCTGTTCTTCTTTATAATTTACCCTTTTATGCCATTTAATTTACCATTTATGAAATTATATAATTTATACAGAGTATACTATGATCTGATGTTGTAAGGCTTTGGGATTGCAAGAACTAATAATATCCTATGGGCAGGTGTCAAACCATAGCTAGTATTCTGCACATTCAATAGGCATTGCCCCCCAGTTTATAGTTCAAAGAGGTCTGGAGTAGGATGGTGCTGGATATTGATGAGGTCCTTAGCACTGAATGAATGGACTAATCAAAGTGAAACTTCCATTCTTTTGTCCATAGATTGAAAAAGGTGACCATTTTCCAATGCCGCCGCTTACACTGCAAATCTTATATCCTAACCTGACTTCAGTCGAAAACTATATCCTCTACCTGACCGCAATATCTTTCTCAGAGGTAAGTTAGTTATATGCAAACAGCATTGCCCAGTAACTGGAAGTTAAGCTTCTTATCTGAATTGTATGGATTTAATATTGTGAATGACAAGAAGTTCCATGTCTCTTTCCTTTCACTTTTCTAAATGGAAAATGGAAAACCGTCATCTTTAATATTTATTGCAAAACGCTTAGAAGTTTTTGCTACAGTCAAGTGGCATATAAATTTTGGTAAATGAAATTAAAACTTCTAGAAAGTTTAAGGGATAAGAATAGAACAGTCTGCTCTGTTCAGGTTAGAAACCAGAAAATCCATGATGTCGTATCCAGCTTTGGACCAAATACTGTATTGTGGTCTGGGCAATGTAGAACTATTTGTGCTCTGCTTTAGTTATAAAAAAATGCGGAATAGTGATTAAAAATAATCTGCCCTGTTCACTGTACCCTTTTCTGTTTATTATGGTATATTTTTCTTAGCACTGGGTTATTCTGTTATTTCTGTTTAAAATTATTTTGCTTTTTAAATTACTATTTTCTCATCCTTTATACAGCTTATAACAACTGCAGAGACATAAGCCAACTTATTTGTGAAATTAACTTAAACATGATTAAAACTGTCTTGGACTGCCAATAATATTTGTTTCCTGGTTGCTTTCTCCGCTAACAGAATGTAAACTGCAATTCCAGCCACTCCACAAATCCTTTGAGAATTGGTGGTGACCCTCCCTTCGAGACATCAGGAATAAGACACCCTCTAAAGGATCCAAAAATAGTACGTTTTTCTGAATGTCTGTCTGCTTGGGGAGGCGGAATATTATCACAGACATGACTAGTTTCAGTTTGGGTTATGTTAGGAAACATTTCCCTGTCATTGTTACCTGTAATCATAATTGTATTTTTCTTAGCCTTTGCTGGGAATATTATGCACAGGAACAAGAAATGCATGATAAGGAGAAGCAGGTTAGTGGGAGGGGCAGGAGGGGGGCAGGTGAGATGATAGGGAGGTATGTACAGTGCAAATGTACATAGAGCCAATCCAGCTCTCCTGCTGGTGCATTTGCACCATGCTGACCTCACCGTTGCCTTGCTGCTTCCAATAACTCATACCTACAGGACCACCTCTCCCGGTATGCCCCACGAAGGACCTTAACGTCCATGAATAGCAACACCCTAGTGGTCCTGGGCCCTAAGGAAGTCAGATTAGCCTCACCCAGGGACAGGGCCTTTTCAACACTGGCTCTGGCCTGGTGGAACGCTCTGTCTCATAAGACCTGCGGGATCTGATTTCTTTCCGCAGGACCTGTAAGACAGAGTTGTTCCACCTAGCCTTTGACATGGAATCAGCCTGATCCCCTCCCCCTCTTTCCTTTTCCTTCTGTGATGAAACCCCTATTTGGGGACTTCCCTGGCTTTTCTCTGGCCCACGTAGGACCAGTCTGGATAGTTGGCCTTGGTGAAGATTTGACGTTTTCTCCCCCAAAACAGTTTTTGATCTGGGCTTCCACTGAAATGGGGCTGCATTTTAAGTTGTATATTAATCCTGTTTTTAAGTTGTATTTTAATCAATTGTTTTTATACTTGATGTTAGCCACCCTGAGCCCAGTCTTGGCCGGGGAGGGCGAGGTATAAATAAATAAATAGGCAAAAGCAACTCACCTGCCTGAAAACAAGCACTGTGGCTCTGCTCCACCCAGTAAGCCACTTCTGATAACCAGCACATGCAATTACAATAGCCCCACTGACAGACGTTTTCACCTTATTTAGATATGGTGAGCATATACTCTTAGGAGTATAATTTTGAGTTTTGAGGGCCTTTATAGCTTTTTGGCTCTGAGTTTCCTCCATCTTTCCATTGCAGTGAACAGAAATACGCACTGATTATTTTTTCCATTATTTTATGAGTCAGAAATATGCGTACTGGTTTAAGTTGCTCTCTGTCTCAGAGTCTGTGGGACCCTTTTTCACCACATACCCTATATGACTGCCACTCTATGCATTTCAATAGAAATAATATATAATAATAGATGTTGAGTGACATTTATTTCAGTGGGGTGACAGTCAGAAAATGGCTGTCAGGATATCTGAAGTCAGGCTATTTGAGGCAGTCATGTTTGGCAGAGGTTTAATTAATAATGTCTGTCTATGATCCTTCAAACAGAACTGTGATTTTTATCGCTGTGAATCTATTAACTGTACGGTGGCTCCATCGAATATAACTCATGTGAACATTTCATTCCGAATCTGGAAACGTACCTTTAAAAAGGTAAGTGAAGCGCCAACTTTGTTACAGTCGTGAGTCCAAAACGGTGTTATGCCACTGACACAGTTCTATATGTAGGTATAATTGCCCAATGTATCTATTAGGGTTGCGCACTGGATTTGGCCAAGGCCTGAGTCCACAGCCGAAACAGCTCTACCTAATTTGGGTGTCAGCTGCAGTGCCGGATTTATGTATAAGCTAAACAAGCTATAGCTTAGGGCCCCACTTTCTTGGAGGCCCCCCCAAAATTGTGGTTTTTATGTTGATCTTTTCTGTGAACTGCCCTGAGGCCTCTGGGTATAGGGCAGTTTATAAAATCAATAAATAATAATAATAATAGATACTGTTTTGTTGTTGTTTAGTCGTTTAGTCGTGTCCGACTCTTCGTGACCCCATGGACCAGAGCACGCCAGGCACTCCTGTCTTCCACTGCCTCCTGCAGTTTAGTCAAACTCATGCTGGTAGCTTCGAGAACACTGTCCAACTATCTCGTCCTCTGTCATCCCCTTCTCCTTGTGCCCTCAATCTTTCCCAACATCAGGGTCTTTTCCAGGGAGTCTTCTCTTCTCATGAGGTGGCCAAAGTATTGGAGCCTCAGCTTCAGGATCTGTCCTTCCAGTGAGCACTCAGGGCTGATTTCCTTAAGAATGGATAGGTTTGATCTTCTTGCAGTCCATGGGACTCTCAAGAGTCTCCTCCAGCACCATAATTCAAAAGCATCAATTCTTCGGCGATCAGCCTTCTTTATGGTCCAGCTCTAACTTCCATACATCACTACTGGGAAAACCATAGCTTTGACTATACAGACCTTTGTTAGCAAGGTGTTGTCTCTACTTTTTAAGATGCTGTCTAGGTTTGTCATTGCTTTTCTCCCAAGAAGCAGACGTCTTTTAATTTCGTGGCTGCTGTCACCATCTGCAGTGATCATGGAGCCCAAGAAAGTAAAATCTCTCACTGCCACACCCCATTATACATCACTCATGCTGCAGTTAGCTTTATGGGAGAAAGGTATCATTGGAGCATACCGGGATGTTCATTGGGATCACAGCTGTGTGAGAAAGGGTTAACCATCAGTACAGTCCCAGTGAAAATTTCCCACCCTCTATCCTCGTGCCTATGATTGAATAAAATAAATACACTGGTGTAGTTCTGGTGGCAGTGGAGGGGAACAGCTGGGGGCAAGTGTTACAAAAAGGCACATAACTGAAGGAACCACTAACTTGCTCCTTTATTTCCCACATTTTACCAGTAAGGAAGAGGAGCTGTTCAACAAGACAAGAAGCAAAGTGCCAAGGCAATCTCAGCGAGACAGATGACAGTGGCAATGAATGTCATAAATCAAGGGTGGCCTACTTTTATCAGACAAAGTTCTGTGCCAGAGTGCCAGAGACCAGACAGTGGGTGGGATAAGAACTGTAGTTCTCAGACCACCTCTCAAGCAGGTTTTCCACCTGCTGTTCTACACAGTTTTAAACAATTTCCTCTTAGAAGCAGAAATCATACTCTGTTCTGATTCATCTCTGGAAACCGATGCTTCCTCAAACTGCTTTTCTTCTGCTTTATTCTAGGCAAATCTTCATAGTGCAGAGGTCAACGTAAGAGCATTACTTAGGAGTGGAAACTCATTACTAATATTGAAAAAAGAAAATGAAAGAATAGAGGTAAGTCCCATCAGACTCTTGCAAACATTGGAAGCTCAATCCACAAACCAGTTAAGGAAGGGAAAAAGGCTGCCATCCTAACCTTATGAATTATGCCATAAGGCTCACTGAATTTACTTCTAAGTAAACATGCAGACTGGCTGCTCATTTCTTCAGAAATATTTGTCCAGATTCACAACTACAATCAAATGGAAAGGTAGTAAAAACATTCTGTTCATTGATTTTCACATGATGTGGAAAATTAGCCACCTAATTTCTTCTCTGCCACTGCACTCTTAATTAAATTAGTGCATAATGAGGGTGCTTATTTTTAACATTCACAGCTTTGCAGCACAATTCTCTGCATATTTATCCAAAAGTAAGTCCAATGGGGTTTTCTCCCAAATAAACACTTACTTCTGAGTAAACATGCCTGTGGTTGCGTCACACAACAGCTGCTCAGATCTCTTGGGATGCAGTTCTTTACAAAGTTTATCGGAAGGAAGTCTCATTAAATGTATTTGGATTCACTTCTGAGTTAGCATGTATAGGATTGTGCTCCTAGTATGCCTTGGTTGCGAATTCAGCCTGAAGTGATTGGTAATTACATTTCATTGACTTCAGTAGTACTTGTGTACACAAAACCTTGAGATCAATTGCAGCTGTTTTTATTTCAAAACACTTTTTGGGACAGCACTAATTTGCACAGGTAACTAGTAGAAGCAAAACTCTCACACAGCTTTCCCCTGGATATTATCCCACGTAATAGGCCTCTTTTTCCCCTTCACTTGCTTTTGTGTATTTGCATGAAAACTTCAAAATTAAATACAACTAAAAGTTTGTGTGTGTTAAGACACAATTAAATACAGATTAGATTAGACCTAGACCCTTGTTCTGTCATTACTGAAATACTGATTTATTTGTGTGTATATTTTCAATTTTCAGACCATTATTAAAATTTCCAAAGAGCTTCTTCCTGGTCATGTGCCACTATGGGTTATTCTGCTGAGCGTTTTTGCTGGACTTTTGATTCTTACACTGCTTATATTTGCATTATGGAAGGTATGGTATATGCAGTGTTTGTTCCATATTTGAGTTTAGTGTTTCAGAATTATTCTCCCCTCAGTGAAATTCAGAACAAGGTGATCAGTATTAAAGCAAAATCTAATTGCTCCCTACATATTATCTTACTGATAAAGGCTGCCTTGTGCCCCTATTGTTGCAGCAGCAATATCATATGAAGGAATAATGATCTCAGTTCCCCAAATGTCGGTTCTTATACAGCCAAAATGGCACCATCCATGCATAAGGAGGGAGGTGTTAGCGGACTTCAACAAACCTGAAGTTTTGCAGAAGTTAAAAAACATATTTTAAGGGAGGGGGGAGCCTAAAGGGTGAGGAGGGCTCCTGAAACAGAATGCTGACAACAGCTACAGCTACAGAATGCTGACTAAATGTTACTCATACTCATCCACTGATTTCTAGCATTGAATATCACCCATAGTACATAGTATCTGATTACTTCCATTGCAGTAAGCATCTGGGTGGCATTAAGCATTTGACCACAAGTGGGAGCCCTTGTCAAAGCCAAAGAAAGAAAGAAAGGGAAATAACACAAAGCAGATTTGATATGTATACAGTGGTACCTCGGTTTAAGAACAGTCCTGTTTACGAACGATTCAGTTTACGAAGTCCGCAAAACCAGAAGTAGTGTCCCGGATTGCGAACTTTACATCGGTCTAAGAATGGGATCTGAAAGTTGGAAGGGCACCGGTGATGGGAGGCCTCATTAGGGAAAATGTGTCTCGGTTTAAGAATGGTTTCGGTTTAAGAACGGACTTCCAGAACGGATTAAGTTCGTAAACTGAGGTACCACTGTACACAATTTGAATCTAGGATCATCTTAGGAGTTGCACAATGATCGTCTTAATTCAAGTGTTTCTGTTCTTTGCGTGACTGAGTGTCCTAATTCTGATGTTTTATAACAACTAATCGGTTATTCCAAACTGATTTTTTATGGCAAAACCTCTCTTGACTGAGAAGTGTATGTTAGGTAGATTGGCCTTAAATACAAACGGAAATGAATTTCTTCCCCCATCCCTGTACATCCCTGCAAGTTTTCAAAGCTGGATTAAAATGTTGTTACCACTTTCCTTTCAGGCAGGGTTTTTCAACAGGCCTTTAAGGAAGAAAATGGAGAAATGAGAAGGGGAAACCCTCCAGAAGAAAACTAGGAATTCTACAAGGACTTGTCCTCAGGTCTTCCTCAGAAATGTGACTGTAAAACACTGACTTGGAGCAATCTCGGTGGTCACAAAAGTTTTCTTGAACACTAACAGAAAGTGCCTAACACTAAACACACACACACACACACACAAACACACACAAACACATGAAGCCAACAAATCAATGATAGAAAAGGGCACACAGCACATGTTGTGTGTCTAAGGAGACTTTGGGCTTCTGCATCTCAAGCAACCCATTTCCATGGGGCATGCAGACTCCTTTTAAAACCCAGGAGAGCTTTAAAAGCAATCTGGGATATGGCCAGAATGGAGAGTGGTCTACAGAGGAAAGGAAACAACAGTGGAGTTGTGGGTTGGGACCAACTGGCTGAAGGTAGCTTAGCTTAGCTCTGCAGCTCTGTAGATCCCAGTCATTCCCCCCCCCCCCAAAAAAAATTGGTGTTTGCTTTCAGAGCAGCACTCCTCTAAGGCTGTCACATTTATAAGGCAGTGTGTCCTATTGAACTAAATGGGATGCACTTCCTAATAAGACAGGTTTCCTACCCATCTGGCACTCTCCTGATATTTTGGAATACAGCCACGTTAGCCCCAGACAGCACAGCCATCCGTCCCCAGGCTGAGAGAGAGTATTGGATTTGGGATCAGTCTCTGATACGTACAGCAAACGTTTTGTAAAGTTGCTGTTTTGTTGTTCCAAAAGAGGGGCGAAGGTGCAGAATCATTTCCCATAAGTAAAAGAATTCAAAGCTTGGTACTTCACTGTAAGCCTGAATTTCAAATCCTGAACATAGCTGTTGGTTTGAGTGGCAAACATTTGCTTCAAAGAACAGCACTCAGAATGCATCGTTTTGAAAAGGAAAGTTTTCCCTGCTCTATTTATGATGAGACACGCAGATGAGTTTTGATCACTTTATTGTATGACCATCAAATATATATATATACAAGTGCACTGCTGGTGCTGTCCATTCCTGACACCGCCCAAATTTTTCATTCATTCACTATTGTACACAAGGAGGTTTGTGTGCCTAGACAAACTTAGTTTCTGTGGTTTCACTAAGATTTTTGAAAGGCTAGTCAAATCTGCACACACCTTTTTTGAACATTTAAGAGATGGGGAAATATATATGGGTGGTTGTGAGCTCTATGGTGCTGGTGGGCATTTAACCGTGGTTGTAATATATTTCCTCCATTAAGCTGGCAATTATATTGGGGGTGGGTAGGATTGTAGACAATGCTGTTGCTTAAAAATAAAAAAAAGCAGTGCCGGTCAGTAAAGAGCCTCTCATACATGTGGCTTGTAATGGAATATTTGCTTAAATATTTGTTTCCAATTTAACTGGCACATTGGAATTTTGGAAATGTGAGCAAGTATTTCGTGGAATGACCAAATATAATTATGTCTGTTGGAGGGAGTGGGGTCCAAACCCAAAACTTATATATGTTGCCCTATTGCTATAAGGTTACAAATCAGCTGTATTAACATATAACATGAAGATTGCAAGTGGCCATAATTGTGACGTGTGAGGAATTCACAGCATGAATAATCACACATATTTGTTTGGTACGGCATACATTTCACACTGGAGATTCTGTTGCTTGCCATTTAAGACATTGTCAGAAAAACTCGCCAAGAATCCTGTTATTTGCACATAAATTAAAAGGAATGGAAACTCAGATTTGGGATTATACACTGATTCCTACAGGGAAATGCATCACAGTATCAAGCAATTAAAAAGAAGCAACAGTCTAGCGCTACAATGAAGCAAGGTGATCTCCCTTGGTTTTCATTTTTTGCTATTTATGTGTCAAGGAATTATTTAAACAGTACCTATGTTAAGTGTCTGTCTGAAACACTATTATGTACACTGTATCTATAGAAATACACTGAAATAGATAGAATGTTTAAAATCCTAATAGAGCACAAAACACAGTGGCCCAAATCCCACTAAATTTAGCTACAGGTGACTGAAAGCACAAGAAGGTTATTTAGATACAACTAACTTGTTCCAATTAGCCGTTTTAAAAAAAGGGAAATCCATTCATTTTAATGGAACTCAATTTAAAAGTAAACTTGCTTAGGATCATGGCCTGAAGATTGCACTCAATGGCCCATTTAGTCTAATTTAAGACAGTGAAGCTCTACTGGAGAAAGTTGCCTGCATATTTTTATCTAATACTGTTTAATGCAAGTCTAATTGTCTTTCCCCAAATATATCACCTTTCTTCTGCACTAAAATGTTTTGCTATACATTCACAATTTGAGTATCTTGGTGTGTATATAAATGTGGATATTTTAAATGTAAGCTTGGTACATATTGTTTAACTTCAAAAGTTTTATGTCTTTTATGTTACCCTATCTGAATTTTTCACTATTCTTGGTTGGTAGGTTATTCCTATCCCCAAGAATGAACATGTACATGAGAGCTAGTTCACACATGACAGCAAACCACAGGAACCAGCCTTGTCCCATCGTGTTTTCAATTAGTTACTTACTGTTTGGCAATAAATAAATAAAAGCTTGCCATTACATCTGATCTGGGAAATAACAGTTTGCACTAATCCTTCAACCTAGGATTGTAGAGCCAACTTCAAACTGGCTTACAATCCTAGTTCAGAAGGAAAGCACAAACCATGGTTTACCGATCTGGGTGCAGCAGCAAGCTATAGTTTGCACTGAAGTGAGAATTAACTAATTGAAATAGAGAGCACAAGGAGACAGGAAGAAGGGCAAAACAATGTGCTAGCTCAAGGTTTATTCCAGTAGTATCAAACCGTTCGTTTTAAATATATTTGAGTATACACAGAGTTAAATAAATTTTCATTTATTGTTTTAAGTGATTATATCAAATTGATGTAATGAGTATGATTCATGCTTTATAGTATCCATAGCATTCATAAGTCTGAAGCAAACCATGAGTTCATTCCTGAATGCATACTGTTTGTTTGTGTATGCTTGTTCCTAATACAATTTCACAATCCTGTCTGAAGATGAACAGAGCCCTTTGTTTAGTGACTATAACTTAGCAGAAACCACAGACAGACCCACAACTTGAGACTTCTGAATAATTATGACTCTGTGGGTTGCCAGTTCTTGAGCAATTCCTCAAGATCAGTCAGCTGTGCACCCGGAAAGATGAGGTAGTGAATCTTGCCCTCATTCTATTTCACCCTCCTTATGTGTAATTTCTAGTATCGTAATGAACTGGATCCAACCTCACAACACTATCATTCAGTTTCTGTTCCGAAGCAAGTTCCACTGAATTCAATTGGGATTACATTTCTAGGAATGAAGTATATAGCATTGCAATCCAAATCAGCTGTACCTGTGACCCAATGAAATCAGTGGGATGAAGTCGTGACTTAATTTTACTGTTTGGATTGCTTCACGTGAATTATTTCATGCGACAACCCTGTCAGGTGTAGGTATTGTTGATGGGGCAGAGAAAGTAATCACCAGGTGGCCTTAGGCAAGCCAGAGGTGAGAGATCTGAACCACAGGAAAGGATATTGCTGTTGCACCCAAGCATAGGCATCTGGTTGGCCACTGTGAGAACAGGACGTTGGACTAGATGGGCCTTGGCCCTGATCCAGCAGGGCTCTTATGTTCTTATCTTCAACTCTGCTTCTTCACCATAATGCTAGAAGGGACATGGCTCAGTGATTGAGAACCTGGCTTGCATGCAAAATATCCTGGGTTCAGTCCCTGGCATCCACACACCCCTGTCTGAAACCCTGGAGAGCTGCTTCCAGTCAGCGCTGATGATACTGTGGAGGTTGGATCTGTTTAAAGTGACATGATGATGCTTTAAATGTTGAGTGCAGATAGGGCCTCATGCTAGAGTGGAAGAAGAGGAACAGGTACGAATGAGCATTATGGCATTGGTGTTGTGCAACTTATCTGAGAAAGCTTATACCCAGAGCAAACTTAGTTGGTCTCTAAGGTGCTACTGGACAATGTTTTAATTTTTATTTATTTATTTGAGATACACATTTTTAAAGCTAGAGAACAGTAGAAAAGAAGAGCTTGCTTCTGCACAGGTTTTTTGTTTTTATTTTTGGTCTTTCTACATTCTTCTTGGAATTGCTCTATTAAAAAGAAGGAAAGCACACTCCAGGTATTTGTGTGTCATTATGTATATGTATATGTATATGTATATGTATATGTATATGTATAAATCCCCTCTTTCATGGAAAATGTGTTTTTCCAGGAACAAAACGTTGGTGTTGGAGATTTTCCCACAACAGAAGCAGCTTTCTTGATATTTGAAAGTGTAGAAATTTGAAAGTGCAACACTAAAAACCTTTTGATCACAGGTGCAGAATATGAAAAGGTTGGCATAATTAAAAGGACAAATGATTGTTGTTGCATGTAAGCGTCCAAATTCAAGATTATCTTTTGCATGAATTTCTAAGAGTTTCCTTACTAGCACAGATCTAAATGACTCACTGACTTCTCCCACACTGCTTAACAATGTTCCTCAGAAGAAGTTGCAACATTCTGTGTTGATACAGGGTGAGCACGCATGAAGGGGGTGGCCTTATCAGATGAGACGCATATCTTGAATCACTGCATCTCCAGGAAAACATCCTGCCCATTCATGGTGTGCATTTCATCAAGTTCTTGCTGCATGAACCCGATTTTTAGAGGGCAGAGCCATTATGAAAAAAAGTAAATAAAATAAGTGGCTTGTTTCTTAAAAATAAATGTCAGAAATGAAGTCCATTTGGGGGAAAAAATATTCTCTTAGCAAAAAGATGTAACAAAAGTCCACAAAAGGTGTAAGAATGTGTATTTCAAAAAGTGATAGCCAACATTAGATATACCCAGAGGAGACCTGTTAAAATCAATGAATTTAAGTAACTTTATTTCAATGGATCATCGTCCATTGTGATAACATGGTAAAACTGTACCTTTTTTGTATGGAAATTGTCACTTGAATAAACACTCTTCTCCTTGTTGTAGGTTTCCACTCCTTTTTTGTTCATTCATGAGCTGGTGACATTAAGCCACCAGTGTTATATTTCAAAATATTAATAAGCTCCTTCAACATTTGTTTAAAGATGAGCCAGAAATTATTTTGGCTTTGTGTCTTCAAATAATCCGTAGAGTTTTTCAAACAGAAATTCCATCCTAAAATGAAAAAGGCACACACAAAACATTTGGTAAGACATAAATGACACTTGCTTCATAGTGTGCTAAGAGAGTACCCACCTCAACCCAGCTATTTACTATGAGATTTCTATGGCAAGTGTTTCTGAGTATTCTGTTGACCAATGGAATTGTATCAAAGTTAACATTCAGCTAAAGGTCTCCAATATGGGCAGGAAAATTTGTTGTTGCTGTTCTTTCTGTTCATCTGTTTATATACAATATGGGTTTGCATATGCACCATACATTTAAAGAACTATTACACCACTTTAATAGCCATGGCTCCACCAAAAGAATTATGGGAGCTGTGGTTTGTTAAGGGTGTTCCGAGTTGTCAAGAAACCCCATTTCCGCTCACAGAGCTACAATTCTCAAAGTTCCCTGGGAAGAGAGGATTGTTAAATCACTCTGGAAATTGCAGCTCTACAAAGGGCACTAGTACTGGTGTGCATATTTCAGGGAACTCTTATTATGGTCTCTAGGGTGCACCTGTCAGAAGAACCTGAGCCATGGATGCAGGTGGTGCTGTGGTCTAAACTGCTGAGTCTCTTGGGCTTGCTGATCAGAAGGTCGGCGGTTCAAATCCCTGTGATGGGGTGAGCTCCTCTTGTTCTGTCCCAGCTCCTGCCAACCCAACAGTTTGAAAGCATGCTAGTACAAGTAGATAAATAGGTACCACTGTGGTGGGAAGGTAAACAGCATTACCGTATGCTCTGGTTTCTGTCATGGTGTTCCGTTGCACCAGAAGCAGTTTAGTTATGCTGGCCACATGACCTGGAAAGCTGTCTGTGGACAAACGCTGGTTCCCTCAGCCTGAAAGCAAGATGAGCACCACAACCCCATAGTCGCCTTTTACTGGACTTAACCGTCCAAGGGTCCTTGACCTTTCCCCCCTTTTTTTTGTAGCATGTGAGGAGCACTTCTTGTCCTCATTTCTATTGTGTCCCTCTAGGGCAACACTTTCCACCTTCCCAACTGCAGCCCCTTTCAGAAAAAGATGATTTGGCCACGGTACTCCACACTCAGTTTACTTCCAGACTGGATTATTGCAATAGCTCTGTGTGGGACTTCCCTTGAAGACAACTTGGAAACTTCAACTTGTTAAAAATGCAATAGCCAGATTATTAGCTAGGGGTCCGTTTAGAACTGACATAATAACCCTTGTTTTAAAGTGCCTGCATTGGTTGCCAGTGCATGTCTGAACCTAATGTAATCCTCACAACACCCCTGAAAATTATAGGCCAGTATAATTATGCCTATAGTGCAGGTGGAAAAGGCGACACTGAAAAAGTATGGCTTGGAAGGCCAGCCAGCTTTGTGATGAAGGCAAAATTTCAGCCTTGGGACTTCCAGACTCACATCATAGATCCCAACACTAAGCCAGTTCTCAGACAGAGGAAGGAGCTTCCTTACATCTGTTTATGGAAGCTTAGGTGACGGATATCTCAAAGGAAACTGTGGTATAAAAATGGTCCTCTGCTGGGCGTCTCTTTTGCATGCAGTGGCAAAAGTGGGCATGAACAGGCAGGTACAGCATACGAGGAAAATTCTGTGGAGAAGTGGTAACAAAAAGCCCACACATTCTTAGTCATCCCTCCGCTCAAGAAGGCACTAATGGGCGCATTAAGGAATTTTACACGAGTCTTTGCCAACCTGGCAGGGGCTGATGGGAGTTGTAGTTCGAAAAAGAATCAGGCTGGCACCTCAGGGTTGTTTTAGACACAGAACCACCTTTTTTTGATGTTCACTTTAGATGTTACTTCACTGACTTTAAAATATAGTTGCGCTGAATAGGGTCCTGGCCATCCGCCCTAAAGTCCTGCCCTGGCAGCACCACGGGCGCCAACCGAAACAGCCGCCCGTTTTCGTCACTCCTGGCCGGCCTGTGAGGCGAAAAAGTTGAGCTTTCAGAGGGGGGCGTGCTCGGAGTTCGAGTTATGGGGCAGGTGAATGAAGAAAGCTCGCGCGTTTGTGGCGGGAAAGCGCGGGCCCTGAGAGACTTTTTGTCTCTGGGCGGCGACGTCGGTCCGCAGGAGGTGTTTGTTGGCGAGGGAAACGGGGAGGGGCTGCCGCCTTCTCTCCCTGGGGGCTCCTTCCACCAGCAGGAGCGTGGCGGGGGTGGCCGGCGGTGGGCGGAGCTGCCCTGCCCTCTCACGACTTCCCGTGGCTCGCGCAGCTCGTTTCACTCGCCTGCCGCGGCCGAGCTGCACCTTGCGCCCTCGCCTCGACCCTCCTCCCCTCTCTCTTTTTTCGGCTTGGTACAGTCGCCAGCGCGGACCCTTTTCCGCTGGGAACTATGGGCGCGAGAGGACGCTGCGTGAGCTGCCTGGCTGTGAGGCGCCTGCTGCTGCTGCTGCTCAGCTCAGGTAAGTCGGCGGCTTTCTTGTCGGGCAGGTGGGAACTCGCCCGCTGCAGCGGGGCAGGAGCTTCTGCTGTCGCCTCGGGACGCGCTTCTTCTGCTTCTTCTGAACTGCGGCGGGATGCGCGGCGCTTGCAAATCAAGGGCGCCTCTCTGCTTAACCCCCCCCCCCCCAAATCCAACCAGCATCGGAAAGAAAAGTCTCATTTTGGGCTCCATTTGTAAATCTCCCCAGGAGGAAAACACAAACAAACCTTCTCTTCTCTGCTGGTGAAAACGCAGGATGCCATTCAGCTAAGTTTTACTTAGCGTAGGCCTATTGAAATTAATGGGCTTGACTTTTGGTGGATCTGGAAAACTTAGTCGCACTGCTGTCAGTCATGGTGTGTGTGAATGGCGCTTTTAACTCTCTTCTGTTGAAACCTGTGAGACTTGACAGTCTTTTTGGATTTGGGCAGGATCTTCATAGACTATCATAGAATTAGTTACAGGTAGGTAGCCATGTTGGTCTGCCATACTCAAAACAAAACAACAAAAAAATCCTTCCAGTAGCATCTTAGAGACCAACTAAGTTTGTTATTGGTATGAGCCTTTGTGTGCATGCACACTTCTTCAGATACACTTCTCATGTGTATGCACACGAAAGCTCATACCAATAACAAACTTAGTTGGTCTCTAAGATGCTACTGGAAGGATTTATTTTTATCATAGAATTGTAAGTGTTGGAAAGGAACACAAGGGTCATCTAGTCCAACCCCTTGCAATGCAGGGATCTTTTGCTCCCTGTGGGGCTTGAACACACAACCCTGAGATTAAGAACTTCATGGTCTACTGACTGAGTTGTCTTTATAACAACAACAATAAATTGTTGTGGATAATATATAGACCAAGGGTGTAGATGAAAAGGAAGAGATTATAAATCTAGGCAGCCCATGTGGATGCAGGGTTTCTTCTTGGACTAAGACTGGGGAGACCAATCCCCATGCAGACATGACACTTGCTTAGGGACGTTATCCCAGACACTCTCAGCCTAGGTTACCCTGCAGGGCAGGTGTGAAGATAAAATGGAGATAAAATGGGAAGAGAATTAGGTATGCTGCCTTGGACTCCTTGGGCGGAATTATTATTACTAATTTGCTTTTTGTTTTTAAAATAACCCCTCTAGCATTTCTGTACTGGCATTCAACTGTTGAAACCATTTTAGCTCAGTAATTATTACACCATTCTTGCAAGGTAGTCCGGTATTATTATATCCATATTGCCGTGTGATCCTTAATGTGTTACCTCAGGAGTAAGCCACCCATGAGACTTACACCCAAAGAAGCATGTAGGATTGAGGTCCTAGTGAATTAATGGCTAAAGTGAAATTTTAAACAGGGACTTCATGGCTCATACTCTTAGCCACTACAGCAAACCAACTCTTATCTCCAGCTGATGGCCAAAAGTCTGGAATCAACCCTGCAAGGGGATGCCAGGGATTGAATCTGGGCAATGCAGATGCTCCACCACTGAGCTACAGCTCTTCCCTAAGAAACAATAAAGCAACACTTTGGTTATACTACTGAGAACTAGATGAAGTGGTGTTGTTGCTTTTGACTTTGACATATATGACTAGGCTTCCTTGCACCACTTGTCTAGACAGCAGACTCTGGAGTGTTCCTTCAGCTTGTGTTCCTCACCTCCTCGCACAGCAGCATTCAGCAGGGCAGTGATGCTTGCCTGACCTCCTGTCACCAGTGCTGTTGCAGCACACCAGGAGGCAGAAGAGTAGGGCTGAGACAGTGGTGAGGGCAGCACAGTGTGAATGCACTGGCAGAGGCAGTCCAGCACCCCCAGCAGTACATTTGCACCACGCTGACCTCACTGCCAACTCACTTCTCACCCTTTTGCTCCAGATACACCACAGTGTTAGGAGGTCATGTAAGCACTTCCGCCACACCAACTGCTGCTGGTTTAACATCTAGAAGTCTCACAATACCCTGTAGCCAATCATGGTGGGGGAGAGGCATTCTGCACAGGCTCAAAAAGATTCCTGTCCTTACTGTTATTTCATATTTTCTGGCCTGGAATAGGAGTTCATGTTGTAAAATGTCAACAACAACAAAGCTGGGAGTGATGGAGTCCAACAAGATCTGGAATGCCCACCCCTAACTTAAGCAAACCACTGTATTCTTTCAGCTCCTAGTTCTGAAATAGGGAGATATTGGTGTAGTGATGATCATGTAATTATAGGTTTAAGAACCTTAAGGTGGTTTTAAAAAAATCCTTTATAGCTGAATTACTTTAAATAATAGAGTGGTACCTCGGGTTAAGAACTTAATTTGTTCCGGAGGTCCATTCTTAACCTGAAACTGTTCTTAACCTGAAGCACCACTTTAGCTAATGGGGCCTCCTGCTGCTGCCGTGCCGCCGGAGCATGATTTCTGTTCTCATCCTAAAGCAAAGTTCTTAACCCAAGGTACTATTTCTGGGTTAGCGGAGTCTGTAACCTGAAGCGTATGTAACCCGAAGCATATGTAACCCGAGGTACCACTGTAATCTAAACCTGAGGTTATTTTACATGCCATGTTCATCCTTGGGCCAAGATGAATGTAAAGTTTGGAAATCTAAGCTGCCTTGTGTTTTTGGATAAGTTTACCCATATTTTTATGGAAACAGCAGCTGCAATATTCTCATGTCATAGCATTTTCCTTCAATGTTTCCAGATTGTAAAAATCAGATTTTTTTTTTTTAATCCATCTGAGCTAATGGTGGAGTTGGATGGCATGCAAAAACATTTACCTGTAAGAAGTTCCAACATGTTATTTCAGTAACTATGGGAAACATTGTGGAATGCAGTGCCAGAGGGAATGAAATCAGATACAAAAGACATTAACCTTTTGGAAGAATTGTGGCATGAAAACCACCCTGTGATTCCCCCGCCCCCCAAGAAAGGATGAAGTCTCAGTTCATGAAATGTTCTATCTGCATTTTTGTCTAATCTGCCTTTTATTCTCATGGTGAGAGTATTTGGACTGTAAACAAAAGCACCAATTCACGCTGTAAAAGCACCCAGCCTAGAGTGACAGTGTGTACCAATACTGTCAAAACAGTGTAGATCAGCAGTTCTCAAACTTTGTGTGTGTGTGGACCACATGGAAATTGCTGGGGGACTTGGTGGACCACTGTTTTTGTTCTACAAAGCAAACCACAAACCACAAATTTTAACAGCCATAGTCTTGCTTTTCTAATATGATGGATGTGCCTGTTTTTGTTGTGAGAAAGTTCTGTGAATTATCAGCTTTCACCTCAGGTCAGGTTCAGCATTCACCCTGCTTTTGCATTTAGACTTGAGGGTGGCAAGTGATGAAAACCCAATCTTTCACCATTATGAGAAAAAGAAAATGTTTTTTAACCTTCAGAGCCAAGCGTTATAATTAAACCCATCATAGGAGCCAACTCCTAGAGGCTCAGGTCCCTTCAGCCCCCCAATAAAACATTTGAAGGGCCTAAGGGCCCCAAAGTTAATTGGCATTGCCATTCAAATGGTGTGTGTGCCGTGTCATGTGATTATGTGGGGTGGGGCTGATCTGTCCCCCCCCCCAATATTTTATTTAACTTGGCACCCCTGAAACACATCACCATGTTATGAATCCATGGACCTTAGGCCATGTCACTGAGGAAGACCCTGCCCCTTTCACTGATAAATGTTGCGGGACAAGGCCTGCTTAACCTGTCAAAAAGCCTAGCCCTGGTCAGAACAGCCATGATTTCCATTGTCAGTAAAAACAAATCCAGTGCAAATACAGATGTTCTGGGTTCCTTGAATTAAGTGGTTCACAGACCACAATGGTTAACCAGATGGCTGTGGGAAACCCGCAAGCAAGACCTGAGTCCCACAGCAGCATATTTTGCAAATGAAATCAGATAATATGTAAAGGACAAGAAGTACAGTGGTACCTCGGGTTACATACACTTCAGGTTACAGACGCTTCAGGTTACAGACTCCGCTAACCCAGAAATAGTACCTCGGGTTAAGAACTTTGCTTCAGGATGAGAACAGAAATTGTGCGGTGGTGGCACGGCAGCAGCGGGAGGCCCCATTAGCTAAAATGGTACCTCAGGTTAAGAAAAGTTTCAAGTTAAGAACGGACCTCCAGAACGAATTAAGTTCTTAACTCGAGGTACCACTGTATGTACTTTTAAAATGTATCTAGGCAACCCCTTTTCAGATAATTTCTAAGCTGAATTGCAACTTTATTAGCAGGCAGATGTAAATATTAAAAAGGTTTCAAAACAAATTGAATGTAATTAAATTTGGGGGCAGAGGGGATATATATGTGGGTGTGTGGGTGTGTGGGTTTCTAAGTTCTTTTTACTTCAGAAGGCTAGACCAAGCCATTAGCACTCTGAAAAGTCTTGAACATTCACAATTCCCTGTTGTCATTTTCACTTACTCATTTCAAGGTTTCCATTGTTTGGCTTTGTGCAGGCTTGTCCCCATTTCCATGGTTACCGTGTTGAAATGCAGACAGGACACAAGCTGCATTCCGATCAGAGTTCTACATGCTGCTCCATGCCAGCAGCATATGCTTCAGTTGTTTTGGGGCATATTGTTTAAGGGCCCATGTATGCAGAGCAGTCAACATTTCTGTGTTTAATCCTTAAATCATTGTTAGCCACTGAAAGAGAGAGGGTTGTAGCCAGTGCTTTGCTGGCAGAAAGCCCACGTAACTGATCTTCCCCGTCCCATCCTCCCCACTGCAGCCTCCTGCACCTTTCCCCCAAGCAAGTCTCACAAGAGAGCTAGGGGAACCTGCCCAAACATTGTGGGCCAGGTCTTCTGCAGCTGCACTGGGAGAAGAGACTTGCTCTAAATCAGGCATGTCCAACTTAGTTTGCAGGTGGGCCATTGCAAATGAGCTGCTGGCAACAGTTTTACTTTTTACATACAAGATTTCCCCTGGAAGGCAGGAATGGGGGAATGTAGACAGGCATTTGCATGCCAGTGATGTTGTGTAGATGCTGAACAAAACATGTATGCATAGAAAGTGTCAATGTGTTGCTATTAGTATAAAGGTAAAGGTAAAGGGACCCCTGACCATTAGGTCCAGTCGTGGCCGACTCTGGGGTTGTGGCGCTCATCTCGCTTTATTGGCTGAGGGAGCCAGCGTGCAGCTTCCGGGTCATGTGGCCAGCATGACTAAGCCGCTTCTGGCGAACCAGAGCAGCGCACAGAAACGCCGTTTACCTTCCCGCCGGAGCAGTACCTATTTATCTACTTGCACTTTGACGTGCTTTCGAACTGCTAGGTTGGCAGGAGCTGGGACCGAGCAACGGGAGCTCACCCTGTCTCGGGGATTTGAACCACCGACCTTCTGATCGGCAAGTCCTAGGCTCTGTGGTTTAACCCACAGCGCCACCCATGTCCCACTATTAGGATACAAAGCCCTTAACAACCCTAGAACTAGTTTACCTGTGAGATGTATGCCTACTCAACTGCTTCGATCTGAGGAACTGGCATTGTTACAGGTGTAACATAATACCCATTCTGCATTTCAAAGAAATTGATATTTTAGTGTGACTTTAAAACTCCCTGCTTATTGATTTCAGACAGGTGCCTTCATTGTACTGTTTTTGGTGCTTTCCAAAACAGTATTTGTTTAAGTAAGCCTACGCAGATATCTAGAAAGTGGATGCATTTTTAGTTTATTGCTGTTTTTATTTTATATTCTAAATAGTTATTTAAATCATTCTTACCAATAATTTTATTGCTTTATGCTTTTTGTAAACTGCTTTGAAGGTTGTTGCTTTTTTTTTACAATCAAGTGATATATAAATTTAACAAAATAAATAAAAGCACCAATCTCACAATAAGCACCCATTTAGATGCACTAGGAAGTTGATCAGAAGGTAACATCATTTTAGCCTGTGCACTGTTGCAGATTGTGTGAGATTGTTTGGAGGGAAGCAAGAGCAGGCATGTAAAAAAGCCACTTTGCTGGTTTCTTGTGATGACTAAGATCAGGCAAGGGAACATAGGTGTAGTGGGGGGTGAGGAAGTGTGGTTACTTCTTTACATTGTGCTGTTATCTGTTATCTGTGGATCAAAATTTAACTAAAGACGGCAGACTACCTAAAACCTTCTTTGAACTAACTGATAACATGGACTTGATTGATATTTGGAGGACAAGGAACCCCTTAGGTAAAGAAGGAACATTCTTTTCTGAGGCCCACCTATCATGGACAAGAATCGACCAAATATGGACAACTAGAGGACTGGCACCTAAGATCAGAAAAGTGGAAATCTGTCCAAAGACTTGCTCCGACCATAATGCTTTGAAAGTAGAATTGAGACTTACTCCAACCGGTTCTTTCAGATGGAAAATGAATGACACCCTACTAAGAGATCAGGAGATTGTGAAGAAGGCCCAAAAAACCTTAAAGGACTACTTTGAAATCAATTTGAACACTTCGGTGGAAAAGAGAACAATCTGGGACGCAAGTAAAGCTGTACTGAGGGGTTTCTGATACAACAGAACACAATCAAGAAAAAACTTTGGAATGGGAAAAAGATAGGATATTAGAGAAGATAAGAGAAGGAGAGAAAAAATTGAGATTAAAACCAAAATCAAAAGAGGTTCTAAGAGAAATCAAATTCCACCAAGCTCAATATGCGAAATTGATAAATCAAGAAGTGGAATGGAAAATCAAACAAATGAAACAAAGATCATTTGAATCGGCAAATAAATGTGGAAAACTGCTAGCATGGCAGTTGAAAAAGAGACAAAAATTGAACTTTGTCACTAATCTAGAGGTGGAGGGAGAAACATTCAGAAACCAGAAGAAATTAGAAAGTGTTTCCAGAAATATTTCAAAAAACTTTATACTCAAGGGCCTCAGGAAGTGTCTGAGATAGATCAATTTTTAAAAGTTAACGGTCTATCCAAACTATCTCAGGAGAAGAGGACAATCTTAAATAATAGAATAACACGACAGGAAATAGAGGGTGCCATTCAGAATATGCAACTAGGCAAATCTCCAGGCCCAGATGGACTTACCTCCAAGTACTATAAGACACTAAAAGACTATTTGATACAACCACTAATGGAGGTCTGTAACCAGATTATGGAGGGGAGGAGGGCACCGGAAACGTGGAAAGAAGCTTTCATCACATTGATTCCTAAATTGGAATCTGAAAAGACTCAGCTTAAGAACTACCGTCCCATCTCACTCCTAAATGTGGATTACAAAATTTTTGCTGATATTTTGGCGAGCAGACTTAAAAAATACTTAACGAAGTAATTCATAAGGACCAGGCAGGCTTTCTCCCAGGAGACATCTTTTTGATAATACCAGGAACATTATTGATATTTTGGAACTTTTACAAACTAATATCAATACGAAAGCTGTGTTAATTTTCATCGATGCGGAGAAGGCCTTTGATAATATTTCTTGGATATTTATGAAGAGAAACCTGGAAGGGATGGGAGTGGGACGGGGTTTGAAAATGGAATAGAAGCAATTTATTCTGAGCAAAAGCTAAACTGATAGTGAACAATGTGGTGACAGATGAGTTCAAAATTGAAAAAGGGACACGACAAGGGTGCCCCTATCCCCTCTTTTATTTATTTCAGTCCTGGAGGTGTTACTGAACATGATTAGGAAGGACCGGTTGATACAAGGAATACAGGTCGGAGTGAAACAATATAAATTGAAAGCTTTTGCAGATGATTTGGTTTTAACATTACAGGAGCCAGAATCTAGTACAAAAAGAGTATTAGAATTGATTCATGAGTTTGGTCGGGTGGCGGGATTTAAGTTGAATAAGCAAAAACTAAGGTTTTGGGGAAAAACTTGACAACATCAGAAATAGATGGGTTTCAGAAGGAAACAGAACTAAGTGTGGTAAAAATAGTAAAATACCTAGGGGTTCACTTGTCAGCGAAAAATTTGAATCTATTTAAAGACAACTATTTAAAATGTTGGCTGGAAATCAAAAAGATTTGGAAATCTGGTCAAGATTGAAACTTTCCTTGTTGGGTCGAATTGCAGCTATAAAAATGAATGTATTGCCGAAAATGTTATTTTTGTTTCAAACCCTACAGATTGTGGACAGAGTGGAATGTTTTGGAAAGTGGCAGAAGGATATATCTAAGTTTGTTTGGCAGGGCAAAAGCCCGGATAAAGTTTAAAATACTAACTGATTTGAAAGAAAGAGGGGGGTTTGCCCTGCCGGACTTGAGAATATATTATGAAGCTGCGGCCTTCTGCTGGATGAAAGATTGGTTACTTCTTGAGAACACTGATGTTCTAGATCTGGAAGGGTTTGATAATGCTTTTGGCTGGCATGCATATTTGTGGTACGACAAGGTAAAGGTTCATAAAATGTTCAAAAATCATATTGTTAGAAAATCAATATTTATGGTCTGGACAAAATACAAGGACTTATTAGAGGGTAAGACTCCGAGGTGGCTTTCACCAGCAGAGGCCAAGGCCCGGAAAAACCTAATATGGAGGTTGGTTGGCTGAAATATGGGGAAATTATAGAAAAGTAGGAGAAACTTGGAGGCTGCAGAGTTATGAAAAATTAAAGAATAAGGTGCAAAATTGGCTTCACTATGCTCAAATTCAAGAGGTTTTCAAGTTGGACAAAGAATAGGTTTCCAGGTGGAAAAATCGAAACTAGAGACAGAATTGTTGGAACCAAAGACCAAGGTACTTTCGAGAATGTATATCTTGCTGCTTAAATGGAACACTCAGGATGAGACAGTCAAATCAGCCATGATAAAATGGGCTCAGGACATTGGGTACAACATTATGTTTGAAGACTGGGAAAGGTTATGGACCACTGGTATGAAATTCACGGCATGTAATGCCTTGAAAGAGAATATTATGAAAATGATATACAGGTGGTACATGACCCCAGTCAAGCTAGCTAAGATATATCATTTGTCTGATAATAAATGTTGGAAATGTAAGGAGGCTGAAGGGACATTCTTTCACCTCTGGTGGACTTGCCCAAAAGTGAAGGCCTTCTGGGAAATGATCTATAATGAGTTAAAAAAAGTGTTTAAGTACACTTTTCCCAAGAAACCAGAGGCCTTCCTACTGGGCATTGTCGGTCAGAAGGTGTTAAAGAAGGATAGAACCTTTTTTGCAACTACAGCAGCAAGAATTCTTATCGCAAAACATTGGAAGACTCAAGATTTACCCACACTGGAAGAGTGGCAGACGCAATTGATGGGCTACATGGAATTGGCTGAGATGACTGCCAGGATCCGAGATTTGGAGGAAGAAGCAATGGAGGAGGATTGGAAAAATTTAAAGATTATTTACAAAAATTTTATAAGTTATATGAATGTTAAGAATTCGCATGATTAGGGAACTTCAGCTCCAGCAATAAGATTAAGGTATGGGAAACTAAGCTATTTTAATGAAAAGACTAACGTTTAAAAGAACATTATATATATTATTAGTGCAAATTGACAATAAGCATTTTAAACGTAAATCACAAGTATTTGAAAGAACAAAAGAATGCACGAAATAAGGTTATAATTTGCTGAAAAATTTTATTGTAAAGAACGCAAGGTGAGGGGGACGGGGGGAAGTCCGGTTGGTTATGGAAAAATGCTTTGAAAAGCTGATTGTCTACTTTTTCTTTCTTTTTTCTGTTATTTCTTTGTATATCTGACCTTGTATTTCTATCTGGAAAAATGCAATAAAAAATATTATAAAAAAAAAAAAAAATATCTGTTATCTGTGGTCTTTTGGCTTTTGTAGACATACATGCAAGGTTATGCATGGTTATCTCAGTACCCCCTTCCTTTAATTCATTCTCCAAATGAGAAAAATCTTTTTGATAAATACTTTTATCTATCCTGTAGAAGAAGCATTCTAGATAAAACATGGCACAGGGATGTATTTCTTCTGGTTTGGGGATGAGGAAACACGTTCTGATGCTTTTGGTAAGAGCTTCCATTTAAAGGAGATAACCTGAAGGAAGCAAGTTTGTGATGGGTGCGACTATGAATACTCATGTTATTATTATTATTTATCTACCAGAAACACATTGCATTTTTGTGTGGTTGCACTACTATTTTTGGAGCTGGCAGCAAAGCCAGCCTTACCAGGATATTTTATGCGTTTTGTTTTGTTACCTGTAATATCTGTATTTTCTTCCTCGTTTTCTGAAGGCTGGCTTGGGGTTTAAGGCTGGATTAGAGGCAATCCAATACTTCATAATCCTGAAAGGTTTACCTAAAAGTATTTTAGGCAAACAATGTACAGAAATGTGTTTTTTTTTCTGCTGGTTTCAGTATGATGAAACACATTTCCTTTACTTCCTTTTGAGGGCATCAGCAAATTATTATTATTATTATTATTATTATTATTATTATTTCTACCCTGCCCATCTGGCTGGGTTTCCCCAGCCACTCTGGGCGGCTTTCAACAGAACATTAAACTTCAAACATTCAGAATAAAACTTCAAACATTAAAAATCACTTCTCTCTCCTTCCCCTGTCCGCTTCCAAGTGGACACTTGGAAATGCTTTGCATACATGTTCGGACTTCTTTGGACCCAACCATTTGTATGGCGGTGAGCATTTTGCACATGTCCAATTGATGCGTGGCCACTGACACATGGGTATTTTGGGACCTGGAAGGGAGTGGAACTGGGGCAGAATGGGGGCAGGGCATGGGCTCCACCAACGCATGCGGGAGCCATTAACGGACCAGCCCCGCAAAATGGTTGCTGCCTATACTACGACTTTATTGAATAGTATTAATCATTTTGATGAATGATTTCTGACATTTTGAATTACTACGACTTTATTGAATTGTATCATTTTGCTGAATTTGTTGTTGTTTTCTTTATTTATGTATGTTATTGTGTTTAACAGTATAGTAGTTGCAATGTTTGTTTTTAATGGTATTGTGATTATTGTGACCTTCTTTGTTGGAAAATTGGAATGTAAATATAAATATTAAATCATATTTATATGCTTACTATTTTTAAATAAAGGTGTTGGGCTCTCCTTTGCTGGAACTGTTATTTATTCGTCTATAACATTTATATCCTACCTTTTCACAACCACTCAGTAAACCTTATGGCCAGGTGGGGATTTGAACCCTGGTCTCCCAGTCCAACTCTTAATAGCTATGCAGGAGGAGGGTATGTGGTCAGGGATGCTGTAGTTGTGAGATTCCTGCACCAAGCTGCTTTATCATTCTGTGATATTTTTATTTTTCTGGCACAATATTAGAATGTTGCACATAAAGTCAATTGACTTTTGCTGTTATCCAGCATAACAATGCCTTACTGTACTCTGACAACTGCCATTCAACAGTAGGAAATAGGAAATAAGCAGCTGGTGTTACTAACAGGTGTGTACAGGGTACAAAGTACAGGAAGGTAAGAAGGGAAGGTTGAGGAGAGAAGGATATGTAAATTCAATTGAGAGAAATGTAAGTGTCACAGTACTAGCAAAAAATCCTAGCTTGTAGATCTGTATAGTATTATTCCTTGCTTGAAATTCAGATGCTCAGTGACTTGGCACTCTATAAATGTAAATTTAAAAAGAAGAAGGCCTTATTTGTTTAGAGGCTAAAAATAAGTATGAAGCAAACTTAGCTCGCTTTTTTTTTTTTTAGTACAGATATTAAATATGATTTCCTGAGCATTGCAATTTAATTCAAAAGTACAAACCAGTTAAAAAATCCTAGAACAAAATATACCCACATTCCGTTTGCATCACATTTTGTGTACATTCAGCAAACCTACAGAATTATAAATAATTTCTAGCAAACAGTTCACTTCTGAACCATTACTGTTATTGATCTATTTACTTAGGAAGACAACCGCTGTCACGATGTTTCACTTCATTTGTTTGGATTCACTGGATCAGGTCATAAACAAAATCTTGCCAAATTGATTAAGAATGAGGACAGCTCTTCACCTCCAGTTGGTTTTTATAAAGACTAGTTTTCAAGTTGTGATTTAGGAGCACTCTCTCAAACCATTTGCAGCATGATTAATTGAAGGCAGACTCTCATAATAATTCATACAAAACTCTAATTCAGAGGAGACCTCATCTAACTTCAATGATTTTTATTGTGCTAGCCAAAGGCCATGGCAACATCCAAAGAATGAAAAAAAGCAGTCACTACATATGCAGTAGAACCATGATTAAATCCACCAAAAATTTATTGTCACGCAGAATAAAAAATAATTTTCAAATAAAATGTGCAAATTAGATCTCACAGTCCCCTTTGCAATTGACCACTAACCCATTCAATTCTTAATCTTCCTAGCTGCCAAGGCATAGAGAGCCACCTTATAAGTCACAGAGTCATCAGTATCACTCAACTGCCATTTCACCCTCTCCGTCCTGGTTAGATTTGTTTCCTTCATGAAAAGGGGTTTTATGAATCAGTTTCTTGGGTCTGTATATACAGTGGTACCTTGGGTTAAGTACTTAATTTGTTCCGGACATCCGTTCTTAACCTGAAACTGTTCTTAACCTGAAGCACCACTTTAGCTAATGGAGCCTCCCGCTGCCACCGCGCCGCCAGAGCATGATTTCTGTTCTTATCCTGAAGCAAAGTTCTTAACCTGAGGTACTATTTCTTGGTTAGCGGAGTCTGTAACCTGAAGCATATGTAACCCGAGGTGCCACTGTACTGGACATTGTAGTAAGTAATGGCAAATGTCCTCTGCACATGGTTGCCCACACAGACAGACTCTCTTTTCATAAGGTATTCCGTTGCATCACCCACCTAGAACCACTGAGGGCATAGATTGAAAGCGTAGTTCTGTGAAGGTGACTCTTAATGAGGCAGAGGGAAGATTTATCAAATATCTGGCTTGAAAGTGCATCGTTTTAATAAGTGGAAACCATGGTGAACACTTAGAAGAAGAAGTAATAATAATAATAAAATCTATTTCTGCTTCAGTCATATAAAGGTAGTCCATTAAATGCCTCTTCCCCATGTTCAGGGACACCTGGAGCTCTTGTAGGTGATATTGGGTCAAGTAGCGTTGGATACCAACCTTCCAGTGTTGGGTCTGATCCAGTTCTTTGCGGCACGAGGTGGGAAATCTCTCATCTGAAAAGGATCTAGGTCCTTTCACATAATTTAAGCACAGATAGTTGATTCTAGCCTGTATTGTTGTCACAAACGTCAATGAATTTAGAATGGGTCTGTGTGCACTGGTGACTGCTCTGATGACAACGGCTTCTTATTTGTTTGTGCACTTGCAGCAATATGCTATACAGTATACAGGAATGATACGGCTAACAGATTGCGGTTGACTCCTGACAAGACAGAAGTACTGTTTAGGGGGGACAGGGGGCGGGTGGGTGTGGGTGGGTGTGGGGGACTCCCTGGTCCTGAATGGGGTAACTGTGTCCCTGAAGGACCAGGTGCGCAGCCTGGGAGTCATTTTGGACTCACAACTATCCATGGAGGCACAGGTTAATTCTGTGTCCAGGACAGCTGTCTACCAGCTCCATCTGGTACGCAGGCAGAGACCCTACCTGCCCGCAGACTGTCTCACCAGAGTGGTGCATGCTCTAGTTATCTCCTGCTTGGACTACTGCAATGTGTTCTACGTGGGGCTACCTTTGAAGGTGACCCGGAAACTGCAATTAATCCAGAATGCAGCAGCTAGTCTGGTGACTGGGAGTGGATGCCAGGACCATATAACACTGGTCCTCAGAGATTTGCATTGGCTCCCAGTACATTTCCGAGCACAATTCAAAGCATTGGTGCTGACCTTTAAAGCCCTAAACGGCCTTAGTCCTGTATACCTGAAGGAGCGTCTCCACCCCTATCATTCAGCCCGGACACTGAGATCTAGCGCCAAGGGACTTCTGGCAGTTCTCTCATTGCGAGGTGAGGTTACAGGGAACCAGACAGAGGGCCTTCTCAGTAGTGGCGCCCACCTGTGGAACGCCCTCCCAGATGTCAAGGAAATAAGCAACTATCCTATTTTTAAAAGACATCTGAAGGCAGCCCTGTTTAGGCAAGTTTTTAATATTTAATGCTGTATTGTTTTTAATACTCGATTGGGAGCCGCCCAGAGTGGCTGGGGAAACTCAGCCAGATGTGTGGGGTATAAATAATAATTTGATATTATTATATTATTATTACGATTTATGGAAGTAAGGAAGGTAGAAAAAGTCAGGGGCTGACAAGTGGTGGGGATGGAACAGGGTTAAGTCAGGAAATCATGGTGGAGTCATTAACAAGGTGGCAGGTGTCTCAGGAAAGCTGTTTACTTGCTTAGTTTCATTTATGAATTGCTTCCAGTAAAACATCCCCAAGCAATTTAACCATAATAACAATCACAGTAAAAACAATTTCAGGTCTCGCACAGACACAGACTGGCGTTAAAATCTTCATTCTAAAGTCTTGTTGGAAATAGAAGGCCCTAAATAGGCACCGAATAGATAATTGAGATGGTGACTGTTACACGTGTGAACTTTTCAAGTGTTTAAAGTGATGGGGGATATGAACATTCTTTCTGTGATCTCTAATGGATGCTTCGCACATAAAAGACATAGCTGTTGTAGTCAGATGCACATATGAACTTGACCTTAGCTGGTTGTAGCTAAAGACAGCTATAAATTCAGCTTTTAAATTCAGCGTTTGCTAAGCAAGGGTCCATGCTTATTGAATGCTGGAAACATAGTGGGCTTGAAAGGGGTGGGGAGGCATTACTAATTGATAACAATAAAGGACATGAATATATTTTTAACTGTGTGCTGATGGGAAACAGGTCTATAATTTTATAAAAAATATGCTAAGCTGTAGTCCCAAAGCCTCACTTACAAACAAGAATACATCTTAAAAATCAGCTGAAAGTATACCATTTGTTGGTGATAGCAGGCAAACATTGGAGCTTCATAGAGTACTACCAACCCAAGACTTTAAAAAACAGTTTACATCTTCAGTCCAGACTGTCAACACAGCATAGCCTTGACTTGCCTGGGAATGCCAAACACCGTTGTGTTGTCCAGGAAGCTCTTATATCTAAGCAGTTTGTGTCCTCATTTTAAAAAGTCCCCAATTCCCACAACAAATCTGAGTGTTTCGTTCTTGGAAACACTAGTTGCTTCATCAGATCTCCCTGTTTTCATTTTATTTTCATGAGGTCTTCCTTGGCCACTGGGCGCAGCTTGAACCAATCAACAGATAAACTGTGGGTGCCATGTGCATATACTATGCATCTTAATAAGGGTCACCACTCTTAAAAGAAACAAACAATTCTTCTCTGATCAGCTGCCCTTGTGTTATATTGAGAAAGGAAAACAGTGCCTGGCCTTCAGGGCTTTCAGTCTGAGTTGTACAATTCCCCACAGGAGCCCAGTGGTTATTTTCCAAGAGCTGCTCATTGACCAACCCCTTGTATCTGAAACGTCAGTAAAAGATTTGTAAGTGGTTGTGACTATTTCAAGGAGGACTGTTTGGAAAATGACTGCATTATTATGTCTCTTGCTGTCCTCCTACACAATTCCAGTCCAGCAGTTAATGAGACAGGAAGTGGGGTTGTGTGCTTTTTTGGTGGTTTATCTTTAGATGACAAATTATTTCACTCTGTAGCAATTTTGTACGAGCCCATATATAGATATGCTTAGTGTTATTACTGTATTACTTCCTGTGGGCAATAAAAGCTAACATGCTCCAGCTTTGTTGAATTTGCTTCCTGTGGGCTGAGTTCAACGTCACTCTGTGAAGAAAGGTCTGTCTGCACAAGCATTGCCAGCTTGCTGGAAGGAATTGCCTGTCTTCCCTTTCCCCTTCCCCCTACAAGCTGTGCTGGGAGTTCTGATCCCCTCCCCTCGAGAGAATTCTGGGAGAAAGACCCATTGAATGAGCACAAGCCCCTGAGGCTTAGTTTGGTGAATCCCACCCTATATCATGAGTTCCATAGAACAGATGGTATTCAATGCTAGTCCTACTCAAAGTAGGCCCATTGAAGTTAATGAATATGGCTAAGAGGTTCCGTAATTTCAATGGGTCTACTTTGAGTAGGACTTAGTTGACTACAGCCTCATAATTAAGGGCTGAACTCAACTGACTGTTACTCAAAGTAGATCCATTAAGATTGCTGGCCATGTCCAACTTTAGACCCATTATTTTCAGTGGGATTACTCTGAGTAAAAGCTAGTGGACGATAACTCTGTTAAATAGTCTCAGAGACTTCCTTTAGCAGAGAAAATGATAGCCTGGAGGGTGTACCATTTATTGTTAGCCTGGAGTGTTTACATTCTGATCCTTAAAAAGCATACTGTGTGCAAAGTGCATTCTGCTGTTATAACTAAGGTGGAATCTACACACATATTAAAAGAACACACTGAAAATGCTTTTAAAAAAAATCTTGAAATATATGTTGAATTTGGCATAGCTGATTGTCACCATCTAGTGTCACATTTGTATATTGGTGTTGTGGGTTAAACCACAGAGCCTAGAACTTGCTGATCAGAAGGTCGGCGGTTCGAATTCCCGCGATGGGGTGAGCTCCCGTTGCTCGGTCCCTGCTCCTGCCAACCTAGCAGTTCAAAAGCACGTCAAAGTGCTAGTAGATAAATAGGTACCACTCCGGTGGGAAGGTAAACGGTGTTTCCGTGCCCTGCTCTGGTTCGCCAGAAGTGGCTTAGTCATGCTGGCCACATGACCCGGAAGCTGTATGCCGGCTTCCTTGGCCAATAAAGCGAGATGAGCGCCGCAACCCCAGAGTCGGTCACTACTGGACCTAATGGTCAGGGGTCCCTTTACCTTTAACTGAGTCCTAATTCTGCATACTGTTGAAGACACCTCTTATCTTGCTTTGTTGCTTGCTGTTTCTCATTTATGTAATACCTTTTACATATTACTAGTTCAGGGCACCACATTTTAAGAAGGACATTGACAAACTGGAGCTTGCCCAGAGGAGGCAACTAGGATGCTGAGTGGTCCATTCTAGTCCCCATAGGGTCTGAGGAACAGTTGAAACTGCTGTATTGACAGGACAATACAAACCCAAGACCTATCGGGATAAGGAAGTTAGGATCTGGTCTTAAGCCAGCCAATCCCCTGTGCAGCTGAGCTATGCCAGCATAAGCCCAACATCTTGGCTCAGCTGGAGCTATACAGATGCAAAACCCTTGTCCCTGGAGAGCAGGGACTCAGCCAACTGAGCTGTGATTGGATGACTTTATGCTGGTGTAAAATGGTTGGTGGAGGCAGGACCATGCAAGGGGGATGGAGTTAAGTCTATTCAGCTTGATCACATGAGAAGAGGAAATTACTGTAATGTCTTCATATGTCTGGAGGGCACACAGAAGGCGGAACAGACTTCTTCTATGTTTCTTCGGAGGTCAGGACTAGAACCAGTGGGAGGAAATGGAAAGGAAGCCACTTTCAGATAAACATTAGGACAGACTTCCTAACAGGAAGAGCAGCTTGACTGCCTTGGGAGGCAAGCTCATCTTTGTTGGAGATACTTAAGCAGTGGCTGGACAATTGTATTTCAAGGATGCTATACGCCCATCCTTCACTTACAGAATCAGCATTGAGCAGGGGTCAGCTCTAACATTTTAAGATCCTATGTAGGCAAAACCATCCCTTGAGGCAGAGTGCTGTCACTTCTGTTTTTCACATGAGGAATTGAAGCCAGTGTCTTTGACCATGCTCATCCACTTACAGAGGTTGTTTTCAGGAATACAGAGGCTATTTATTCAGAAATATATCAAACTGAGACAAACCTAGACAGCATCTTAAAAAGCAGAGACATCATCTTACCAACTAAGGTCCGTATAGTTAAAGCTATGGTTTTCCCAGTAGTGATGTATGGAAGTGAGAGCTGGACCATAAAGAAGGCTGATCGCCGAAGAATTGATGCTTTTGAATTATGGTGCTGGAGGAGACTCTTGAGAGTCCCATGGACTGCAAGAAGATCAAACCTATCCATTCTTAAGGAAATCAGCCCTGAGTGCTCACTGGAAGGACAGATCCTGAAGCTGAGACTCCAATACTTTGGCCACCTCATGAGAAGAGAAGACTCCCTGGAAAAGACCCTTATATTGGGAAAGATTGAGGGCACAAGGAGAAGGGGACGACAGAGGACGAGATGGTTGGACAGTGTTCTCGAAGCTACCAGCATGAGTTTGACTAAACTGCGGGAGGCAGTGGAAGACAGAAGTGCCCTGTGTGCTCTGGTCCACGGGGTCATGAAGAGTCGGACACGACTAAATGACCAAACAACAACAACAAATATCAAACTGAAATAATGAGAATGACTTATGTTTATAGCCTAGGTAAGCCAGAATGATTCATATGGATGAAACTAATCATACTGTATTTTCATTCCTTCGACACTGGTGATCTCTGCTTGTTCCAGTACACTGGCATGAGTCCCCTGAAGAACTACCACTGGACAGGCTATCCTAATCCAGTGCATCACAGCTCCCTGTGTCCCTGCTGCACTCATATACCGTATTTTTTGCCCTATAGGATGCACTTTTCCCCCTCCAAAAATGAAGGGGAAATGTGTGTGTGTCCTATGGGCCGAATGCAGGCTTTCGCTGAAGCCTGGAGAGTGAGGGGGGTCGGTGTGCACCGACTCCTCTCGCTCTCCAGGCTTCAGGAAGCTATCCGCCAGCCGTGGGAGACCCAGCTCTCCCACGGCTAGCGGAGACCTTGCCGGCACCCATAAGCTTGGGGCACACTGAGCTCCGCACGCCCCAAGCTTCGGGATTAGCGCAGCACTCAGCTAGCTGTGGGAGAGACCTTGCCGGCACCCAGAAGCTTGGGGCGCAGTGAGCTCCGCACGCCCCAAGCTTCGGGATTGGCGCAGCACTCCGCTCGATGTGGGAGAGCCGCGTGGATCTCCCACGGCTAGCGGAGACCTTGCCGGCACCCAGAAGCTTGGGGCGCGCTGAGCTCCGCACGCCCCAAGCTTCGGGATTAGTGCAGCGCTCCGCTAGCCGTGGGAGAGCCGAGTGCTCTCCCACGGTTAGCGGAGACCTTGCCGGCACCCGGAAGCTTGGGGCGCACTGAGCTCCGCATGCCCCAAGCTTCGGGATTAGCGCAGCGCACCTGGGGGGGAAATAATTTTTTTCCCCTTTATTTCCCCCCCAAAAAACTAGGTGCGTCCTATGGGCCGGTGCGTCCTATGGGGCGAAAAATTCGGTACTTTCCATAAGCTTCATTTTATGGTACCTATGGGACCGCCTCTCCTGGTATGCCCCGTGGAGGACCTTAAGGTCCATAAATAGCAACACCCTAGGGGTCCCGGGCCCTAAGGATGTCAGATTAGCCTCAACCAGAGCCAGGGCCTTTTCAACACTGTCTTTTCAACAGGGCCTGTAAGACAGAGTTGTTCTGCCTGGCCTTTGGCTTGGAATCAACTTGATCCCCTTCCCCTCTATCCTTTTTCCTTTCTCCTTCTGTGATGGAACTCCTACTTGGGGACTTCCCTGGCTTTTTTCTGGCCCACGTAGGACCAGTCTGGATGAAGACTTGACGTTTTCATCCCCCAAAAAGTTTTTGATTTGAGTTTCTGTTGAAATGAGGCTGCATTTTAATGTTGTATTTTAATCTTGTTTTTTAAGTTGTATTTCAATCAATTGTTTTTATACCTTGTGTTAGCTGCCCTGAGCCTGGTCTTGGCTGGGGAGGGTGGGGTATAAATAAAATTTATTAGTAGTAGTATTATTATTATTACCGTATTTTTCGCACCATAGGGCGCACCGGACCATAGGGCGCACCCAGTTTTTAGGGGGGGGGGAAATCAAGAAAAAAATATTCCCCCCCCCAGCCCTGCCTCCCCCCTGTATTCACTCCATAGGACGCACACACATTTTCCCTTGCTTTTTAGGAGGGAAAAAGTGCGTCCTATGGTGCGAAAAATACGGTATTTAGAACAATAAAAAAATTCTGGCTGCTTTATTCAGCCCCAATACCATTTGTGGGAATACACTAATGTGCCATGCCCTGCTTGGGCATCTGGTTGGATGTCTGATATGAACAGAATGTTGGACTAGATAAGCCTTTGGTCTGATCCAACGAGGCCCTTCCTGTGTTCTTATGCTGGCGCCTTTCCCAGCGCAGTTGTGGAAATGAGATATATACCCGCAGTGCTGTTTTTCTAGGAAAAAGAGGTGCCAGAACTCACCATGACTGAGGCCTTGTACTCTTATAATGGCAATGGCACTCACCTGAGTGGTGCCAGAACTGAGCTCCGGTGAATTCTGGCTCAAAAAAAAAAAAGCCCTGTATACCCACATGCTGAGCAGAACTGGCATGAAGAACCAGGAGTACGTTGGCTTATTTTCTTAATTGTTCTGTTATGGTCATATAAATTACTCTTCCTCTCAATAGGCATCTTTGAAAACCACTGTGAAGCATACAACGTTGGGCTCCAAGGAGCAAGAGTATTTTCTGGCCCCTCGAGTGAACAATTCGGATATACAGTCCAACAGCTTTTAAATCAAGAAGGCAAATGGTAAGCATTTCCTGCTCTTCATTCATAGTGCAGGGAGAAAAGCAAAGGGCAACTATATTAGGAACACAGGAAGGTGCCTTATACCGAATCAGACCCAGCAGCCCATCTAGTTCACTATTGTCTACACTGACAATTTCTGATGGGTGTCTGGGGATCAAACTTGGGAACTTCTGCAAATCGGTTGGTTATGTAGGGGAGGATGTAATCTTTCAGGATACCTGAAAGATACCTGCCCCAGTGAGCAGTTGAGCTCAGGCCCAGGGGTTAAGTATGGCTTTTCTCTCTGACCCATAGGGCTCTCCCCAGGCCACACATCTTGCTAGCTCATCTTGCCTTCCTGGAATGTGTCCTTGATGCCTCTTGCTTGCCTGAATAGAGGGAAGTGTGTGGGCATAGGCGTAGAAATTCTACTTCTGCATGGTGGAAATAAGACATGCTGGACAAAGGCATGTGATGCTCCATCTGCTTTTGCCTCCAGCCATGCCAGGACTGGCTTGCAGGCCCTGGAGCATTGTCCATGAGGGACAGTCCCTTGGGCTGTAAAATAATGTTTCCCACCCTTGTGCTAAGGCAAACTACCATTGGATGCAACCCCTAGTAATGCTAATCTGACCTTTTCGTGCTAATATTTCACCACATAAGAACAACATATTGAAAATGGGGGTTTTCAGAACTAGAACTGTTGAATTTAAAAGTCTAAGCTAAACTTTTTAGGTGTTGGTTTTTTGCTTGTTCAGTGAGTGTTTCCTGATTGGGCCACCCTGGCAATAGAAATTAACTGGTGCTTCTAAATTGCATCACCTTGGCTTGTTGATTAATTTCTTTGTCAACTTTCTTCTTTTAAACAATGCAAGGAAAAGAGAAAGGAGTGCCAACAACTGCAGATTGCAAAGGATTCAAATTCAACTTTGTGTTTGCAAAGGATTTAAAGTTGACTTTGTGCTGCACCCTTTTCTGATTCGGAGCTACGTCACAATTTGGCTCCTACAAATAACTCATTGTACTTTCATCTTCTCCCTCCCACGGTCTGCTGTATGTTTGCAGTTGCGTCTGTTTAGTTGTTGACTTCCTAAAATCCAGACCCATTAAAAGAATATTTAGTGGAATGATGCTTAGAAAGGTGACTAATAGTACTCCACAGTAGTCTTGTACATTTAGTCATAGCATTGTGTAAGGTAGGACAGGAAGTTCATAGAACAGCAGAATCAGAGTATAAAGTAAACAGCAAGCAAGCCAAATTATATGAGAATGGGGAACCAGTGACCCTCCAGGTATTGCTGAAATGCATCTCCCTACGTCTCAGACCCTTGGCTATTCTGTCTGTGAGTGATGGGCATTGAAAAGCCAACAACATCTGAAGGCCATAGGTTCCCCACCCTGAAATAAACAAATAAGTAAATTTAGCTTCTGAGATTAACTGTACTTAATTATCTGTATAGATATGGAAACTAAGATAGATGTTTCCATATTCTTTTGAGATCTTCTCTGTCTCTCTCTCTCTGTCTCTCTCTCTCTCTCTGTCATGTTGTTTTTAAAAATCAAGTTGACTTTCAAGGTATTTTATGTTCTTCTGTTCTGGATTTTAAAAAAGCTTCACAAACTGGAAATCATTTTAATCAACAGGGTCATGATTTGGTGTACTGCTATATAAAAATACCCTTTCAAAGCTCACTCTTCTGAGTGACCATGTGGTGTAGGGAGAGAACTTTTTTGGGTGGGTGGGGGGAGTTTTCTGGGTGTTAACTTGGAAATAGTCACAGTGACAGATTTTCCAAGTTTCCACGACTGGAATAGTAAGTAACCTTTACTTACTACTGACTTCATTGTTTGCATAGCAAAGATTTAACCCTTCTTTGCAGAGAGGGAGGTGTGCCTCAAGTAATAATTATATTGTCACTAATGCCTACTCACTAGGGTCCCAAACCCTTGGTGAATTAGGGACTTTCCCTGCATGTGAAGACAGGCTCTAGTGCATTGAGTGGATGAGATCAATAGTGGGTCCAATGGTCAAGAAGGCAGTTTCGGCATGTGCTATAGAGGGAAGTAAGGGGCAGATGGGGCTCATCAACCTGGAAAGGTAGCACATCTAGGAGAAGGAAAACTCTGATCCTAAACCTCCACAGCCTTGTGGGATATCTTCATGAGAAGAAAAGGCTAAGGAGTAAGCTACAGAAATTGGGAGTAGAGTCCCTAAGACAGTTGAATGGTGCCTTGTACACCTCCTTCCTGCAACTCTTGCAGCCCAACTGGTGCCAAATGTATTGCTCTACGTTCCTTTGGACCACATCAGCGAGGCTGAGAGGCGGGTCTTGCCATCTAGGCAGCCCAGGACCTCCATAAACACTGCCCAGGCTTCTGCCCCAGAGAGATCACTCTGGTGCTGTTAACACAGCGGTTTGACTTCACCCATGGAGGCGCACTCCATTGTCTCTTGAGGTGGATGGATGCCAACAATAATGCCTACTCCCTAGTTGAGGCAAGTCACTCACACAAGTGAAAATGAGGTAGTAAAATTGGCTAGATGATCCCATGTAAAAAATGAATTGGCCAGAAGGAACGCAAAATTATAAATACATTTCTGCCATATGATGAATACTCAGTATGTTTGCATGACAGATGTTATGGACTACATGTCCCATGATTCCTGACCATTGGCTGTGCTGTTGGGAATTGTGGTCCACAGCATCTGGCATGCAGCATGCTGACTACCCTTGTTTTACAGAGACCAAAGAAATAATCATAAAGATAATTATTGTAGTAACCTTGAGCTCATACTTTCAATTACTGTTTTCAGAGTAGAGTCTTTCAACTGAAATGACCATACAGTTTGTAAAGATATGTCTGTTTTCCAGGTTGCTTGTTGGTTCACCCTGGAGTGGATATCCAGGAAACAGAATGGGCGATGTGTATAAGTGTGATGTTAATCAACCGGGAACCCAATGTTCAAAGATGAACTTGCAGAGTAAGTTCTAAATTCAGCAAATAAATTAAAGAATAAATTGTATAGCTTGCCTTTCTTTCCATGGACCTCAGCATACGTAAGCATCATCTTGGTTATTGTACTTCTTATTATTATTTCTTATCCACCCAAAGTTGGTTATAGCTTATAAAAACACAATGCACCACCCATAATTGCTAAACATGGACACCACTACTGTCATCTCTACATATATGTAGGCTCAGTTCTATTTAGAGACTGAAAACCTACATTTTGTTTTGTGAAAGAGCTGTACATAGCATGTATGGTCAAATATTTTGGCTGCCGAGTGCAGGAATAAACTTTGAGCACATCATCGCAACTGCTGGGGGGGGGGGGGCCAACTCGAATTTCTGCACATGGCAGAAATCTATGACAATTTGCCACAAGTTTGGAAGAAATGTACATGGCCTGTGTGATAGAATTAAGAGTCCCTAGATAAGAAGTGAGGAACATTTATTTGAGCTTGTGTTGTGCTCAGTTGCTCAATGTGTTTAACGCAAACCAGGGCATGGTTTGAGGGCACATGATGCAGCTAATCAGGATTGAGTCTGGTTGGTGTCTGGTTGGGAGATTCCCTGGGAACCTCATATTTGCTATCTTGAGTCCTGTGATGGAAGAATTGCCGGATCTAATGACTGTACTAAATAAATAAAATATGTAACATTCTGTTACTAAAAATAAAACTTTTTACATGATTTATCCCGGCCTCAAATGGTAGTCAGAACAGTAAGGTCCTAAGCTGCTGCCTGTGCTGAGTTTCTGGGGGAAAGCAACTTCATGAATGGAGGATACTTGCACAAACAATTTTTGAGAGCCAGTGTGGTGCAGTGTTAAGAGTGGTAGACTCGTAATCTGGTGAACCGGGTTTGATTCCCTGCTCCTCCATATGCAGTTGCTGGGTGACCTTGGGGTAGTTACACTTCTCTGAAGTCTCTCAGCCCCACTCACCTCAGAGTGTTTGTTGTGGAGGAGGAAGGGAAAAAAGATTGTTAGCCGCTTTGAGACTCCTTTGGGTAGTGATAAAGCAGGATATCAAATCTTCTTCTTCTTTTTCTAATAGTTCACAGATGATGCTTCTTAAGAGAGCACACGTATTGTTTTAGGGGATTATATGGGACATAGGTAAGAGATATACAGGGTTCTGGCTGCTTACATTGAAAATAGTAGCTTGAATTTCTCTTGACTGTGTGTATTGTTGTATTGTGTCTTTTTAGCTTTTGCAAGTGTCCCAAATGCTACTGAGATAAAGAAGTATATGAATCTAGGATTAACCCTAGTAAGAAACTCAATAAGCGGAGGATTTTTGGTAAGTGCTGCAGATGCAATATAAAATATAGCCTGTTTGGCAGTCAGTGGTGAAACTATAACCTTTTTTAGCTTTTCTTGGGTCCCTTCTTCAGTGCAGTTCATCCAAATAAGTTAAGATATACATTGCAGTAATAAATGGGTTCGCTTATACGTACATAAAACGTCAATCCCGGTCCGACTACTCTGGCTGTTAATTAGTTTCTGGGCTCAGTTCAAAGTGCTGGTTTTTACCTATAAAGCCTTAAATGGCTCAGGACTGCCTCTCCGCTTGTAAACTGACCCAGAGCCTGCAATCATCATCTGAAGCCCTTCTTTGTGTGCCTCCTCCATGAGAGGCCCAGAGGGTGGCAACATGAGAACGGGCCTTTTCTTCGGTGGCTCCCCACTTTTGCAATGCTCTCCCCAGGGGGGCTCGCCTGGCGCCCTCGCTACATACCTTCAGGCACCAGGCAAAAACATTCCTCTTCTCCCAGGCCTTTGCCTAATTATGGCCTTTTAAACTGTAGGGGAGGGTATTGTTTTTGTATGCTACTATGTTGTGCATTTCTGTGTTTTTATATTGTTTCCTTTGGAGGAAGGACAGTATAGAAATTCAATAAATAAATTAAATAAATAATAAATAACATTTCCCTCTAATTTAATGTTTTTTATTGTCTTCTAGTCAGTTCCAGACAAAGACTGGAATTTGATTGTTGTTGTTTTCCTGCTGCTGTAGGTGTTGTTTCATTAGCTCATTGTTTTCATATTGTAGCATTGCAAGCGGCTGGTATTTTATTTTACATACTTTTGTACGTTTCATTGCGTTCATGTAAGTTGCCTTGAGATCCTTGGAGTGTAAAGCAATAAATAAAGAAATAAATAATAATCATTGACCTAGTCTAAAATTCCATATATCTTGTAGTGGAGGAAGTGATTAATAATAATTGCTCCTCTTAGTGCTTTGCTGCTTTTCAGAAGGATCATCAAATTGCAAGGTACTTATCTAACATTTCCTACCCACAGTTGAGAAAAGCTTTCATGGAATTAAGATTTCAACAGATGCTGTCTGCTTATTTGGATGGCAGATATAATCATGAAGAATGCAGCTGTTTAGGCTGGTAACTGGGACAACCTGATGGGACCATTTGCCACCAGTCCTGAAAACGCATTGGCTACCAATGAGCTACTGGACTTAATTCAATTCAATTTCTTCTTGGAATTTCAGTTTATTGTTTCTGGTGGTTTTCTGACTGGGAGCAAGCCTTGCAAAGCCAATTGCCCTTAGATAAGAGAAAATAATTGCAGCTAAATACTTGGAGTTATTGTTGGCAGGGAAGAATTTGAGTGAAACTTCTTTTTCCATCATCTAGAGTCTAGACTTTAAAATGGGATTCGTTCTTTGTTGTGCATATTGCACTATATAATGCTGACGCACAAAATTTACAAACATTCAAAGTTGTGATCACTTTCAGAAGCATTCCCTGTGCTTATTGATAATGAAGTCTGAAATTATATTCCGAGAAACCTTTTAGTGCATGTTATTTGCATAGTCTTGAGAAGCATATTCAGTATGTTGAGCTTGCATGCTGCAGATGCAACAAAAACAAGTCCCTTATGACTTGTTTGCATTATGCACAATGTTTCTTATGCTATAGAGACCAGTCTAAAGCTGCTCTAACATTTGTGGGAATTGTTTTTTTTTAAAAGCAGATGTACCAAAGAGTTATGCATATTGCAATACAAATACTTAAAATTTTGAACATGAATACACAATGGGAAAGGGCTAATGTGCTGATGATATAGGAAATCAAGACAAGGCTGTAATTTTATCTGTGGCGTGGATGAAAAATAGCCATTTAAATAAAAGTTTTGCAGGAGGCATACTATGAAGGCTCTGTGTTCCAAAATTCCTATCACTGCTATGTGCCAACTCCTCCATGTGCCTATTCAGCAGAAATCATCCGGAAGGCAAGGCACTCCAACACATCATTGCTGTGCACATATCTGAACCAACAGACCTTTACATTTCAATCCAATACCCATTTATTCAGAAGGAAGGCCCATTAAATCCAATGGGACTTCCTGCCACGTAAGCAAGTATAGGATTTCAGCTATAAACGTAATTACAGTATACTGCCTACCCTTTCCATACTGTTGTTGCCTCTGCTTTTTAATTATCATTATTTTAAAAAACAAGTTATTTGATCTATAACATTGCAACTGAAATACTTTAATAGAACTGCAGTCCAGAATCTGAAGCAGCTTTCATCGCCATGGCTCATGGAAGGGTTGCCTCTATTTCATCTCGCAGCCAATGCAATAAATAACTACAACATTATTGTGCTATTTCTTGTGCTCCAGATATTTTAAAAGAGGCCTGGGGAACCTGCGTCCCTCCAGGTGTTGCTAGATTACAGCTCCCATCATCCCTGACCATTGGTCATGCTGGCTGGGGTGGACGGGAGTTGGGGTCCAGTAAGTTCTGGAAGGACGCAGCTTCCCCATCCCTCTGTTAAAACAACAAAAGAGCTTAAGGACACGGTCCTAAATATGCTTAACAAGGGAGTGACCCCCACGGAACTCAGTGGAACTTACTTCGAGGAACAATACCATAGGATTACACTGTTGCAATGCAGTCCTATACAGTGGTACCTTGGGTTACAAACACCTCAGGTTACAAACTCCGCTAACCTGGAAGTAGTATCTCGGGTTACAAACTTTGCCCCAGGATGAGAATGGAAATCGCGCGGCGGCAGCGGGAGGCCCCATTAGTGAAGCGTGCCTCGGGTTAAGAACGGTTTCGGGTTAAGAACGGACCTCCGGAACAAATTGAGTTTGTAACCCGAGGTACCACTGTAAATCAACATACCCTCAGATTATTGAGGATTCTTCTCACGTTCTGCCTCCACCATCTGTTCCCTTCCATTATGGTCCTAGTCAGTGGCGTAGCGTGGGGGGTGCAGGGGGGGCCGGCCGCACCGGGCGCAACATCTGGGGGGGGCGCTCGCACTCAAGTGCTAAAATCCATGGGTTAGGGGGCGCAAATTACTTGCCTTGCCCCGGGTGCTGACAACCCACGCTACGCCACTGGTCCTAGTGCTCTTCAATGCTCAGCCCACCATGATGCACCAAAGCCCACTTCCACAGGCATTCACCTTTGCTTTATAAGTCCAATTACAAGATAGAGTTGGACAGGAAGGCAGTGGAACCTTTCCATGGGATCTCTCTACCGCTAACTCTATACTGTACACTCAGAAGTGAGTTCCTTGGACTACAGTGGGGTTCACTCCTTTGCAAGTGTGCTTAGGATTGTAACCTAAGTGATCTGTGAATAAGAAAAAAAGATATATTAACTTCCTTTCTAAGGAAAGAAGCAGGACATTTTCCTGAAAGCATTGCTGCACAGAAAGGAGTAAATGTAACCCATTCTCCAGCAGAGCAACCTTCCCCGACATGTTGCCCGTCATCTGTTTTAAACTACAACTTCTATCAGCCCTAGCCAGCATGATGGAAGCTGTGGTCCAAAAGATATTGAGGGCACCAAGTCTGGGAAGGCTGCAGGATTGCTATAGAAGAATGTCAGACTTGCAGAATACTTTCGCCTAATAATTAATTACACCCCTGATTGTAGATTTGATTCGGGGGGGGCGGAATGTGGCTACGCCTGCACCTGTTCCTGGGCTTTTACAAAGCATGGCATGATCTGAAAGGTTAGGGCTGAACTTCTTTATTGCTGGTCCTCATAAAAGAATGCAGTGAATTGGAAGTACAGTGGTGCCCCGCAAGACGAATGCCTCGCAAGACGGAAAACCCGCTAGACGAAAGGGTTTTCCGTTTTTGAGGTGCTTCGCAAAACGAATTTCCTATGTGCTTGCTTCGCAAGACGAAAATGTCTTGCGAGTTCCTGCGGGGTTTTTTTCCTTTCCCCCCCCTTTTTCCCAAGCCGCTAAACCGCTTATCAGCTGATGGCTAAGCCGCTTATCAGCTGATCTTTAAACCGCTTAACAGCTGATGCTAAGCTGCTTATCAGCTGATCTTTAAGCCGCTTAACAGCTGGTGCTAAGCCGCTTATCAGCTGATCTTTAAGCCGCTTAACAGCTGGTGCTAAGCCGCTTATCAGCTGATCGTTAAGCCGCTTATCAGCTGATCTTTAAGCCGGCTAAGCCGCTAATACTGTAGCGCTAAGCCTGTAACCTCTAATGGGCTTGCTTCGCAAGACGAAAAAACCCGCAAGACGAAGAGACTCGCGGAACGGATTCTTTTCGTCTTGCGAGGCACCACTGTAATGGAGAACTTACTAGTATAAGCTCACTAGAATGATGCCATCTTCTGGCCAGTTCCAGTTAATGTGAAAGAAATGCCGGGGGGGGGGGGACTATCTATGGCTGAGACAAACAATTTCAGGTGACCTTTACTGATCTGAAATGGATTTGGGGTTTGTGGGCGTGAAAGATTTAATGGAAGGGCCCTTGCTGGTTTTTTTCTGCTGCCTGCTTGGGGTTCTGGTGGTGGCAACAATCCTAGTCTCCACCGCTGATGGGCATTTCCCCCCTTTGCCTACAAGATGCCAGAATTAGGGCAGGAACTGTTGGCCTCACTCTGATTTGGCTTCATGCCAGTACTATCTGGACCCAATTGGAATGAGGGCAATGCTTTCTGGCCTCACTCTGTGACTTGTGAGTATGATACAAAATCGTGCCCACCAGCTGAAGGAATGTCAGGGCTGCTGGTTCTGGTAAGCAGAGCAAACATAATGCCCACTTGCAGAGTCTACTAGAAATCATTAAAATGGGGCATCACCTTTCACCGGTCTTGAACAGGGTGCTGAAGTTGTGAGGCAACAGTACAGCTTAACCTAATATCTGCTTTGAGATGCATAGCTTTTTACTGCTCTGCAAGTGCATTAGAATTGGTATGTAGTACAGAGATTGTAGCTATTTTAGATTCCTAACATGTGTGAGCAAGACCCAAGGGCTGTGTTATTTGCCACTAATATACTGTATTTTAGGTTTGAAAGGATAAGGCTTCTGATTATCAGGGATAAAAAAAATTCTGAAATTACTCTCCCAGGAACTGCTGTGCTAAGAATGAACCAAATGGTTTTCAACACAGGCTTGGATTGATTTCCAAAGTATTTTAGCTCTAGCATGATTTGTGAACACAGCCAGTATGCTAACTGGCAAGGATCTCCTTTATCAATGTCTTGAAGTATGCAATGTTTATACAGTGGTGCCCCGCAAGACGAATGCCTCGCAAGACGGAAAACTCGCTAGACGAAAGAGTTTTCCGTTTTGGAGGTGCCTCGCAAAACGAATCTGCTATGGGCTTGCTTCGCAAGACGAAAATGTCTTGCGAGTTCCTGGGGGTTTTTTTTCCTTTCCCCCCTCTTTTTCTAAGTCGCTAAGCCGCTTATCTGCTTATCCGATAAGCTGATAAGCTGCTAAAAGCCGCTAAAAGCCGCTAAAAGCCGCTAAAAGCCGCTAAAAGCCGCTAATAGCACTAATCCGCTAATCCGTCAATGGGCTTGCTTCGCAAGACGAAAAAACCGCTAGACGAAGAGACTCCCAGAACGGATTCTTTTCGTCTTGCGAGGCACCACTGTAGCGTTGAACTGAGAAATGTGTAGTGTCATGCCATAGAGGCAAGGACTAGTGCACCAAGCTACGCATGGTTCAGAGCCATTTATCATGCAAATTGGTCCACTAGATGATCATTGACAAGGTGCAGAAAATACTAGCTTAAATGCCTCTGTCAGCCATACGATCCTGCCTATATGCTAATATCTGTTTCAGGGGATCCTTCTCAAAAGCCCACCATTACATTAGGCTAAGCTGTTGGTGTGACCTTCTTGGTGGCGGCCCCAGAGCTATGGAATCCCTTCCCATTGACTTGTGCACATCTGTACAGGCATTTAGGCTTTCCTCTTCAGTGTTGCCTTTAACTGAGATTCTTATTAACAGGGTTTTACACAGCAGCTACTTAAAAGTATACCGTATGCTTGGTAATTGAGACTCCTGCATACTGCCCTGCTCTTGCATGCTGAAGCCTGAAAAAAGTGATAAAACATATTTTAAATAAACAAACAGCAGGCATCCAATGCTTAACTGAACCTGGAACCACTAACTGATTCAAACCTACACTCTGGCTTAGGGCTCAGATTTTGCCCTCACAGGAACTGCAAAACCAGGTGCAGATTCCTCAGTAAATTACACTTTGTTTACATTTGAATCATTTGTTGCTTCGAATTGCAGAATGCACAAAAGCTATGCATTTCTTACAAAAGAGACACAAAACTTTTGATTCCTGAGTATGCCAAATATTAGAAACTATCCAATATACATGTCAAGAGTACATGTGGAGATGCAGGTGGTGCTGTGGTCTAAACCAGTGTTCCCCAACCTTGGGCCTCCAGCTGTTTTTGGACTACAACTCCCATCATCCCTCGCTAGCAAGACCAGTGGTCAAGGATGATGGGAATTGTAGTCCAAAAACAGCTGGAGGCCCAAGGTTGGGGAACACTGGTCTAAACTACTGAGCTTCTTGGGCTTCCTGATCAGAAGGTTGGCGGTTCAATCCCCATGACAGGGTGAGCTCCCGTTTCTCTGTCCCAGCTCCTGCCAGCCTAGCAGTTCGAAAGCACACCAGTGCGAGTAGATAAATAGGTACCGCTGCGGCGGGAAGGTAAATGATGTTTCCGTGCACTCTGGTTTCCGTCACGGTGTTCCATTGCACCAGAAGCGGTTTAGTCATGCTGGCCACATGACCCAGAAAGCTGTCTGTGAACAAATGCTGGCTCCCTCGGTCTGAAAGCGAGATGGGCGCCGCAACCCCATATTCGCCTTTGACTGGACTTAACCGCCCAGGGGTCCTTTACCTTTACCTAACATGCGGAGCACTTGTGCATGGGTGGCCCAGCCTTGTATTGAGAGAGAGACTGCACAATGCACCTTCTAGCACAATATTTCTGCCCCACATTGTAAGAGGGAGATTAAATGCTTTGTTGTAATAGGTACTTCTAAAGGCTTATTCTTATTCTTCTTCCTCTTCTTTTTAAAGACTTGTGGCCCTTTGTGGGCACAACAGTGTGGGAGCCAGTACTATGCAACAGGGATCTGCTCTGAGTTCGGCCCAAGTTTCCAGATCATGAGAAGTTTCTCCCCTGCTGTGCAAAGTAAGTACTTAAGTATGATTCAGTAAGCAATTTCATTGCTTTAAATACGAGACAAGAGACTATGCTGCTAAAATAACTGGCTCAGACTTTTTCTATCCCCTTCTTTTGCAGAATGTTCTTCTGCCATAGATGTGGTGGTTGTATGTGATGAGTCAAACAGCATTCATCCCTGGCATGCTGTATCGGATTTCTTGAAAAAGTTTGTTCAAGGTTTAGATATAGGTCCCACAAAAACTCAGGTGCGTAGAATTGGGGCACAGGGGGTAGGGTCAGCAGAACTGAAGCACCATGCCTTATTGGGGGGGGGTGTCTTTCCTGTTACTGCAAAGCCACCATTGGATACAGCCCATTATGTATGAGTTGGCAGTGTAAAGCTTCATTTTTTAATGTTAGGCGTGGGGGACATGTGTCCCGCTCCCGCCCCCCAGATTCTGCTGAATTTAGAACTTCCATCTTCCCTGGCCATTGGCAATGCTGGCTGGAGCTGATGGGAACTGGAGCTTATAGATGTATTGCACTGGTTTATTTAGTTAGTACTATAACACTTTTTCCTCTTAATTTTATCTGAAATTTTAGGTAGGCTTGATTCAGTATGGTGTTGACCCAAGAGTAGTGTTCGACCTGGGTACTTACCAAGATAAAGGAGATGTTGTACGAGCAATGTCAGAAACCGTTCAAAATGGAGGGGTCCAAACTAATACATTCCGCGCAATTGAATATGCCAGGTAAAGCACACCGAATAGCAGCTGACGCTCAGCTAAACAGAGATCCTCTTTTTAATTTAAAACAGAACAACTCTATCACTGACAAAAATATATATCTGTATGTGAGGGTAAATTAAAACAATGTTTGAATACAACTTTGAATGCTAATGTACTTGATATCAGCTAAGGATTTTGTAGTGATGCTGTTTTTCTGCATCTTCACTCTGTTGGTGGTAAAAGTACTACGTGAAAGCATGCGTAAAAAGCAGTATTTGTATATAGTAAATCACACATGCTGTTCATTACAGACGTAACGCTTTCTCAAAAAAAGCTGGTGGGCGGCCAACAGCCTCTAAAGTCATGGTTGTTGTGACAGATGGTGAATCACATGATGGCTCGAATATGCAAGAAGTGATAACTAAATGTAATGAGGACAACATCACTAGGTTTGGCATAGCAGTAAGTAAGGCTTTCATTATTGCGACTGTAACTTTAGCCCTTGCTATCTTTAATGCATGGATTACAAGGGGACTAAAATAATTGTGACAATGAGTCTAGAATGTAGCTCTTCCGTGAGGAATATTCATAAGGGATGGGGGGCGGGGGGGGGCGGAATTGTTTGAGTCACATTTTCATGCAAACCTGCCCAGTTCACACTTCCCAAACCAATAAACAAGATGGACCACAGCTATCCATCAGATTTTGAACTTCTCCAAATTTTGGGATGCAGTTCTCCAACCCAAAACTCTGCAGAAAGATGCATGTATCAGTGAAACTATCGTACAAAACTGCATTATATTAGGAGAACTTGCTTGTAAACGTGTATATATTTGAGAGAGTTGCATCCATATATGTACATATTAGGATAAAGGTGCATGAAAATGCTTTTGAATTTTAAAGCAAAAATTTGCAAATTGGTGCAGAAATGGAGTGAACTGTACTTAAGCTTGGAAAAATGGGAAGCACAGAGAAACGGAAATATATGTTCATCCCCAATATGCATTTGTCAAGTTCATAGCTCTATAGATGCTGCATTCTTCATACAGAAGTCTTCAGTGTGGTCTTCTAGATCCATTTCAGTCAAAAGAGATGCTTTGCGTATTCATCTTCACGCAGTTATCTGCTTCTGTGACCCACCTAATTGCAACCTCACCAGCTGATGGTAACAACATTAAGTCTAACCACATCAGGAAAATGTCACATTTTTAAAAGTTTCCCTGATTGTGGTTTACACAAGGAAATAATTTATAGTGAGGCACACATGAAGCAGTGTCTGAAGTGGGCATCAGTGAGAACTGCTGAAATGCCCTCAAAGTGCTATCCCCCCCCCCCAACCAGTATGACCTTAGCAGAGAAGTACATGGTGCCGAGACAGAAGTAGTAACAGGAGATAGAGGTAGTAAGAAAAGTGTAATTTCCTTTAGCAAGTCACTTCCCCTCCAAATGCATGTACCCCCCCAACATGCTCACCACTGGGTTAGCATGTGGTGACTAGGTAGACAGCCCTTTTCACTTGATCTGCTATGCCCAGTAGAGGTTGTGTGAAGGGACAAAATGGAGACAAAAATGTTCTGTAACAAGTACGTAATACAGATGTATCTGAATGCTTCTTATTAAAATTCACATGATCATTCTTTCCCCTCCCCCTCAAGGTATTAGGATACTTAATTAGACAAGACATGGATACTAGAAATTTAATCAAAGAAATCAAAGGAATTGCCAGTGTTCCCACATCAAAATATTTCTTTAATGTGTCATCTGAGGCGGCACTTTTAGAAGAAGCAGGAACGTTGGGAGAGCGAATTTTCAGCATAGAAGGTACTAAAATAAAGAGTTTCCCTTTCTACTAATCAATCCTATCCAGCGCTAGCTAACCTGTTACTTGCCAGATGTTGCTGCGTTACAAACCCCCTATCATCCTTGGCTTTTGACCATGCAGGCTGGTTCTGACAGGAGTTGGAATCTAACAACATCTTTTGGGGGGGCACAGGTTTCCCACCTGCTGAAATCAGTGTGTCACAAAATTTATTTGTAACTGGTGATAGACATATGAGTAAACATCATTTTCCCCCCCACCAGGTACTGATCAAGGTGATTTATTCCAGATGGAAATGTCACAAGTGGGATTCAGTGCTTCATACTTGCAGCAAAAGGTAATGAACAGCTTGTAAACCAACACTGCATTTAACTTACATTGCCAACAATACTACCTTTTTTTACTTGAAGAAGAAACTGTTAGAATGGTAGAGAATCACAAAACGATAGAAATGTATAAGTAGAAAAGTATATTGAAAACTACTTGTGTTGGGGATGTGTCACTGCCTCTTGTATCATTGAAAATCATTCACTGAAAATACCTGAGTATATTTTAATCCCCGTTTGCCTTTGTTTTGCTTTCTCTTAAGGAAGTTCTGATGCTGGGTGCTGTGGGGGCCTATGAGTGGACTGGAACGGTGGTGCAGGAGACAGCAAAACAAGCTGCTATATTTCCCAAGGAAGCATTTGAAAAAGTTTTGCAAGACAGAAATCATACCTCCTATTTAGGTGAGGGTGGTGGTTCAAAGGGCAGAGTGAAATATTTCTCAAATGTTCTTGGGTACTCTTTATCACATTCCTGATTTAGAACTGTGGAAAGCCAATTAAAGATTTATCATTCAAGAGCATTTTCTTTTCTTTTAGATACTTGAACTTGAGAACTGTTGCCAGAAGTTTCAAGCATTTGCTCTCTTTAAATGAACAGTAATTTGTCTTTTATCTAATTTATTGGTTAATAAAATACAGTTTTCTAAAAACCAATATGGGTGTTAGGAACTTGTTTTGACTCTTATCTGCATGCCTTTTGAAGGGGAGAGCCTGCAGACTCATGGGGGTCCTTGAATATTCATGTGGTTTACAAGTACAAAATGAGTCTCATAAGGCAGTCACTTCAGAATTATATTGGCAAGTGATGGAGAATTCTTTCTCCTGATTTCTATGATTACATATTCTAATGGGGAAAACATTATGGACTTCAGAGCTATTTTCTTGAGATGTTACCAAGCCCTATATGCATCCATAAGCTTGCTAAAACTCTAAAGAGTTCTCAGACCAAGACTCTGGACAAGAAATAATCAAAATAGAAATAGCTGAGGCAAAAGCTATAAAATGGATTATGTGGCAGCTAAGTAAGGGCTGTGTCTGGTGGATAACTTTGCGCTAGCAGAAAGCACTTACACTCACAAAAAGCAGGACACCGAATTCTTGCCAATCCCTCTTAGTGATTGCAGCCCCCCTCCCCAAGCCAAGTCCTGTACTGTTCCAGAGGATTTCAAACAGCCAGAAACAGCTTTTCAGTGGGTACAATGGGCTGCAGGGAGTAGGAAATATTGTCAAAATTGGGTACTTAAGGTTCCTAAAGCCCAGAATCTGGGAAAGAAAAAGACCCATAAAATCATGGGGTAGTAAATTGTGTATTTGTCAAACTAGAAATAAAGTGGCACTCCACTTCCTGGTCCATTCAGGACAAGGACGGAGGTCCCCCAGTGTCTCACTTGAGGGCTATGGAGTCTTCACATGTGTGTTAATAGTGCCACTGTGCATGTGTATCTTGACATGGGTCTTTCTGAATGCAGCTGTGTTCCACATGACAGAGAACATGAAGCTGTATGTAGGGGGAACATAACACCCCCTGCTCCATTGTTCCATCTGTTTCAGAGCCTGGCATTTAATGTGAATGGTCCCAGATCATCACTTGTCCTAAAATATATGTATCAGAGTGGTTACGCCAGCCAGCAGTGCTCGCTTGTGAAGTTTTTTTCAGCAAAGGTTGCAGCTAATCAGAACCTCCTTTCTGTAGCTGGACCAGAAGTCATAGGACCTTGGCATGCAGCAACCGAAATAGAATCTACATTTCAGTTTTAGAATACTTTTCATGCTCGGTTGCCTTTTTGAACAACTGCACCACTGTTACTTGATAACGATAACTATGACTTTGCTTTTCAGGTTATTCTGTTGCTGTTCTTTCAGCAGAAGATACTGTCTATTTTGTTGCTGGTGCTCCACGGTCCAACTACACTGGCAGAGTGGTGGTTTATGAGATTGATGTTCACGGCAATGTAACTATTGTTCATTCTCAAAGAGGAGAGCAGGCAAGTGCAGAAGTTGGCACTGAATTTTCTTGTTTGTGTTATATATGTATAAATGTCACAGGCACCAGCTGTCGCAAGTAGGGTTTAAAACTGATATTTACTTGCATTGCAAGTTTGCCTTTCCAAAGTTGTGTATCTTGTCTGCACAAATCCAACTACAATGTATGGCTGTAACTGGCACTGACATGCGCCGTCTGATAAAAAATGTTCTATCATTTCAGATTGGTTCCTACTTTGGTAGTGTGCTATGTTCCGTGGACGTTAATGGCGATTCAGTAACAGATGTGCTCTTGGTTGGCGCACCAATGTTCATGAATGAGTTAAAAAAAGAAGAAGGGAGAGTCTATATGTTTTCAGTCAGAAAGGTACATAAAATATATTGGGTTGCCAAGAGAGCAGCTCAAAGCTCTGGTGTTTTCCTAAATACTTGGTCTGTGGTTAATCCAGAAATTCCATTTGGCTCTCATCCATCTAAAGCATGTATATGGGGTAACTACATGCATGGATACCTTTCAAAATGTTTGAAATTCTACTAATTGGTCATTGGATGCGCAAGGGAGAATGGGGAGATGAAATCCACTCCTTGTTACCCCTTGCAAATAGCTGATAAGTGGTGTTTTTGTTTTTTTTAAAATAAATAAATAAATTTCAAGCTGTCTGCATATCTTGGTGAACTCTTGGAATGAATGGAATGGCAAGAGACCTATTTGAACACAGTATCCTTCAACCCACTGAGGATGACTTTCATTTAAACAGTCCCCTTAGTTGGATCAATTAGCCTGATAGAATGACTGTGCTATTTTACGCAGACAGCAATAATTACTGATAATATTGGGAAGTATGCAGAAGCTACTTACCTTAGCAATAATTCCTGAGATGCTTAATGGAAAGTTTTTCTTACTTGTGTCTGTTTTTAGGACTTCCTATATAGTTGGCACAACAAAAATAGACAAGGGAATAAGAATTTCCACCTCTGATTTTTCTATTTTGTAAGAACTAGGAAATTCCATTTCTTTTTCAAAGAACTGCATTCAGGTTCAAGAATATTTGTCTAATGTGTTTCATAAAACTCTAATGCAAGACCCCCCGCCCCTCTTTCTCTGGCCTTTTTTCAAAGGGCATTTTGGGCAAACAAGAACTTCTAGAAGGGCCTCAAGGGACTGAAAACGCTCGGTATGGATCTGCTATTGCTGTTGCTTCAGATATCGATTTGGATGGTTTCAATGATGTGATAGTTGGAGCGCTACTAGAAAACCAGAATGCTGGTGCTATCTACATTTACAATGGTAAACAGAGGACAATACACACTAAATATTCCCAGGTAAATTACTTTTTTTACAGAATGCTATAAATTAGGTCTGCTCCTGGTCTGAACCGTTCTCTGGTCTGAACAGTCATACCTAGACATTGGCTGTTTTGGCTGGGACTGAGGGGAGCTAGAGTCTAGCAATATTTGGTGGGCCACAGATTCCCCAACCCTGATTTAGAGTTTTGCCCAGGCTCTGAGCACGGTTATTTGTCCTCTCTTTTTGTTGGTATCTTGCATGTTTTATGGGGCCTTTTCTGTCATTACACTGTATGACTCTGAGGAACAAAATCTTTCATTGCAAATCCTAGTTCCTATTCCCATGTGAACCTCCCTGTAGTTTAAGATCAGATGAGGAGGCCCGTCCAATAGGACCTCAGATCTGGTGGCGCTCAAATGATCTAATAATCCCCAGCCTCTCATTAGCGTTGCTTGATAGGATTGGTTATGAAGTTCATTGTGTGACTTGGCTCAGTTTCTGTCTTTCAGCCTAATGTACTTCACAGAACTGTTGCAAAGATAGAATGGGGTGGGAGAACAATGTACACCAATTTGAGCTCCTCAGAGGAAAATGGAATATAAATGTAGTATAGTAATTTTAAAAATGTGGAAATAATTAACCATACAGCTACTGATTGTTTGTTTGTTTGTTTGTTTACTGTTAAGGTCTTGTGGCACTTTAAAGGTGAATACATTGATTGTGGAATTATGTTTGCAAGACTAGATACTACTTTGTCAGATGCGTGTGCTTTTCAAACTAACTCAAAAGCCAATGATGAAAATCAATAACGACGACTTCATTGCTAATATGAAACATTTGAGCAAGGGAGAATCCTCAAAATAACCCATATGTGAATGAAAACATCAACATGCCTGATACAAATATTTCTCTTCTCAGAAAATTTTGGGATCAGACCCTGCGTTTGGACAGCAGCTCCAGTATTTTGGAAGATCAATAGATGGCCATAGTGATTTAAATGGTGATGGGATCACTGATGTATCTGTGGGCTCTGATGGAAACGTGATTCAACTCTGGTGAGACATGGATTTTTTTTTTAAAAAAGCAACAAATATCTTTAATCGGCTCTGGATCCATTCCAGTCCAGCTTCCGCACTGGTCATGGGGCCGAGACGGCTCTGGTTGCCCTAACAAATGATCTTCGTAGACAGCTGGATCAAGGTGGGTCAGGGCTGCTGATTCTTCTAGATCTGTCAGCAGCTTTCGACGTGGTCGATCACGAACTTCTGGACCACCGCCTTGCCGACGTGGGGATCCAGGGCATAGTCCTTCAATGGCTGCGCTCGTTTCTCTCTGGTCGGGGACAGAGGGTGGCGCGTGTGGGGGAATTGTCATCTCGCCACTCCTTGGTGTGTGGAGTACCTCAGGGTGCGATACTCTCCCGATGCTTTTAAACATCTTTATGCGCCCCTCGCCCAGCTTGTCCGGAGTTTTGGGCTGGGTTGCCATCAGTATGCTGATGACACCCAACTCTATCTGTTGATGGATGGCCATCCTGACTCGGCCCCAGACACACTGACCAGATGTTTGGAAGCTGTGGCTGGATGGTTACGTGGGAGCCGGTTGAAGCTAAATCCTTCGAAGACAGAGGTCCTGTGGCTGGGACGGGACGATATGGGATTGGGGGCAACTCCCATCTCTTGCAGGGCGCAATTAGTGCCAGCACCGTCCGTTAAGAGTTTGGGTGTAATCTTCAACACCTCCCTTTCCATGGAGGCGCAGATTGCAGCTACAACAAAGGCGGCATTTTTCCATCTCCGGCAAGCTAAGCAGTTGGCTCCTTACCTCTCTCGCCCTGACCTAGCCACTGTGACCCACGCGACGGTCACCTCCAGACTGGATTATTGTAACTCGCTCTACGTGGGGCTGCCCTTGAGACTGACCCAGAAACTCCAGCGGGTGCAGAATGCTGCAGCGAGACTCCTTACAGGGTCTTCGCTGCGAGATCACATTCACCCAGTGCTATACCAGCTGCACTGGCTCCCGGTGGAGTACAGGATCAGGTTTAAGGTGCTGGTGTTAACCTTTAAAGCCCTATACGGCCTAGGACCCTCGTACCTACGGGACCGCCTCTCCTGGTATGCCCCACAGAGAAACTTACGGTCTTCAAATAAAAACATCTTGAAGGTCCCAGGCCACAGAGAAGTTAGGCTGGCCTCAACTAGAGCCAGGGCTTTTTCGGCCGTGGCTCCGATCTGGTGGAACACTCTGTCACAAGAGACCAGGGCCCTGCGGGACTTGACATCTTTCCGCAGGGCCTGCAAGACAGAGCTGTTCCACCAGGCCTTTGGCCAGGGCACAGCCTGACTCCCTCCCTCGGCAATCTTCTCGGAGCTCTGGCCCAATGGTTGCCAGTGGCTTGAATTAATTAATTTTATAATGAATGATTTTAGAGTGTTGTTTGTGCTGTACTTTTGTACTGTTTTATTGTTGTTAGCCGCCCTGAGCTCGGCTTCGGCTGGGGAGGGCGGGATATAAATAAATTTTATTATTACTATTATTATTATTATTATTATTATTATTATTATTAATGGCCCTTCTCCCACTGCTTCTCTTCCAGTCCCTAACTTAATTCTGAATGAGAGAAAGAAATTTAGGGTGGTATTCAACTCAGTGCTGAATATATGTTTAGCCTGAGGTCCCACTATATTCTATGGGACTAGCTCCCTATTGTGTATACGAATGCAGCCTAATTGACTGTTGATTTTGTAAGTATAAATTCTAGATAGATGCCTCCTCAGAACAAATCTCCCTTTTTTGCAATTAAGTTTACAGGCAAATCTGCCTGTTTGTATTTCAGGTCTCAGAGTATTGCTGCTGTGTCCATCCATGTATCAGCTACACCGAAGAAGATAAGCTTGCTAAACAGGAATACAGAGGTAGTTCTCCACATATGTTTCAGTGCAACCTTTAGACCTGCTCACAGGACAAATCAAGTGGGTAAGTATTTCTACAGTCTTGTTTTACATGATTATTATTTTTTTTAAAAAGAGTATTACTTGTTGGGGCAAGATGACCTACTACTGTAAGGCTGCAATTGCAAGATCCCCTTATGGGCATAAGCTTCACTACACTCGGTGGGATATACTCCCGAGTAGACATGTATAGGGTTGCATTGTTGATTTAAGTAAAATTCTTACTTCTGATTAAGGCTGGGATAAAAATATTTTCAATAATTGCAAATAAAAGAATAAAGGAGATATGTGTGGTTGTGCCACTGAAAAGCTGTATCAAAAATGCAAAATTTCTTGTCCTTCTGTGGACAGCACCAGTGCATCACCAGGGTAGGTATAGTACTGAATATTCCAGTTATTTGTGTATGAACAAATATATGTGAACTTAGGCTCCCCCCCTCTCACAGTAGGGTAACCAGATGCTCCTTGAATAATTGTGTAGGAGAGATAATTTTATCTGGTGTTCTTGACAGTTCATAATAGCTGAAATTCCCTTTCCTTCACAACTTTTTCTCTTGTCTTCTTTTTCACTGGGCTGCCGAAGAGCAGTTATAAAGAATCATGAAGATATGAAGTGTTTTTCAACTGATGTTTGAAGTTGTGTTTTTTTTATTGTTGTAAGCTGCCCCGAGTACGTAATACATTTGCATTAGAAGGGTGCGATGTAAATTTCTCAATGAACAAACATATTCCTTTAAAATATGTACCTTTTTTTTTCCTTTTAAGATATCAGATACAACCTGACATTGGATGCTGATCTCTTGTCTTCTCGAGTGACTTCCCGAGGATTGTTTAAAGAAAATAAGGAGAGGTATCTACAGAATAATATCCTAGTCCGCTCCACGGAGAACTGCAAGGAGCATGTTTTTAATGTTCAGGTAGATATTAGCTAACTGATCTATATGTTATGCATATTTGTAGAAATGAATGGTTGTGGCCTGGCCCTTGCAAACAGCAGGTAACAGTTGCAGCTTGTAGCTACTCTGCCTGTACAACTTCAGACAGCCATTGAGAGATCATATGATGGAATGTTCCATTGGCATCTGTATATAAACTCCATCACCTATCAATAACAACCATTGCAGACCTTAGGATTGGCAGAGGAGGTGCTGCTGCCACTGGGGGCTGCCCAGTTGGTGTTGACAGGGCCTTTTCAGTGGACGTTGTGGGATGCTGTTCCTGGTGTGGTGTGTCTGTCTCCCTAATTGTTGACTCAGGAGGAATATAAAGACATCCCTGTCTAGGCATTTGGTGGCTTAAAAACACTGCTCCTGGTAACCCTGCGGGAGCTAGCAGAGATAATGTTTTTAACTGCAACAGCTTTTATTTTTTATTGTGGAGGTGTTAGCCACCTTGGGCAGGGCCGTAGTCCGGAGTGTCATCTCTTTACTAAAACCGCCGTGTGTTCAATCACTCAGCCACTCCCCACCCATGGTTTGGGTAAATGTAATTAGGAAGGGGTAGTACTGTGATAAGTTAGTCTTGTACAAAAACAAAATGTTCGGCAGAATGCAGTGTATTAAAAAAATATATTCAATATTATTTATCAGAGCCAGAAACTCCTGTCTTCCACTGCCTCTCGCAGCTTGGTCAAACTCATGCTTGAAGCTACCAGCATGAGTTTGACCAAGCTGCCGGAGGCAGTGGAAGACAGGAGTGCCTGGGGTTATGAAGAGTCAGACACAACTAAACGACTAAGCAACAACATCAGATCATTTGGACCACTGAATTACAGGTATTCTCAGCCAGCAGTTGTGTATATGAGAAATATTAACTGAACAGATTTCAGTTGGTGGTTTGTATTTCTATGTTTGTGTTTATAGGAGCCCTCTGATGCTGTCAACTCTCTTAGTGTGCGTGTTGATATTGGCCTCAATAATCCTGGTTCAAGTCCTGCTCTTGACAAAACTTCCCCTGCATCTGTTACTTACAGTGTAAGTATATTAACACACATTACTCTTGCTGCATAATCAATAAGTTGACACGTGATCAATGTGAGTCCCACTATAGTAACAGAAAACTAGGTTGTTTTAGTGGCACTTATCGGCTAAATCTATCAGTGCCATGACTAGACTAAAAATATAGAATTTGTTAACAAGCACAGGAGTCAGCATTCTTTGGACCCATATACAAGGTTCGGGGACTAGCAATGCCTCAGTTGAGAACAGCTTTACAAGCCCCCAAATCCTGACTCACATTGAAAATTTCATCAGAGAATACTTCCTGACTTACCATCCATTTGCAAAATGTCTGGTGGGAGCAAATAGCAACCTGCTGCTGTCAGAAAAAGATGGCCTTCAATGGCGAGTTTCTGTCTGCTCAGCAGCAGCAGCATGTCAACAAAGAGAGCTGTTAGTCTCCTTAAATTGGCGCTGTGGTCTAAACCACTGAGCCTCTTGGGCTTGCCAATCAGAAGGTCGGCGGTTTGAATCCCTGCGGCGGAGTGAGCTCCTGTTGCTCTGTCCCAGCTCCTGCCAACCTAGCAGTTTGAAAGCACACCAGTGCAAGTAGATAAATAAGTACCGCTGTGGCGGGAAGGTAAACGCCATTTCCGTGTGCTCTGGTTTCCGTCACGGTGTTCTGTTGCACCAGTATCGATTTAGTCATGCTGGCCACATGACCTGGAAAGCTATTTGTTGGCAAATGCTGGCTCCCTTGGCTTGAAAGCGAGATGAGTGCCACAACCCCATAGTTGCCTTTGACTGGACATAACCGTCCAGGGGACCTTTACCTTTTTATCTATTGAAATGTATAGAGAGATTGATTTTTCCTTTGATTTCAGATTAACTCAGGAAAAGGCTGGGCCATTTCCTGCCTCACCCACCCACCCAAGGAGGAGTTGGGAAGCTCAGTTTATTTCTGAGTGTGAATTGAGATCTAAGTGTGAATTTAGATCTACTGAGATCGAAGTGGAGCTTTCCCATCACTAATCCCAAAAGTTTCAACTTCCATTTAAAGTTGAGGTTTATTTATTTATTTAATTAAAGTACTTTTTAAAATTTTAATAGTTATATTTTCAGAAGACAAAAAAAACACAACCTCATGATACACTTGAAAGCAGACCAGGTGAGGTCTTGGAAAGATACTGGGAGACAGGGAAAGGATTTGGAGAGGGTGGTGTGAGCCTTAAGTACATTCAACATCTCTTTGTCAGCCTCATTACAATAAAAGCAGAATAAATGATACGAAGAAAGGCGAAGCGAGCATATTTTCTTGAACTTACATAGTTCAAAAAATTTGAGTAGTCTTCGGGCAAGAGTTGGGTTACAGAATTATAAATGTGTTAATTTATTAGCATAGAATAGACAGAGAACCATAGAGACCCTTATTATGACACTTAGGTACTAGTAATAACAGCTGTTTGGATTTTTATTTCATTTTTATTCAATAAATTTATTTCCCATTCTTGCTCCCAAAGACGACCAAAAAGAAATATAGATTCCCCCTACCTTGAACAAAGAAGATGGGAGTAATTTTTAATTTTATTTTAATGTTATTTTGTAGATACCATTTGTTAAAGATTGCGGTGAGGATGAAGTATGCAATACGGACCTTGTGCTTGATGTTCAACAGAAAGGAAATAATGGGTAAGACCCAATTTTGCATCTTGGTTCAACATTTCAGGTTGGGTTTTGTATTACACACACACACATACAGTGGCGGAGCTTCATGCTCCGGCACCGGGGGGGGCGGAGACCAGGCAGAGGTGGGGCTGGCACGCGTCCCGGGGGCACGGCACCTGCAGGGGCACGGGGCACGTCCTGGGGGCGGGGGGCGCCCAGCATGGGCGAGGGGGCACCCACGATGGCACCCTACCAGGATCGCACTGCGGGGGGAGGTGCGCTCCCCCCGCACTCCTCTTCCTCTGCCAGTGTGTGTGTGTGTGTGTGTGTGTGTGTGTATATATATACCTTGTAAACTCGAGTTCAACCACATTAACTGTGTGTTTCTGTTCTATCTTTTTCCTCCCTGGCAACAGCAAACAACACTTTGTTATCAGCAGTAAGAACAAAAGATTGATATTCAGCGTGAAACTGAGAAACCAGAAGGAAAATGCATACAACACCAGAATTCAAATTGCTTTTTCCAAAAACTTGTTTTTTGCTTCATCTTCTTCACCCGTACGTGTAATGTTTATTTCAGTTTCTACCGCTGTCATTGGTGGTAGTGATACAACTTTTTATTTTTAGAAGAGTATTTACCGTACTTTTCCGTGTATGAGATGAGGGTTTTTTACTCTAAAATAATGTTTAAAAATGGGGGTCGTCTTATACACGGATAGTGCATGGGGGGGGTAATTGGTTGCAGCCGCGAGCAAGAGCTTGTCAGCTGCGATTTGGTGGTTGATTGGTAGCTGCTGCAAGGGCTGCTTTGGATTGGCTGGTGCTGTGGTAATTGGGTGGGTGATTGGTTGCTACAGAAAGGGCTGTTGTGGATTGGCCGAGATTGTGGGTTGCTGTTTGCAAGCGGGCAAATGCTTGTTTGATTTGGCAACATGAGGGATTGTAAGCATTTTGATTCTGGTTAGTGATTTTCATCATTCCCCACCCCCACCCCCCAAAAAGCTCAACAGCTCTGGGCCATCTTTCCCCCATTTTCTTAAATTTGAGTCCCCAAAAATAGGGGACGTCTTATACAGGGGGCGTGTTATACACGAAAAAATACGGTGCTTTTAGATTTCTGCCCTTTTGTTAGAGTGTGAATCCCACCCAATCTCTTCACCATTGAAAATATATGCCCTGAAATATCAAAACTGCATAATGTTCTATTTTGTCACAAATCAGACCTGTGCAGTGTAGTCCTAAACATGTTTACTCAGAAGTCCCACTGAGTTTAGTGGGACTTTCTCCCTAGTAATCATGTTTTAGAATTGCAGCCTAATTCTAGTAGTTCAGTTTGCCAAGCTTAAGAAAGAAACGAGCCAGCCATCTTAACGCTTAGTGGAAAAATCAACTGACTTGTGCACTTTTTCTCCCACGCCAGTATCTGAGCCTTTCAGTATTATAACCACTTACTTCAGAGTAAGCACTACATAATGCAAGCATCCTCTGTTTCTGTTCTACAGTTTAACGCTGAAAAATGTCTACTTGTTACTTTTAGGTAGACGGAACTGAAGTTTCATGTCAGATGACCACTATCCAACAGCTTGTCGTCTGCCAAGTCAGCTACCCTGTGTTTAAAACAGGACAACAGGTATGTCTTAGAGTTCCTGTGCATTTCTAGGTTTTGCAGAAACAACCAGCTTTGACTTCATGCACGTGTATTGTAGCTCTGCTGATGTAAACAAGCATCCCAGAACTCTCTATGCCTGATTCTAACCAATTGAATTTCCTTTGTGGAAAAATTGGCTCCATAAGATTCCCAGTGAAAGAATCATAGTCTCCTTATGGTGTGCATGTCACAGGTGAGGGAGGATAGCTGCCCTTATTCACCTTAGGATAAAATTCAGAGGTATAATGCACCTCTTGGCCTACCAGTTACAGCCAACAGGGTAAGTATTAGGAATCAGTGTGGTTTTCATTGCATCAGTGTCAATGCTTCTGATTTGGTGGTGGTGGGAAAGCAATGCATATTTACAGCTGACTCATCAATATTTCTTTAAGATAGGCCCCTCAGTGTTTAGCTTCAGCACAAAGTAACTTGCTGAAATATTTGATGGCTAAAAGCTGAACACAAACTATTGCAATACTTTTACTATTAATAGTTATAGGTGAAAATTAAATTCTAATGTAACAGCTGTGATACTTTTATTTCCATGGATAGCCCCTGCTTTATAACTAAACTAACAAGTTGATACTAGTATAATATATCAACCTCAGATCAGCTGAAGCACAGAAACCAACTGTAGTATGTACAGGTATATGTACTTAGAGCGAGACAGACAGTGAACCTGGGTTCAGGTATAATGCTAAGCCAAACAGTGGCTTAGCCCCAGGCAGCCTGGCAGCAGTGGGACTGGGGAAGGTGCTCTGAGAACTCACGTTTGCTCATTCATTCCAAGCCATGATTTGGCTTAGTGCTATGTGCAAACCAGGTCACTGTCATAAATGATAATTGAAAGCAGCTTTGCTTATTTTAATTTCATCTTTTATCTCTGTTTTTCATAGGTAACTTTTGATGTTCATTTTGACTTTAATTTGAAAAATCTTCAGAATCTGGCAGTTCTGCGTTTTCAAGCTCTGAGGTATGGTATAATATTTCGTATAACATTTTTAGCGCGTAACTTGCAGCTTATAGCAACAGTTAAGGTATTATTATCAGCCTGTGTTTATAAATGCATTGGGCGTTTAAAATATGCAGTTCTTTTTGTTACTGATAGTGCAAGCAATGAAGAGGATGATACCAACAATCAGGTCAACCTAACTGTTCCACTTCGCTATGATGCAGAAGTTCACTTAACAAGGTAACTATAAACGACCAACGTTTTTTGCATTAACAAGACTAGTCAAAATTCTGGGCAACTGTAAAAACTAGTGATCCCACTTGTGATTCTAAGCAACTGGCATATAGAGGCATAAGTAAAGGTAAAGATAAAGGGACCCCTGACCATTAGGTCCAGTCGTGGCTGAATCTGGGGTTGCAGCGCTCATCTCGCTTTATAGGCTGAGGGAGCCGGCGTACAGCTTCTGGGTCATGTGGCTAGCATGACTAAGCAGCTTCTGGCAAACCAGAGCAGCACACAGAAACACCGTTTACCTTCCCGCCGGAGCAGTACCTATTTATCTACTTGCACTTTGATGTGCTTTCGAACTGCTAGGTTGGCAGGAGCTGGGACCGAACAACGGCAGCTCACCCCGTCACGGAGATTCAAACCGCCGACCTTCTGATCGGCAAGCCCTAGGTTCTGTGGTTTAGACCACAGCGACACCCGCATCCCTATATAGAGGCATACTGCTGCCAATACTGGATACAGTACACTGCCATCATGACTAATAGCCACTGATAGGCTTATCACCCATGATGGCGTAATAAAAAGAAACCAATATATAAATAAATCTCTTCCAGATATGCTTCTGAACTCAGTGACTCTGATCTAATACAAAAAACATTAAGATTTCCAAAAGAATGCTTATTGATACTCTTATTTCTGCTCAGGTTTACCCAAATGAACTTTTATGAGGTTTATTCGGATAACCACATACCTTCAACGGTGAACACTTTCAATGAAATTGGACCCGCGTTCAATTTTTCTGTTAAGGTTGGTAAATATTTCTGCTAGCTTTTAAATGCCTAAGAAATATTTGCCGTATTTTTCGCTCTATAAGATGCACCAGACCACAAGACGCACCTAGTTTTTGGAGGAGGAAAACAAGAAAAAAAATATTCTGAATCTCAGAAGCCAGAACAGCAAGAGGGATCGCTGCACAGTGAAAGCAGCAATCCCTCTTGCTGTTCTAGTTTCTGGGATAGCTGTGCAGCCTGCATTCACTCCATAAGACGCACACACATTTCCCCTTACTTTTTAGGAGGGGAAAAGTGAGTCTGATAGAGCAGAAAATACGGTAGTTTTTGCATTTCCTCCTAAAGCATATTGAACTAAGCACTAAGCCAAGGGCAGCTTATTGGGCTGGAGCGAGAATAAGCAGGGCATGCCAGTCCCAAGGGCAATGGGGCCGTGGGTAGGTTGCCACATATCTGCTTCTGCACAGCCCTGGGCAAAGGTGGGAGGGAGCAAACTTGAAAGTCAAACTTACCCCATCTGCTCAACATGGTCTACTTTTGCTCTAGACTTAAGGTCTTCCACCAGTAGCACTGCTATTTTATGTTTAAAAAGGTAAAGGGACCCCTGACCTATTTTATGTTTAGGTTCTTAATTTATCTGCATTTATTAATATGCTGCCTTTGCTGCAAGTATCTGAAGACCACATTCATGGCTTCACCCTGTTATATCCTCACGACAATTCAGTGAGGTGTGTTGCACTAAGAGAGAAATGACCAGGGATCCTCATCATCTGACACAATGATGATGGGTGTGTCTCACAAGACTGTGCTGAAAGGACTCATTGAGTTTCACTAGTGAACATCTGGGATCCTTTCCACGTTGCAGCTGTGCATACAAAGCCCTGTGCCTATGCTTTGCCTGAAGGCATAATGTTTTGGAAACTTTGCCAGTTTTAAGCCAAATGCATACATGCCATCACACCCTGACTTGACACCCAGAAAACCCAAACATTCTATGCTTAGAATTTTTTGTTGGGATCCAGGGGTTTCTGAATTTTGTTTTTGAGAATCCAATGTCTTAACAAAAAAATGACATGTTAAATAATGAGGAATGGGCGGGTATATGGGCCAAGAAAAGCATTATAGAGAATGAGAAGAGGAGCTAGGAAAACTGTATGGAGCACTGAAATCATATCCCTTGGCTGCTGGAAGCTTTCTACAATCCTCGTTCTGAATTCAGTGTCTTGAGAAAATACTCCCTGCACGTCTTCGTAGAATTGTTTTGACACTGAGAATTAGAATGCTGTTTTTCTTATCTTTTTTAAGGTTAAGTGAAAGCTTTTAGGAAGGCAAATTCTGCCCTAGAGTCTAAATTCTGCACGGTGCTTTGATTGTGGTTCTACAAGTTCAGTTCATAAGCACATATATTTTCTAGTAGTAACCATTTTTAAAACTTGTACTTTCCCACTGTTAATAATAACAGAAAACAATTCTTACAATATAAACCAACATCTGCAGGAGGTTATCCAGATAATTATTTGTTTTTCAGGTCACAACAGGAAGTATTCCAGTAAGCATGGCATATTTAAAGATCCGTATTCCAGAGCACACCGAAGGGAACAGTCCATTGATGTATGTGACAGCTCTGCACACCAGTCAGGTGAAAAGATAGTCTAGATATTTTAATTACAGTTTACAGTTTGGTCATCTACCTACTATCCCTTGCTTTTTCCTGTAGGACTAATTGCAGTCGTCAACAGGTTTACCATACCCATTGAGTCAATCACCCATCTCCTACTACCCTTCTGAGAAAAACCCCACCCCACCCTCCCACTATATATAAGGGTCTGGTGACTTCTGTTTGAGTGTATCTGAAGAAGTGTGCATGCACACGAAAGCTTATACCCAGAACAAACTTAGTTGGTCTCTAAGGTGCTACTGGACAATTTTTTAATTTTTTAAATTTATTTTGACTCCGTTAGACCAACACTGCTACCTACCTGAATCTAGTTTACAACACAGTAATAAAGGTGACATGAATGCAATGCAGTATGGAAAGATTAACAATGCTAGGACATCCTGCACCACCATTCCATTGTTTTGCCACTGATTAAGGCTGCAATCCTATACATACTTACATGGGAGTAAGTTCCCTTAAACTGGTGAGCCTTAATTCTGAGTAGGTATGGATGCCTGTAGTTCAAGGCTGCCATCAAGTATGGGAGTAAAGCTATCTGTGCTCAATTGGACTTTACTCTTAAGAGATTTGAAAAGGATTGAACTTAATGCAGCGGGGGCTGCAAAACAGAAATGCTGCCTTCTGCTTGTGTGAAATGTCCTGTCAGTTCTAGTTCAATAATACATTTTTTATTTGACACATGCAGTAAGGCCATTGCATAGATAAAAGCAGTGGGCATGAGCTAATCAGCTAGATAAAATCTCCATGTGCTCCTTCACATCTATTATTATTATTATTATTATTATTATTATTATTATTTATTATACTCTTTCTAGGGTACTGATATCAGCTGTGATGCACGGATCAATCCATATAAAATAGGACAACAAAGCTATACTGTGTCATTTAAGAAGGAGAACTTCAAAGCTATGAAAGAACTGGTGAGTTGAATTTATGATAGCAGGAGCTGAGACCCTAGTTATTTCATTGTTATTTATAGAAAGTGAATACCTAGACACTTCATAGTTCAGTTTAGGAGCTTCTTACACCTCACATGTCAATCTAGCACCTATGACTTAAATCATCATGTGGTTCGGGTTAACCAGCTCTGTCTTAACTAGAAATTGTCCTGTCTGAAAGGAAATGGAAAATTCAGGTTGACTATATGTCAGAATTTACAGGTTGCTTGTAGTAACCCATGGAAAAATTCTTGCAGCTGGAAGAGTTGGTGCTTTGGGTAGCAGACTAGAGATGAAATTATATGTTTTCCTCCTTTGCTATCTCAGGTTGTTTACCTGACATAGAAATATGATTGTAAAACTATACTTTGATATATTCATTTGCCATTGATTTTAAGGTGTTGCTATAAGTGCACAGTTAGATTTAAATGCACACTTGGAATTGTAAAGTGTGAATGAAACAAACATAAGTTTGAAACACCTGTGTCATACAGGCACACTTATGAAGAGCCCAGGATATTGATAGTATGTTCAGTGGCAACCCAGATCTGTTAATGTATAATGTGTGGAGCTCTTCAAATCAGCAACATAGCTTTATGTTCTACAACGCTGCAGGTTTCTGCTGAACTATGGAATAACTTTTAATGAGAAACGATGAATTCCTAAAATAGAATAAAATTAGTGAATTGCTATACTGATACATTTTAATGTTATATTATCATCATCTCCCCCCTTTTTTTGCAAAAGAACTGCAAGAATGTCCGATGTGCTACAATTACTTGCACACTAAAAGACATCGTACTGAAAGCAGAGTATTATGTTAATGTTTCTACCAGAATCTGGAATGGGACGTTTGCAGCCGTAAGTAACATCTATGTTTTAATGAGTTACTGGATATTTTCTGTATGTTTGATATTTATGGAGGTAAAAAAAAAAGAAGGTAAAGGACCCCTGGATGGTTAAGTCCAGTCAAAGGCAATTAAGGGGTTGCGGCGCTCATCTTGCTTTCAGGCCGAGGGAGCCGGCATTTGTCCACAGAGAGCTTTCCGGGTCATGTGGCCAGCATGACTAAACCACTTCTGGTGCAACAGAACACTGTGACGGAAACCAGAATGCACGGAAATGCCGTTTACCTTCCCACCACAGCGGTACCTATTTATCTACTTGCACTGGCGTGCTTTCGAACTACTAGGTAGGCAGGAGCTGGGACAGAGCAACAGGAGCTCACTCTGTTGTGCAGATTTGAACCGCCGACCTTCTGATTGGCAAGCAGTGGTTTAGACCACAGCACCACCCGCATCCCTTTAGAGCTAAGCACTAAAACACAAAGTTTTGTCTTCTGTTACTTTGCATAACATTGTAAAAAGAAAACATAAATGTAAATGGAGGCTAAATTAGGTGCAATTAGGGGGGGAAATTTGTTGCTACTTTAAAACGGGAAGAGATGCTTTGAACTGCTAACTCGGAGACATGAGCTACACAAGCCGTCAAATAGGATGTTGGAGCCCAGAAAGCTAGAATGGGTTTTGCCACTTGAGTCTGCGATTGAGAGACATCACTTTTAGATTCAGTCTCATCTTAAAAGCTTCCTGCATGTTGGAAGCTTGCATATCAGGGAGAAAGGTTCTAGCCTAGCCCTTTACTAATTATGCTGGCTTTCTCATTTACAGGGAGAGTTATTTATTTTTTTAATGTAGCAGGTGTGATTTCCTGCACATGCAGTCTGACGTGGTGCTGCCAATTTTATTTATTTACTACATTTGTATACTACCCATCCAACCAAATTCTCTGGGTAGTTTACACACACACAAAATAAAACAAAATGCACATTACAAATAAAATATAAATTGCAACAGCCGAAAGTCCAACCCAAAAAAAATCCGACAACTGATATTAATTAAGCACAGAAGCTAAAACAATGTGAAACAATGTAAATTAGGCATAAAATTCAGCAAGGAGAAACTTAGTATAATAACATAAGCATTGAATAGATTCTGCTTTAAAGGAAGAACAAGAAGACCATTACCTAGTACATGAAATACCACCTGCAAGTGTAAACCAGGCCAAGATGTTCAAATGTTCTTCCACAGACAAAGCTGCCCAATTTGTAATTGCTCGGAATGGGAAAGATGTCTCGAATGTCACAGTGGGACAGTTAGCTTAAGAAAGTACTATATGCATCGCTATCCTGGAACAAAAGCATTAAGTGGAAACACAGATCCTGAAGACTTTGCAGCTGTTTGGTGGACTTTTATGACATATATGAGCAATTGTCCCCATAAGAATGTTGCAGCTGCCAAATATGACTGTATATGGAATTATTCACGATATGCCTTGATGTGCAAACAGCCTTTAAAGCCTGCTGTGTCTTTGGTCTTCTCTTGGATCATATGGTGACCTCTTGCCACCCATGTCTAGATGTTCTCTTTTCTTCCAGAACAAGGGAGAGGGGCAGTTTTAATATCTCACAGCACATAGCTTTAAAAGAGGTTTAGACCAGTGTTTCCAAAACTTGGGTCGCTAGCTGTTTTTGGAGTACAACTCCCATCATCCCTAGCTAGCAGAAACAGTGGTCAGAGATGATGGGAACTGTAGTTCATAAACAGCTGGAGACCTACAGAGGACAGGGCAATCCGTAGCTTCTATCCCTGCTGGCTGTGTTTTGCCTCTACTGTTGGAGGCAGCATGCCTCTGAATGGCAGCTTGGAAACCACAGGAAGGAAGAGTTGCACTCAGGCTGTGCTTGCAAGCTTCCCATAGGTATTTTGTTGGCTGCTGTGAGAACAGGATGCTGGACTAGAAGGGTCACCGGCCTGATCATAGCTGTCGTTTCCCCTTTTTAAAGGGAAATTCCCTTATTCCAAATAAGATTCCTCGCAAGAAAAGGGAAAAGTTGACAGCTATGGGCCTGATTCAGCGGGATCTTCTCATGTTCTTATCAGATTTACAGTGCAATCATATAAATGGCTACGCAGAATACCGCTGAAATCCCATTACTCCCAGATAAGTGTGTATAGGATCGCAGTCTTAAATCCTTGACAGACTCAGCATGGAGCTTAAATGAGAAGCCAAGTTACAGGGAACCAGGCAGGGGGCCTTCTCGGTAGTGGCACCCGCCCTGTGGAAGGCCCTCCCACCAGATGTCAAAGAGAAAAATAACTACCAAACTTTTAGAAGACATCTGAAGGCAGCCCTGTTTAGGGAAGCTTTTAATGTTTAATAGGTTATTGTATTTTAGTGTTCTGTTGGAAGCCGCACAGAGTGGCTGGGGAAACCCAGCCAGATGGGTGGCATATAAATAATCTATTATTATTATTATTATTATTATTATTATTATTATTATTATTATGCCTCCTAAGATGGAACAATAAGCACTATGACCCCTTTATATAAAAGTTGAAAGTCGGGAGGTAGCTGTGCATGCCGTTTCTCTAATACCATTGTGTTCCTTTTTAAAAAGGCTCTGTGCCTTAAATAATTGCCTACACTTTATGAAAACCATATATACTTTAATTGGGATATGCTACATTTTTCTGTTGCAGTCAGCGTTCCAGACAGTAGAGTTATCGGCAAGTGCAGAAGTGGATACAAACGATCCAGATCTATTTGTGATTGGAGAAAATGCTTTATCAGTGAGTCTGACTGTTTTATGCTCCAGTCTTGCCACGCTAAAAGCTATTATGTCATTTTCACGCTCATTTAAAAACACATGGCGCGCTGTATCTTCCTCTTATAAAAAGGCTACACTGCTGTTACTGACATGTATAAATTGTTGTGTGAGTTTTAAAGTTACTGGAAACTTAACAGTTTTATGGCATTTCATCTGGCCAAGTTTTGGCTCAAAGGAAACCTAAAGCTATCTATAAAACTTTAAAACTTTGTTATTCAAGACAGTTTTATTCAAAATGGATGTTTGCATGAATCTGATAAAAGTTGATACAAAAGCATATTTTTTTATATTAAATTAGGAGCTTGCAAACCTTCAGAAAAGAAGGTGGCTTTAGATGAATAGATAGAAAGGAAGCAGCAATGGGATATGGAAGTTTGATTCCCAATGCTGAGACAATGTATGGTAAGGTCTACTTATGGAAAAGGGCTAACTTGTATTGATGCCTCTCCAGTCTGCCAGATCTTCAGGAGAGACTGTAGTCTGTCAGGTGTCTCTCTCTATGTATTATTGGGATATATTATATAATATACTGTATAATATACTGCCACATTGAGCCTGCTGTCCAGTGGTGTGATGGAAAATGAAAATGAATAAATGATGGGTGTGTTGATTTCAGAGCAGGGCTTAAAGGTTTTATCCAGTTGTTTCTCTCCACTCAAGGAAGACACTTCATTCTAATGATGGTTCCTTGAATGGAAGGAAAAAGCACGGGTGGGCCATGGTAATATGGTAATTGGAGGGGTGAGGCCATCTACATGCCCTCTTGATCCCTGTCTGTCAAGACTCAGGAAAGCTAGTTGGATGGGACTGGCAGGATGGGCTGGTGTATCATTACACAAGAGGCATCATCCTGAAGCAGGGAGTAGTGTCCCCACTCCTCAGAGTCCTCCCAGGACCTGGAAGAGATGAATAACTACCACTCGGTCTTGAATAACTACCACTCGGTCTTGAATGCCCCTATTTCTTGTGTAGGTGATTGAAACTGCTACTGTGGGAAACAGCCCACCCCCTCTGGCAGATCCCTTTGCCCTAAGGGTCTGCCACAGGACGTAGGCTTCTGCCTCCAAGTCCCAGTTTCCCTAGGAGCAGCCCTTTGTAGCAGCAGCTATCAAGAGCAACAGAGGCATTTGAAATGCTGCAGGAGGGCAAAATGTCCTGCATGGACGCCGTTGCCACACGGGTCTCCTGTTCCCCAGTGGGCAGCCATTGAAAGCAAGCCTAGGCAAAGCAACAAATGTTGATTTTGTTTTGCATTTGGTGCTGTGTTGAAGGGCTGTCTCCCCCAGCATCCCAGTTAAACTGGGACTGCTGGATAACTGACTTTCTCTTCCCTTTGCCCCTGATGCCTTTTCCTTGCCTGGATGGAGGATATAGAGAGGCAAGAGACTGTGTATAGTAACTAGCCTAAAATTTACATTAATTGCTGTGCCCACTTTTGCCTCTGAACCCCTCCTTACTGGCATGTCACACACACACACACACACACATATGCAGAAGGGGTTGAAAAATGTTTCCAGCCCCTGCTCTATATAACCAGGCATAGGCAAACTTGGCCCTTCAGATGTTTTGGGACTACAATTCCCATCATCCCTGACCACTGGTCCTGTTAGCTAGGGATGATGGGAGTTGTAGTCCCAAAACATCTGGCAGGCCGAGTTTGCCTATGCCTGATATAAACCTTCCCATTTTTAGATCTGCATCAAGGCCTCACTCCCAGTGTCTTCACAGCCGAGCAGGGACTTTTTCTTGGTGGGACCCCGGGTGTAAAATGATTTCACCAGAGATGCTCAGCTGGTGCCTATTTTCCTGTCTTTTCAGCAGTATGTGAATACAATTACATCCCTCGCCCAGTATTTTAATAGATAATTGATTACATTAATGCTGTTAAAGCTGCTTTTACTGCGGCTTTATAATTATATGGTTTGTAATATTAAATGCTTGATTTAATTTTTATTAGCCACTTGGGAAGATTCCCCCACCCCCAAAGATGGAACAGAAATCTCCTTAGCTAACTTTAAAAAACAAATAATTTTCAATTTATTGTGATTTAATTGAATGTAATTGCTGTGAGAGAAGTCTTGATGCATGAATCAAATTAAGGAAATTGTTGTGGTTTCCCACACAGAGAGAGCGAGAGTTAAAATGGGCTATTTGCAGACTGCAATAATGAATGATTCCGCCTCTGCAAAAATCATTATCATGGTCATTTTGTTGCAAAGTACTGTATGTAGAAGACAGACACAGTGAAATGTATCAGTGTGTCCACACCCAAAACAGCAGAATAATCATAACAATAAAGCTCTACTGGCAATACATCTGAAATATCTAAGTGGTTTACAGGGTGGAATTGGCCATAAGTTATGAGATTATATTTCATCAAGCAATTTAATTGTAACTTTGCCTTTGGAAGTGAAAAATACATTAAAATGTCCTTCCAGATTTTCAGAGCTAAACTTGAATTCCCATAGATCTTTGAAAACCCTAAATATATTTCGAAGCCAACAAGATCATCTGTATTTATAATTATATTCACTTTATGGAAAGGATGCCAACTCCTTGGTTAATGTCAGGATATATTGGATGATGAAGAAGAAAACAGCAAATCCTTAAAGTTATATTCTTCCAATTATCCAACCTGTGGGTACAATGGCTGTGCCTACAAAATGTTTAGGAAGGATTTATTCCATATATTTGATTTCATTCATTAGGTGCATCCTAAAATATTCTCTAGGTGGAATACATTGAAACAAAATGCAGTGACTATATCAATTTGGAAATTAAATCATTCACCACCCAGCAACAATTCAACAACAACAAAATCCAAGCAGAGCAAATCCTGCAGCCTCCCATTTTCCGTTTCCCCCCTCAAAGGGAAATACTGACCCCAGAATTTCTGAGTTCAAGGAAGCCTGTTATGTAGGGATGCTGCTGGAATCTGCCTTCACTGAAATTCTGTCATGGAGTCTGGAGTATTTTAATGGGATAAATTTGCATAGGTGAAATGTAAAAAGTTGGAGTATCTTATTCCTCCAAAGGTGCATTACTAATACTTTGCAAGATATTTGAAAGCAAAAAAAAATGATAAATGGCATACTTTTAAGTAATTTTCAGCACCCAACATAGTTCCTTCTTTTGTTCTTGGCAGACTAATAATAATAATAATAATAATAATAATGTGTGCTTTTTTTGTTAAAAGTTGTGAGTGTATGTGTCAGTTTCTGCTTTCTTCCTTTTTAACTTGTTTCAACAGGAACACACAGAGACCTGGTTCACACTACATAAGCCAAGCTATCTGGAGATGAGCTTGCAGTAACTTTGCTGTTCCTTTTTACTGCCGCAGAGTTAAGACACACTAAGTTTAGCGGGTGGCGCTGTGGGTAAAACCTCAGCGCCTAGGACCTGCCGATCGTCAGGTTGGCGGTTCGAATCCCCGCGGTGGGGTGCGCTCCCGTTGCTTGGTCCCAGCGCCTGCCAACCTAGCAGTTCGAAAGCACCCCCGGGTGCAAGTAGATAAATAGGGACCGCTTACTAGCGGGAAGGTAAACGGCGTTTCCATGTGCTGCGCTGGCTCGCCAGATGCAGCTTGTCACGCTGGCCACGTGACCTGGAAGTGTCTCCGGACAGCGCTGGCTCCCGGCCTATAGAGTGAGATAGGCGCGCAACCCCAGAGTCGGACATGACTGGCCCGTACGGGCAGGGGTACCTTTACCTTTAAGTTTAGCTTAGCAGGTCATCTAAACCCAGTCTCGTAGTTGACCTTTCTCCTCACTAACTACAAACTGTAGCCAAGAACAAACCCCCCGATACATTTTGTGGTTAGTGAAAAGAGAGCTTCTTAACCGGGTTTGAACAACATGATAAGCCAAACCTTGGTTTAGCTCAGTTCAGTGTGGTGGTCAAAAGAAGCAGTAAAGAGGGATGCTATTGCAAGCATCTCTCCTGCAGCCTTCATATTCCCAGTACGCTGAACTTCGGCTTACTGTATCGTGTGAACCAGGGCACAGTGAAAGATTTTTGCATCTTAATTATTATGAAAGTGCAAGTGCAAAATTTATTACCAATGTTCTGAAACCCAGAATTTCTGCTGGAATTCAAACGAAGCAGAACAAAAGGCGAGAGCACAATTACACTTGCCGCTCTATAATGAGTGGCCAAAGAATGCATGCAGAATGCATTGATCACTTTTGTTTGAGAATTGCTGCTGCCTTACCTTGTCTAACTACAACCATTCTTTCTTTTAAGATTCCGCTCACAATAACAAAGCCCGATGAGAAAGCAGACGTGCCGATTGGAGTTGTGATAGCAAGTGTCCTGGTCGGTCTCCTCTTGCTGCTAGCTCTAGTTGCTGCCTTATGGAAAGTAAGTTAACGATTAGGAAGCAATTGTAGGGGAAAAGGCAAATTGCCACGGAACTCCCACTCGTGAGGTGAGAGGCATAGATCCACCACTAGAGGCAGAAAGCTCCTGCACAATCCACTCCGCTCTAGTGGTAAACAATTGAGCTGTGCTGCTCTTATGTCTTGTAGTCATTTTCTCAAATATATTTCATTTTGTGGTTCCTGCTCAATAGTAACCCAGTCATTCCTGGCATAGCAGAACTTAAGAACTGCTTTCCAAAAATTTCCAGAAACCACTGAGAAATCAGCCGTGCCTATCTTGAATTCACATACTATAGCTTTATCTGTGGCTGGATTTGAGCATAATGCTAAACTAAGGATTATGTGCATGGAACGCCCATTTTCATGGTTTGCCATTATGTCTGAACCCAGAATTGTGATTAATCTTAACCTTGATTTAGAGAAAGAAGCAAAGGTCAGAAACCAGAGTCTGATGTTGGCTTGTTTCTGTAAGCCATAGTTTTCTGTGACAAACCAAGGTTAGTTGAAAACGAAAGCAAAATCTTCCATTCTCATAGCATGCTGTAGGGAAACAGGTGCCCTTGTCTGAGGCTCATGCACATAGCACAAAGCCTTTAATTAAATGTATGAGCTAGCCTTAAGTATCATATACTATACATAAGGAAATTATTTTAAATAAATGTATTTCAGTGGTGTTTGCTAACCTCCTTAAAAACTTCTCAAAACATTTTCTACAGCTCGGTTTCTTCAAGCGAAAATATGAGAAGATGGCAAAGGATGTGGAAGATGTGGATGAAATTGCAGAACTCACTAAGGACAGAGAATGAATATAGCAGGAATAGCACTGTGTACACCGACCTTCTGATTCACAAACATTGCTTGCATTCACACTGGTTCAACAACTTGGGAGTGCCTTATGGATTATTTTAATTTCTTATTTTTTTTCAATGAAAATGTCCTTTTTTATAGTTGGGGAAAAATTTTTACAGGTACTATTTTATTTTAGCAATAACTGCTGGTCAGTTTGGGGTTTTCTTTACAAGGGTTTAAAAAATGTTTATTTTTCTTGTTTGTATTTTTTGTATTTTATTAATAGCTGTTCTGAATCAGCAGGACCAGAAGCAGTAAACACTGAATTGTGCCAGAAATACTATGTTTGGTATATATATATATATATATATATATATATATATATATATATATATACACACCATTGACTGTCAGGATAATCTTTGTTAAAACATTAACACAGCTGCAGTCTAGAGCTGCTGGATGTGTACAAAAGGCCTACAGCAGCGTACTCTCCAACCTATTCACACCTAACACTAAGCCAAACTTAATATGAATAAGCAAGAATAGTGTCATACTCAGATCCTGCTGATGGACTTCTTGTAAGCCTCTGATTGGCTACTATGAGAACAAGATGCTGGATGAGATGGGCCACTGGAGTGATCATGCAGGGCTCTCTTTATGAAGGCTGTGGCTGGAAGCTCTAAGACAGCAGGAAGTATCCACTCCTGCTGCGGCTATTCTCTCTTGCATTTGTGGGTGACCATTTTTATTATCACCCACAAATGCAAGAGAGACCATTTTTATTATCTAGACAGCATCTTAAAAAGCAGAGACATCACCTTGCCAACAAAGGTCCGTATAGTTAAAGCTATGGTTTTCCCAGTAGTGATGTATGGAAGTGAGAGCTGGACCATAAAGAAGGCTGATCGCCGAAGAAATGATGCTTTTGAATTCTGGTGCTGGAGGAGACTCTTGAGAGTCCCATGGACTGCAAGAAGATCAAACCTATCCATTCTGAAGGAAATCAGCCCTGAGTGCTCACTGGAAGGACAGATCATGAAGCTGAGGCTCCAATACTTTGGCCACCTCATGAGAAGACTCGACTCCCTGGGAAAGACCCTGATGTTGGGAAAGATGGAGGGCACAAGGAGAAGGGGATGACAGAGGACAAGATGGTTGGACAGTGTTCTCGAAGCTACCAGCATGAGTTTGACCAAACTGTGGGAGGCAGTGGAAGACAGGAGTGCCTGGCGTGCTCTGGTCCATGGGATCACGAAGAGTAGGACACAACTAAACAACAACAACATTTTTATTATGTATTTATTAAATGCTTCCTGGGACAGAGTTCCATGGCCAAAAGACCGTGTTTCACCCAAAAATGCATGGGAGCCCATGGTTATATCTACATCTGGGGCCATATTCTAGAAGTATTTAGGCTATTATTGGGCTATTGTTATTGCAAAAAAATATCTGCCTGATAAGCTGTTGGGCCCTTCCAAAGGAATACAGCCGTCCAGCCTCCAAATTTGTGTCTTTAAAATCAGGGAAATAACTTTTGTTGAAGATTTGAAATGATAAGTTTTCCAGCCCTTGAAGCTGGAAGTTTGCAATCCTGCAGCTTTCATTCATTTCCATTAAGCCACATGTTGCAATTTACACACTCCATAGTTTCTACTGCCGATACTATTTTATTGCACTTTTCAAACTGGCACGAATCTGCAGTCCTGCTGTAAATCTAATGTAAATATATAGGTTTATAAACCTGCACACCTTTAAAAAAAAGGTATTTTAAAATGTGTTTTTGTACTAAAGAATTCAGTAAGGCATTATTTTAGTGGAATTTGAAGCAATGTTAAGTGTCACAACAGAATCAGATGTTCCAGAGGCAAAGGTCACTCAACTGCACAATTGACTTTCCCTACATATAGCTCCTCTTTTGTTTGTTTCTCAGGTGCAAATTCATCCAATTTCCTTTACAATGGCTTGTTAAGGATAATCCTATCTGTCCAACTTTACCCACCCAGAGAAAGCAGGGCACATTCTGAACCCAGGATTCCTTAACCCTATTTAATGGCAAAGCTAGGATTTCAACTGCACCAGCACTGTTCATTACAAACTAGTGTACTGAATACAGCATTTATTGGAAATTGTAACTCCAAGGAGCCTGGCTCTACTAATATACATTCTGCTGTGTCAACACCAATTGAAATTACCAGGAAGCTGTGAGCAATTCTCATAAAGGCTTTATTTGTACAGGACAAAACTTACCTCTGTGAAACTACTCTAGGGTCTTCTGCAAGTAACCTGAAAGATGGTGCTGGCACAAGCTGAACTCTCTGCATTTGGGGTTTGTGCAGAAGTTCAAAGTAAACCTTGTCCTCCCCACATTGTTATGTACATTTGCACTACCTTTTAAATCCATTGTATATAGCGTGTTCTCATTTTTTATATGATGCATCCAGGTGTAATAGTTTGCCTTTGTGTATGTATATTTTGCACTTTTATTTCAGAACGGAAATAAAAACGGATCTGCCTTGAGTAAAATTGAAACAAACCTGGTGTAGACTACACTGAACTCTTATTTTATATTTATAGTTAGTTTCTATTCACTGTGCTGGGCATTAGGCTTAGCCCAGCTCTGCCTGCAGATAAATATGCGTTCCAAGTGACGAGATTAAGTTATACAAGTCAAAACTTAACTGTAAATTGGTAAGATGTCCTTAAACATACAATTTGCTTTAGTTATCATGGAAACAAGCATCGTTTTACACCTTACAGTGGAAACAAAAAAAATCTGCTTTTCTTTTCCTTTGGTAAACATAGAAAGTATGTACTGTATTGTCACAGGCTTGTTGGCACATCAGTTTCTCCACTGACCCCTACTGGTTGTTCCCAGTACAGGACCAAGTACTGCTCTTCCAGATGTGTATTGCAAATTCTCTTAGAAATGTTGCAGGGAAATTCAGAATGTGTCTCTTTACAGCACTGTACAGAGTGGTGCTCTGTTGTATCAAAAATTCACATGTCTGGATATGCAAAGCCTGGCAATTCTTCCTCCCTTACTATCGTTTTAATGTAATTCAATGTATTTATAATTTAAATATAAATATTTACCATTCAGATCTTAAATAAGATATATATTTTCACCCTCCTTTTTAAATTTAGGATTCTTAAACTTCAATAAAACATGCTGATCACCCAACCAGGGAAAAACTGTAAGCCTGTGGCCAGCATTCGCATCTGATTTTATCCCACTGAGTGCAGTAGCTCTTTTAAAGTGCATACCCATTTACCTGGGAGTAAGACCCACTGAACGGGACGCGGGTGGCGCTGTGGGTAAAACCTCAGCGCCTAGGACTTGCCGATCACATGGTCAGCGGTTCGAATCCCTGCGGCGGGGTGAGCTCCCGTCGTTCGGTCCCAGCTCCTGCCCACCTAGCAGTTCGAAAGCACCCTTAAGTGCAAGTAGATAAATAGGTACCGCTTTATAGCGGGAAGGTAAACGGCGTTTCTGTGTGCTGCTCTGGTGCCAGTTCGCCAGAGCAGCTTCGTCACGCTGGCCACGTGACCCGGAAGTGTCTGCGGACAGCGCTGGCTCCTGGCCTCTAGAGTGAGATGAGCGCACAACCCTAGAGTCTGTCAAGACTGGCCCGTACGGGCAGGGGTACCTTTACCTTTACTAAGACCCACTGAATTAAATAGGACTTATTTCTGAGTGGACATGCATAAGACGGTGGTTGCCTGCATTACTGCAGGTCCACAACACATTTACACATGGCTTCACAAAACGTATTGGTGCATCAAATAAATAAACAAATGTAAAATCTGTTGCAGGCTTTTGGGCACAACTGAGTTTAATCTGCTTCTAAAGAAGAGTCCATATTTTCAGAAATAAAGGAATGGGCTAGACATAAATAATGGTTGAACAAAAAAATTAAAATTAATTCAGTGCTTTTACATCACATTTTTAACCATCTAAATCTGTCCACAACTCCCGGCAGTCTTATGTTTGAAACCAATAATCAAAACATGAATGCATGATGACAGAAGTATTATCTTCAGGCACTACCAAAAGGCACTTAAGTTTATTCTGTTATGAGGCAGCACTTTTAAAAAACAACAACACACTTTTTACTCCTTAACTGTTCCCATTGATTGTGATTATCAGCCTAACCCTTTTGACCTACACTACTTCTAGGGTTACAAACGGCTTGCGCTTCTGTAGCTGCAAATTATCCTACACATAGTCAAATGAGCCAAAGTCACCTTCCCATGGCCACTGGTATGTACTAAACCCATCTGAGAGTTATGACAGCATTCGGACTCTAATAAGCCCCAAAAGCTCCACCCAGTGCTGGAAAAAGTCCATATGCTGCTAGCAGCATGGCAGAAGTAGTTGCCCTAATAACTTTACAGGGAGCGATGGCTCAGGAGTGCCTGTGGCTTGTGTTCAGCAAATGCGATTCAGTCGAACTGCAACTATGAACTATGATGAGCCCCGGTAACCCAGCAGAATGCTGGGCTGATGCTTTGAACTAGCAGCATTGCAGACATCCCATTGTTACTCAGAACGAATCCGCTTTAATGAGCAGGTTTGAAATAAGAATTTGCTAAGTGTGAACAACTCCACGGGGATAGTAACTTTTATGTTTACATACCTTTGACCCCTAGAAGAAATCACTAGAATAAATATATATATATTCCACAACCATTAGTGTATTTCCAATTAAATGTTTGACAATCTTTTTTTTAAAAAAAATTGACTGTGTAGGCTATGAAGCTGCCTTAATCAAATGACAGAAAGTGGCTTAGGGTCCAGTTGTCATGTGAAAGAGTTGTTAATCTGAAACAGAAGCTTCTGATCTTATCCTTGCAGCCATGCTGTATTATTTAAGCACAGTTAGGTAGTCTTGTCGGCAGAGCTTTATTTCAGTGTCTTGGCCCAAAAGCACTCCTTGTTTTCTTTCCAAGAGGATTCCTCTTCATAGACCTCCTGCAACCAGAGAGCATCATGGATGATAACTGTTGCAAAGCTGATCACACAGATCAGCAAACACAGATGAGAGAGAAAAATGTTCCTGTGACTGCAACTAACCTGAAGCATCTAGATTTTTAAACTTCCTGTCGATGATGGGTTCTATTAAAACCTTAAAAACAACAACCCCACAGCACAATTCAGGAGAACAGCTAAATGATCAATTTACAAAGGAGCCCTGGAGAGCAGGGAAACTGACTGCATATATGGATGAATGCATAGACTCCCAAAAGCAAAGGTCAGTGTCCTTCAGTGAACAAGCCTGAAAGGCAGCTCTAGTGGAGCCCAAAATCTCTGCCCCATTACATATCCTCATTCACAAAAGATATCTTTTATATATTAAGATTAATCAAATACCTGGATCAAACTGATGGGAGCTTTGGTGTGTGTGTGGCACATGTTTTTAGAAGTCGCAGCAAAATTTGGCGGACACATGTAGATTGACACTTTTGTTTGTTTGTTAAATAACCTTGGAGAAACTTCACCCTTCTTGCCAAACTGTCCCTACCAGGCACACATGGAATACATGTAGTTTATTGTATTGAAAAAGGAAATATGAGAGAAATGACACATACACATACCTTTTTCCATATAGGGACGGTTGCTTTCAAAGCGTTGATGCCATATTGCACAGCCTCAAGAGACTCTGCTCTGTGAGGCGAAGAGATTGCGACCATCACACTCGCTTCACTAATGGGAACAGAACTACAGAGAAAAGCGAAAGGAAATATTAGTTGTTTTTATCCGTATTCGCTTAATCTTTAGAGGGCTAAATAAAATCCACTGTCTTTCTGCTAATTATTGCACACTCTCACACACTGCAGGCAAGCTATATCCTAGGAATCTCTAGTCAGAACTGTCATGTCCCTCTCTTATACTTTCTGAGGCAGGATTCAACAGGAAAATTAAGAAAACAAGAGACAGAAATTACAAGAGCAACTTGACATGACAATAATCGGATCATTGGTCATACATACCCAAGTCTATGGTGTATAGCTATATGTTTCACCGAAGGCCATTTTAATCTAATATCTGTGCATATTTTCTTGATTTCCGCTTCTGCCATCGGTTCATATGCTTCATATTCTAAGTGTATGACCTTTCTCCCCTCAAAGTTATTTCTGGTAGTGCCTGAAATGAAAGGACATGTTCAACTGGCTGGTTGGAAAAGGTCAACAGGACAAAAACATTCACTTCAACAGTTTTGTTAAAGTTGGTTAACAAGGTTATCAATGATTTCCCAGACAGTGCTTCCAGGTCCAAATGAGACCAGTCACCTGAGGAGGGTCCACAGCACACTAACAGAACAAAAGCTCTGTACATGCAAGCCTAGTCCCCAGCCCCGGAGAAGTTGCAGCACTTCTGCTTGTGGCTGCAGACATGAAACTGGCACAGTGTTGGAAACCAATAGCGTTCACCATGAAAGGTTGTTTTGACAGGGTTTGGGATATACAGTGGTACCTCAGGTTACATACGCTTCAGGTTACAGACTTTGCTAACCCAGAAATAGTACCTCGGGTTAAGAACTTTGCTTCAGGATGAGAACAAAAATTGTGCTCCGTTAGCGCGGCAGCAGCAGGAGGCCCCATTAGCTAAAATGGTGCTTCAGGTTAAGAACAGTTTCAGGTTAAGAACGGATCTCCGGAACGAATTAAGTTCTTAACCCGAGGTACCACTGTAACTGTCTCTGGATGTTCACATGCTTAGAGGGGTAATTAAAAAGGACAATTCTGACAGAATATGGATGATTCTTTCTTTCTGGGAACCAGCTGCAACCACCTATGTAAGTTCTGTAAGGGTGATTTTAACAGGGTTTTTTTAAAAAAAATATACTGGGTTTCTCTCTTATTCCAAAATTCATACTACGTGCATCAAACCTACCTATAAATAAAGACACAGCTCCACAGCAGGGGGAAACCACCAGTGCCGATATTTCGTCTGCTGAGAGCTTCTCGTGGTTCAATTTTATCAAGTCCTTGGGCTCATCCTCACTTACGCTCATGGCTTCTCTAGGAATAAGCGGTGGTGAAATGAAAGTTATTACCATATTTTCCCGTGTATAAGACGATATGTTTTCCTTAGATATAATATGCAAAAAATGCAGGTCGTCTTACAGACGGATATCAGGCAATTGGTGGCAGCAGCCAGCAAGAGATTGGCAGCGGCGATTGGGCATGTGATTGGTTGCTGCGGCAAGGCCTGCTGACAAATGGCTGTGGCTGCAGCAACTGGACGTGCTATTTACGACAGAGGTGAGGCGTGCATGCACTCGGCTGTGGTTGTGTCGAGTGGGCAGGTGGGCTTTTGGCGGTGAGCGTGCTATTTGCATTTGCGGGCAGGTTGTAGAGTGATTGGGGGTGGTGCCCCTCCCCCCAAAAGCTGAACAACTCTGGGCAATCCCCCCCTTTTTTGTGGTCCAAAAAAATAGGGGTCGTCTTATACATGGGGGTGTTATACACGGAAAAATATGGTACTCCAGTTAATGGGATCATTTGCAAAAATGCTTCTTGACCTGCTACTAGAATAACAGAAATTCCAGGTCAAAGCCTTAAATGAGTGTATTTAGAGTGTGGATGCTGGAAAGAGAGAGAAACCAGCATCACAGTGTATCTGGCATGTGCAACTTGGGCCTCATCTGCATTGTACATTTAAAGCTGTGTCATGCCACTTTGAATAGTCATGCAACCAGTTCAACCAGTGTGCTGTGACAGCCTGGGGTGCCTTGAATGATGGTCAGGGGTGCTGCGGACAACACTGGCCCTCTTTCCTCCCCTCCCTTCTCTGATGCCCTCTTGTGTCTCTGCCTGCCAAAGGCTTGCATAGCTGTTTGTTGCAGCAGCCCTGGCTAGAAGCTCGAGGGACGAATGGTGCCTCTGGGGCTGGCCAGGGGGCGCTGGTTGCCAGGAGCTGAGGTGGCCTCAGAGTAAGCAAGCAAGCAGGCAAGGGTGCCCAGCCAGCCAGTCCTATAGCCCTTGCTGTTGGGATTGGACAGACAAGTCCCGGGCCCCTGTTGGGCAGTGTGAGGAGGCACCTCTCTTTGGGGCAGGGGTGAAGCTCAGAGTCCAGGGGTGGCAGCAGTGGCTGCCCAGAGGACTCCCAAGGAGAGGAGGCTGAGGGAACCCTCCACAAGGGAGTGTGTTTGAAAAAGGATGAGAGGCTGCCAGCTCTGCAGGCAAGGGGTGACATAACTGGGCTCCTGAGCCCCACAGGGGTGCCGCAGAAAGAATGTAGTTGGTCAAGGGAGCCATGGACTCAAAAAGGTTGAAAACTTCTGTTTTAGATTTAGAAAATCAGGGATTTCTCCTCCTGTGAAATTGTGCGGGGAGCTCCATAATTACAGCTAGCTTCCTACTCAGAAATTCATCCCCAAAATGTGGAAAGTAGAAGGAACATGGTTGAAGAGGGCAAGTCTGCCTAGTGGGACTTTGTTTCCCTGCTTCTAAATCACACAATTGGAAACATATGAAGAAGATCTGAACAGGGATTAGGTTATTCTTAATTACTTCCACAGGACACAACTCCTGTTTGTGTAGAGAATCGTAATTTTGGCACCTGTACCCTTATCATGTGTGCAGACACACCATGTTCATACCTCATCGAGTGCTGAGAGGCTCGTTCACATGTTACACTGAACACAAGAAAATGCAGTCTCGACACATGCACAAGCACTGGTTTCCAAGGGTGTACACTTGTTGATTTGCACAGCTCAACTACTATGTATACACGGGACACAGAATGCATATCCACTGAATGTTACCTGTGAATAACTGAACCAATGTACAGCACAACTCTTTCTGTGCACTCATTTAACGTAACATGTGCACTCCCCTAATCGAATCGCCCTTTAGGAAGACAAGAGCACACACCTGATGCCGTCTTTCCAGAGCTAACCTCCACTAATAGGGGGGATAACGGCAACCTCGTCCCCTGGGTTGAGGACCACCAGCTGATCCCCAAGAAGCATGTACTCCTGGCGGACAGCAAAGACGACTTGATCCTGTATAGCAGCGAGCCTAAAGAACAACATCAGGAGAAAGAGTAATGTTTCCTAGGACACCACGGGCCTGAGGCTAAACAACTCAAACCAGCTGAAGCGGAATCAGGTATCCCAAATGTGAAACCGGTTCCTGAAAAGAGCTAGTGGCAGAAGAGACTCACAAGGTGGGATAGAGCTGCTATGCTAGCTTTCTAGCAGGTAAGCAGGTGTGGCTTACCAGTAGGGAGAAGGTTAACGCAGTCAGGAAGTCCTGGCTACCTTGCCCATCCTGGTAAGCAATAGGGAACCACCTGCCAGGAAGCTAGCATAGCAAATCCGCTCCCTCTGGAACGCCCCACAGGCTCTGTGACACTCACTTATCAAGACCAGTTCCTAAACTCTGATTTCCCACGCAACCAAGAATTCAAATGGACAGTAACAATGCTGTTTGCCACTTGTTTCTTTGAGGAGACCATCTGCCTACAAGGAAATAGAAGGACCACCACTACAAGTGGTGGGAAATGGAATCTCAGTGTGATGGTCACAGTAGCCTTTTCTAACCTGGTGAATGGGTGTAGCCAGGGGGGGGGCAGCTGCCCACGAAAATCTATAAAAATACGTAAATAACTGAGGTTCTGCCCCCTCCCCAACATGAAGCCTGCCCCCCCAATGAATCATGACCTGGTGCCCTCTGAAAACTACAAGTCCCATCAGCCTCTGCACTACCTAGGCCTGATTATTATTATTATTATTATTATTATTATTATTATTATTATTCAACTTAACACCTCCCTATACCTGGAGGTCTCAGGGCGGTTCACAACAAGACCACAACATATAACATCAAACCAAAAGCAGTAGCCCAATAATGCCCCCCCACACACATGGCATGCTAAGTCTAGAACATCTGGGCAGCACCAGGTTGGCAAAGGATAAGTTAAGAGGGTCAAACAAGGACTAGCAGACCCAAGTTTGGCTACGATGTTTTCTGGGTGATCTTGGGCCAGTTACACACTCAAGAGGCAGCATCTTTTACCAGTCAGAAGTCATCATACCTTGAATGCCTCTTGACAATTTCTTCCCACAGCTGCAGGGATGTTATCTGTTGGGGCACGGAAATGGTCTCAGTGCGGACACCGGCTAATTCGGCACTTTTTGCAAAGTACAGCACTACCACCTGTTTTAGAAATGCAAACCAGATGGATAATGATAGTTACTCACCTATGCCAATACAAGCTACTATGAGTTCTTCAGAGGAACAAGAGCAGGGTTGTGAGTGAATAAACCTACCCTTTTCTTAGTTGCCCACAACATACGTTATCTCACAAATTCGTACAACAGCCCGGCACGATCAACTAGCATTATTATTCCCATACTGGCTGAAGATCAGGATAAAAATACATTCTTAAAATTGTGAGACTACACATTGTAGCAATGGCTCACCTAAGGCCATAGGGGACTGCGCTGGACCATCAAGAAGTAATTTTCTTCCGCCTTCCTTGGTCAGCAAACCTGCTTGGAAGCAAGTTCCACAAAGGCCAAGGCAGTCAAGTCAGGCTTTTTAAACACAAGCACAACAGCAGTGCTGCTATTCACTGGTCTCCAGTGTAAACAGACCAAATGCACTCAAGGAGAATAAAATGAAAAAAGATTCCCTGCAGCTCGGTTCACATCAGTTAAGAGCATGGAACCAATGTATATATGGATAACTTCCAATAAAGGGATAGTGGATAAATGTGCAGAATTGCAAGCTTTTATTAATAAAATGGGAAGTGCAGAAGTCCTTCTGTGCACACCTGTGGGATTGAACTGCACAGCACAATGCCAGGACCAGATGCCAAAACAGCATGTTTACACCCACTTCTAAATGACTGATCTGGGTTTTTGAGCTGTAATTTAACTCCTACTGCTGCTGTTTCTCCATGACTTTATTCTGAGGCTTTTCCCGAGGAAGAAATTGTTGCTGTTGGTGTGGAACTTCTACTTTATTCTCTTAGTTCGTTTCACGCTACGAACCACCACCTTGGGCAGCTCCGTGATGATGCCGAAAGGCAAGACGCGGAGCTTGCATTTCAAGCAGCGCTCCCTAAAGCCCAAACCCCGGGGACCAAACTGAAGAAGCTCGTGCCTCTGAGCGCATGCAGAGGGCTTACCGCCCAAGCAAACCGACGCTCCCCTCTCTCACCAAGGCTTCCGATCAGAGGCCAAGGCTAACGGGGAACCAGGTGCCTCCCCACCCCGACCCCTGCTCAGAAATGCCCTCTCCGGGTGGCGGGCAAGGGGGCGGCGTCTCATGGCGCCTAGAAGCCGAAGGCCCAGGGGCGGATCGTGATCGAAGGGACCGAGGGGGGATCGCAAGCCAGCGATCGCGGAGGGAGGCCGGGAGGCTTGCAGGGGAGCTCCTCCTTCTGCGTACCTCGCAGCTCATGGGCGCGCCGTCCCGGGCAGGCAGCTGCCCCGCTCTCCTTTCTCAGCGATCGGCTTGCGGGTTTCTCCTTTTTTGCGCCTGCGTCGGCTCCGGGAAAGGCCGCGGAGGCGACTAAGCCGAGCCGGCCTCTTTCGGCGCCGCCTCCCAGCGGCTCCACCTCCCCGGGGGCTGGCTTCTCGGAGCGGAAGGGAAGCCGGTCGCTTTGCTGCGTCTGCAGTCCAGGGGAAAGGACGGAAGGCTGCGATCCTGCACCCGCTTACCTAGGAGAAAGCCCGGTTGAACTCCGCGAGGCTTGCTTCCGAGTAGGCAGGCGCAGGATTGTGCTGTAGGGCTGCAGCCTTGTAGAGATCGTGGGGAAGCACTTGCGAGTATAGATGCGTAGGATCAGGCTGCACAACCCGGGCTTGGCTAGGATATGAGCACACGCGTGCAACTAAACCCCAGCTTGCTCCTTTCTTGCGGGATATTTGTACAAGGCCCGGAAGGCGTGTGTCCTTGTCATTTCATACGCACGTGATGTAAGAGATGTGCTGTAATCAGGGCCGGATTAAGAGGTCCTAACACTTAAAAGATTTTGGTGCCCCCATATTTATCTGAATCAAAATATAAACAATAATGAACCGTGAAATATATATATATATACACACTGTATATGTGTATATATAAATTTTTCAAAATAAAAAAGCCTACAATAAGATGGAAAATCATGTTTATTTCTGTATACTTCCACTTTGCAGTTAGAAAAAGTAGGAGAACATTTTTCGGATATAAAGTCTTTGATCAGAGCCTCAAAACTAATCTTACACAATACACCTGCTTCTATATTTAGTTGAGATATTGTATCCAGCCTCTCTTGTCACATAGTTGTTCTGTTGATATTTTAAATATACTTCAACTGAGAAAATGAACACTCATCTGAGCAATTTGTGACCATTAATGTTAAAAATCTGGCAATGGAGCATTTCCGTGGTGCCCCCCCTTGCCTTAATGTCCTAAACACGTGATTATTATGCTTAATGGTTAATCCATCCCTGGTTATAATCCACACACCATATTTACTGTATATAGATTGCAGCAACTAATAACAATTTGTAGAACGCTTCTGCTCTCTATGCCTACCTCACCTGAGGGAAGTGGAACTGCCAAGATCTTACTGATCTTAGCATCCAGGATGGTTGGTGGGGAAGGAGGTGGTCGCTCAGATATTTGGAACGGAAGTCATTTAGGGTTATAGAGCACCTTGAATTGGGCCTGGGAAAGGCCAGGCAACCAATGCAGCTGTATCCAAGTCATCTTCAAGGGCAGCCCTATGTAGAGCACACTGCAGTAATCTAATCTAGAAGTTACCAGAACATGGAGTACAGTGGCCACTTCTGCCCAAAGGAAGCCAGAGCTGGAGATTTTAACAAGAGAACATTTTCTTTAAATAGGGAAGGAAGAAGTGCAGAGTGGACCTTTCCCCCAGGGCTTCCCCAACCTGGTGCCCTCCAGATGTTTTTGGCCACAATTCCCATCAGCTCCAGCTAGCATGGCAAAGCACTGGTGCTTATGCTTTGTTTGTTTGTTTGTTTTAGCAATCTTTTTTATAATTTTTATTAAGTTGTTCTGTTTTACAATTTGGAATAGTCATTTAAACAACCTTAAAATATCAGTGACTTCCCTTCTTCTTTCCATGGTTCATTTTACATATCATAAATCCCTGCATATTTTACATAAACTAAACCATTCCATTATTGCATCCATCAAAACTTATTTACACTGATGAATTTATATTAATGCTGCCAACATTTTCAAATGTACATAATTTTCACCCATATATTCAACAAACATTTTCCAATCTTTAAACATATGTTCTCCTTGTTCCCTTATTCTATATGTTAAGTCCGCAAGCTGCACATATTCCATCAACTTAAGTTGTTTTAGCAAGCCTTAAATGTTTTTTGTGGGGAGGGGATAGCATATATTTAGCTGAAGTTTTCAAACTCCACCAGTTTTAATTTGTTTTAATTTGCAAGCCCTACGAGAGACAAGAATAATTCTGCACGCAGACACAATGCGCAGACACTGTGATTCTCTTAAACTTCACCCCATTTTTGTTCCCTGTTTGCAATTTTATTTAGCTGTGACATGTTTTATTGCCCATTTCATTGCTATGAATGACAAAATTGAAAATGGGAGGTAGAAGGTGCTGAAAATGGGTGTGCTGGATGGGGATGGGGAGAATAAACCCATTTTATTGACTAGTGTCCTGTCTAGATCATTAAAATAGTGTGTGTTGCTGCCAGAATATAGTTGTGTCTCTTTCCTTGATATGGTTGCCCCTTTGCCCTGGTTCTGTCAGTTCCCATCGCTTTAACAATGGAGGTACTATAGAGCTTATTTATCCATTTTGACATTTACTGTAATATTGATTTCTTGCTAAAGTTCCAACTACGGTGCACATTTTATGCACTGCCCACATTTTGACTTGTTTATATACAGGTCTGCAGTAAAGGGATAAAATAAAATAAAAAAGCTGGTGGGGGGTGAGGAGCTGAGTGCAACAAAGTGTTCAGGTGAAAGAGAGAAAATGCTGCCTTTTTTGAAAGCTTGGATTAATGGTATCTGACAGCATTTGCTGGGAAGGAAGTTGCCAATCCCATTTCTTGCAAATGCCATGCAAATGCCTCTCTTAATATCTCTTTGCTGACTGGAAAACTAGACTTTGCTGAGCAGTTTTGCATATGCACCGAATCTTCATATACAGTGGTACCTCTGGTTACGTACTTAATTTGTTCCGGAGGTCCGTTCTTAACCTGAAACTGTTCTTAACCTGAAGACCACTTTAGCTAATGGGGCCTCCTGCTGCTGCTGTACCACCAGAGCACGATTTCTGTTCTCATCCTGAAGCAAAGTCCTTAACCTGAGGTAATATTTCTGGGTTAGCGGAGTCTGTAACCTGAAGCGTATGTAACTCGAGGTACCACTGTATATGGAAATGTTGGTGTATGGTTTATCATATACAGTATTACCCAGTGGCGTGTGGTCCAGTTGGGTGAATGGGGCATGTGTGATCAAGCTTCATTCACATCTCGCAGTGAGGGAACCACCAGGAGGCCCTTGGAGCTGGATCTCAGTGTCCCAGCTGAACAATGGAGGTGAAAATGCTCCTTCAGGTATACAGGGCTGAAGCCATTTAGGGCTTTAGAGATCAGCACCAATGCTTTGAATTGTGCTCAGAAACGTACTGGGTGCCAGTGCTGATCCTTTAGGACCTGTGTTATATGGTCCCAGCAGCCACTCCCAGTCACCAGTCTAGCTGCTGCATTCTGGATTAGTTGTAGTTTCCAAGTCACCTTTGAAGGTAGCCCCACGTAGAGCGCATTGCAGTAGTCCAAGTGCAAGATAACCAGAGCATGCACCACTCTGGCGAGACAGTCTGCGGGCAGGTAGGGTCTCAACCGGCGTACCAGATGGAGCTGGTAGACAGCTGCCCTGGACACAGAATTGACCTGCACCTCCATGGACACTGTGAGTCCAAAATGACCCCTAGGCTGCACATGTGGGGCACAGTTACCCGATTCAGGACCAGGGAATCCCCCACACCTGCCCGCTCCCTGTCCCCCCAAAACAGTACTTCTGTCTTGTCAGGATTCCACCTCAATTGGTTGCATTAAACAAGAAGAACAAAGTACACATGAAAATCCATTAGCGTTTTAGTGTCTACTTTTCTAAATATGCACATTCTGGCAGGCAATTTTCTCTAATGTAATGCATTTTTTTATGTTATTTTCACTAATACACGCATTGTTGTGCATACCTTCCACTGCTATATGGACCTTTTGTACATTTTGGAGGCATAGAGAACTGCACTGCGACATTAAGAAAAGTGAGACTTTTGAAGGATACCTGTGTTTCTGTTTTGTGTTTTGTTTTGGGAGGTTAGAATGGTTAGGATTCTACTGAAATACATTTTTTTTCACCAATCTGTGCTCAGAAGTAAGCCCCACTGAATTCAGTAAGGCATACCCTCATGTATGTAACACAAACAATCCCAAGCACACCTACCTGTGATTAAGCTCTATTGAACAGAATGGTACATTCTTCTGAGTAAATGTGTATATCGGATTCCCCTGTGGGGTTGCAATCCTGTACAGGCTTTACTTAGGGGAAAGCCCTGTTGAGCTCAGTTGGACGTCTCCGTAAACATACTCAGGATTGTGCTCTAATTCTATTAAATGAGGAGACATTTTGGCAGAAACAGGATCGGCTTTTAGTTTGACATGAAGCGAGTTTTTTAAAACACACGCACACACAATCCAGGAAGGTTTGTCAGCATCAAGCTAGTCATGCTCTGTTAAACCAGTGTGATCTCTGTCCAACTCCCTCAGGTTAGATTAACTCTGAAGGCCCTAGATTTAGAATGTTACCCTTTTGTGTTTTGATCTCCTGTACGGAGAATCTGAAGAGGTTAATTTTGTTGCAGTGAAGCATGATCTCCCATTTGTAAAAGACATGGATGATTAACTGCTGTTACAAATTGAGCTCTGCTCAAGACATCATGTGCCGGGTAAAAAAAAAACTTGACCACTTGTAACCATGAATAACCGTTTCCTTTTATTCTTTGCCGGGCTGCATAATCTTGGATCTAAACATCTGACATTAAATCCATCACTTTCTTGGGAGACATGGAAACCATCCACAGCTAGGGTCGCCAACTGACCAGGAATAAAGAAGCAGAAGCTGGTTTGGTCTGCTCTCGGGCCTTTACCAAGTGGCCTCCTTTGCAGAAATCTGCTTTCCGTGGCCGCATGACACGGGGAGAATGACTGCCTGCCAATGTCTGTAACTCAAGCTGCCATTATAGGCAGAGGAGCAAAGCCCATTAAAAAGCTGGCAACTGTGCAAGAATTCTATAGAGATGGGAAGGAGAGGGCAGTGCCAGTTAAACTGAAAAACAGGAGGCAGGTTCATTACTCAAATGTCCAAATTGCATAGATTCTCATGAATAAGCATTTCACGAAAGCCTTGCAAAATCCCACCCGTCTCTCTTCTTCAGGGAAAGACAGTAACTTTAAAAGATTTGCAGTCTTTGATGGATGAGAGCCAGGTGTCTCTGAAACATCGTTCCATACCACCCTCACAGTTGATGCACTAGCTGGAGGTTTTCTTGGAGGGGGCAGTGCAAAAAAATAATA